CAGTGACGTCCTCGCGTGGAAGAGCCGGCCTTCCGAGGCGAGACGGGGTGGGGTTGTCGGCGGTATTGCTGAGGGTCGCAAGAAGCGCGGCCTCGATGAACGTTCCCCGGTGCGAGAGCACAGGCGGTGTATCTCCCTGATGAGATCGGCCCGCCATGACGCTGGGTGGTGGGATGTCGCCGCAAGAACTTCACGGAGGCACTCCAGACGCAAAGAATGGGGGAGTTGGACCTTGCATACCACGAAAGGACATGGGGAGTCCTTGCGACACTGTAAAGTGGATCGTTAGCGTGCAAATATGAGCATAAGGTGCTTACCACTCACGATGTTGTACACCATGCCGGTGCGAGACGCACGATTCTTGCCCCACGACGCTCGAACGAGGTGGAGGGTCCCGTCACGGCAGACCTCATGGGGGTTAGACCAGCCCTCGAGATGGTCGTGCAAGTACTTGAGAACCGTATCGCGAGCCTGGGTCATGGAGAGGTGGTATCAGATGCGATGAACTCGACACCCGGTCAAAAGGGCGCACCTTTTATATATTCAACGGACCACATCACGCCACTAAGAACGAAACAAAGCGGGGCTTGTGGCGGCACTTCTTGGTCGAGTGGCCCACCGAGAGCTTGAATCCGGACCGTGCAACCCGATTTCTCGTGTCTTCAATCGTTCTGATAGGTTGAGGAGATCCCATGTTGATGATAGGGATTGTTAGGGGCGATGGGCGAGGAATTTGAGAAGGGCTTGCACTAGGTATTCCGGATGTGATCCAGTGGGAAACACGCCTCAGACGAGCTCGCGGACACAAAGTCGTGCGAGACTCGCCATAGTCCGATAGGACGGCGATGGGAGAGGATGGTGTGAGGGGGGTGGACTTGCGGAAGGAGGGGCGAGGGTGTTGGACTCGCAGAAGGGTGTTGGACCCGCCGAGGCGACGGGGTTGAATGCATGAGGGTAAAGTGACACGTACCGATCCATCTTACAACTCCTGTACTATGAGAATGTGAGCAAGCCGCAAGATCTGGCTCAGTGAATGCTTTACGCACCTTGGACGAACTCAGGGTGAGGCGGGGAGAGCGCCAGGAGAGAGGGAGATGGCAGATGGGAGGAAGAGGTCAGCGTCATGGGCGCCCCGCGTTCCCGAGCGTGCGCTCCGAGCGTGCGCTTGACACTTCGCGCTCCTGCGACATTCCTCCTCTCTCTCCCGCCCTCCCTCCTCAACCTACTCGACGTCCTCCTTCCACCATCACTAGCTTGACATCACCGCACCCTCTTTCCACCACCGCCATCACCTCGTATCCTCCCACCCCTCTTCCCCAGCCGTCAGACTACGGAACGACTTTGTGTCCTTCCGTAGTGTTCGGCAGGTCTTTCCTATTGGTCAGACCTCTCTACCCCCCGCTGGACTGTCTCGCGCGCCGCAAACCAACGCAACAAGACACACCTGCTTTCTTTCAGCGTTCCCCTTTGTTTCTCTAGGTTCAATTCGTGTGGAACGTCACGCCATGACCCACGGCTCGAAGTCAGACCCCGACGCTTTCGCTGGTACGTCTATAGTGATACACCCTCGTTACTTCAACCAACGCCCGTCTTAAAGATCTGGACATCAAAAAGGCCCACGTGGCGGCGTTCACTGCGGACGGCAACTACATCGTAACGACACCAAACATGTCTTGGGTTCCCGAACCATTCGTTGGTCTCATCAAGGTCTCCCTGCGATCCGACTGCCGCTACGGGGAGCACGATCCCTTCCAATGGCCTCAGATCTTCGCCCCCGAGTTCGCCTTTTTGTCTGTAGTGCGACACCCCTACCCTGATGATCATCAGTACGCTCCGGTCTGGTGGACTCCAGACTTCAAGACACAGTTCCGACCAGTGGAGGGCTGCGTATTCAAATCGCTTGGTCTCTTCGTCTCCCCCGTCTTCCGAAAGCTCGGTTCTCTCGTCGACGAGATGCAAGAACAAGTTCAGGAGCATATCCACAGCCTTGGAAGCCCAATCCCTCGGCTCGCGCATATGGCCACTGCGATGGCTCAAGCTCGCGATCGTCTCCGCTTCTGCCCAGCGACGTTCCGCGACTCTCTCTTTCAACTCCGGGAGACCCAGCGTCGTTGGCTGGCATGTTGCGCGTGGATCGACTACTCTCGTCTTACGGCGTCCGCGACCGGAGCCTCAACCGTCCAACTTGGCTACATGGGCGCATTCTGCACCGATCCGGGGGACGCCCAGACACTCTATCGTGCCGGTGTGCCTGTATGGTTCGTCAGACCCCGCGTTGGAGATAATCTCGACGACGTCCAACGGATTGCAACCCCTCTGCGCCAGCCGTCAAAGCTGGCTCTCTCGCCCTTTGCCTCGGACGGGGTCCCCATATTCTCCGGACTCTCGGGCCTGCGTCACCTCCAAGCTGTATGCTCTGTCAAGCACATGTACGTCGACGTATCTCAAGCACCTCTTTTGACGCGATTCGACTATCGTGTGCGACCGTCCTCGGAGCCCTCAGCAAGCGGTCCAGTTCGCTCCCTGCCCTCGTCAAGCTCCCACAGGGTCTCCCAGGCGAAGAAAGGTTCGCGTTAGTTTGTATATCATGATATATCTTGCTCATACGTTTGCAGTACATCCTAGTCACCTCCGTGGGCGAGACAAGTTCGTCGACAAGGATCACGCGTGGATGCCGCGTACGCTCCCAGCGTGGGACTTGGCAATGCAATCCGTTGATCGCTCCCAACCCAGCAGGCCTTCGGAGGAACTTTGGGGCTACTGGGTTCCAGAGCCTTCACTGCTTGTCGGGCCCACTACAGAACAACGCGTCGCGCGCTACCTCATGAACTGGCTTGGGGTCCATGACCCATGGCTGTACCTCCTTGCTCTTCCAGACTCTCCTGCGACGCGCGTGGGGCCACAGTGGTGGCGAGACTTCCTGAACGGCGATACGAACGCGGCGGCCACCACTGTGACCAATCGTCGCACCCAGCGTTTGGAGAAGGTCAAAGAGGTCTTCTGTCGCGTGTTCCTGATGGAGGATTTCCAAGAGCGAGACTCCGGCGCGATCGAGTGGTTCCACCGTCCCATCACCGCGGTTGATGCAACCACTGGACCACTGATTCTCTGGGAGTTGTTTGAGCTCGGCTTCCGCCACGAACTCCTCGCCCTCGACCGACTCTTGGTGCCCATGCACGGGGTTCCCGACGCGGATTTCATCCGCGAGCAAGTTCTCGTGGGTGTGTTCCATCATCGCGACCTCTACCGCCTTCACCAGCTTCCGGTCTTCGGCGTAGGCCTCTCCCATCGCATGCCGAGCTCGCGCGTCCGGTGCGTCGAAGCCCTCTGCCGTGTCGTCATGAGATGGCCACAGTGTCCTTCGCAGATTGTGGTGGACCCGTCGATTAACGCACAGACCGTCGAGGAGATGGAGCGGGCCGTGGCTTCCTTCTATTGTACCACTTTTTTTACTTACTCCGGCCGCGCTCCCCTTGTCCCTCATGTGTTTCCTGAATGAACAATGCTCTTTACGATACTAATTGCTTGTCGCGTCGCATGTCTTGTACCACATCTACCACTCGCATAACGTTTTTGGGCGCCACACCTCTCGGACCACACTCCTCCCGGACCACATTCAAGCAACCTACGATGGTAGGTATGTCTTTTGAATTGAATGGACTGCTTTCGATGTCCGTTTCCCCCTCTGTCTCATCCCCTCTATGCCATGGGCCTCCGCCAGAAAAAGACGAAGAAGACACCTCGGACAGCCCTCCCTCAGTTACGGGCCGGGTCCTCCACTGTGTACGGCCGGGACCATCGCGGCATACCCATCGTCACCCAGAGGCAAGTCCACTATCATACGGTGAAGTTACGGCAAGATACGCCCTCGAAACGTGCTCGGCTTGACATCACCACACCATCCGTCCTCGCAGATGCCCTCCCAACTGGGTACGACGTCTCCCAAGAGCCCAATTCTCTTCAGAACAGCTGGGAGGATGCACCGTCCGTCGGTGAGAAGGAGTCCGCCGATCCTGAGAAGGTGGAACAGCCGAAACCAAAGACGGTGTGTAGAGTGTGTGTTTGCTTATGTCCTCCACTCATTTCACTGCAGAAAACGATGATGGACCACTACAACGAGTGGCTCCTGCGCGAAACGGAGGTCATCAAGGCGATGTTCTCCTGGGAGGACTCGCGCAAGCCTCTCAGCAAGTGCACTCGGTGCCTCGATAAGGACGCCTGGTTACGCTGCACCGAGTGCTGGGATAGTAGTCCGCATTGCACGCAGTGCCACCTCACCGCGCATCGCCACCACTGGTTCCATTGGGTGGAGGCCCGCCGGAGTGATGATGAGTTCTGAAAGAAGTACGACCTCTCCAGTCTCGACTTCACCATTCGCCTAGGCCACGGTGGTGAGGCATGCCCGTCCCGAGGGGGGTGGTTATCGCCATCCAAAATCACCATTTGCCACACGAACGGCATCCATCGCTGTCAAGTCGAGTTTTGTCACTGTCTCCATGCCCCTTCCGTCCCCTGTCAACTTATCCAGGAGCGCATCTGGCCCGCCACCCTGGATCAGCCTCAAACTGCGTTCACAACTCCACTACTCACACTGTACGACCACCTTTGGAACGTCAGCAATAAGGCTGTTTGCGGCTCTACCCGCGGATGATCCGGATCCGAACCCACGGATCATGTGACATCTGAGGGCTTGATCTGGATCCGCGCGGCTCAGACCCGCTGGAAGAGCCGGAGCCGCAGGAGCCGGAACCGCGGATTACGGCTCCACCCATGGATAGACCCGCAAAGCCATGATGATCCGTGGATATCCACAGATACGGATCACACAGATATATAGGACACAAAAATATATTTCATGTTATACTAAATACAGTGGACATTGAATCCAGAGTGAGAAGTTTGTATACGAGTGAGATGTGGAACATCTGATGAGGTGATGAGCACCTTGGGACAGGATGTCCGAGGGTATCGCGGAGGAGGAAGGGGGCAGGGTGCGCGAACGCGGAGAAGAGAGGAGGGAAGTGGATAGGCGCGGAAGGAGACGGGAGCAGGCGCTCCACAACTTGAGGTGTCAGGTGGACGACGCGGGAGGAAGACGAGGCGACACGGGGGCACACGAGGGTGAGGGCGAGACGGGCGAGGTGGGTGAGGGCGGGCGGGAGCGCAGGCGATGCAGATGGCGATGCAGATGGCGCGGAGGGTAGAGCGCGGATGACGCGCGGACGAAGTGGGTGGCACGAGCGACGCGGGGCAGGCGGGCGACGTAGGTGAGGGCGAGACAGGACGACGCGGGCGACGGGGACGACGGGGACGACGGGGATGTGGACACGGGCAAGGGTGTTGCCCACGCGGCCAGGACCTGAGAGGGAGAGGTGACGCGGCGAGCAGGGAGGAGCAGAGGGACTCACCAAAGGGGATCGGGACCGCGGGAGCTCACCGCAATCCCACAGAACGGCCGCGCGCACGAGCGCAATGATACCGTGTGGATCGAGGATCGGGCGACACGGAACAGGCGGCGTGGGGATGGGGGTGCGGGGGACAGCGTGATGGGCGACGCGAGCGATGTCGGGGCAAGATGGGAGAGGGCGAGGCGGGGAGGGCAAGGTGGACGAGGGCAACGCGGGCAACGCAGACGAGCCCGACGCGGACGAGCACGAGACGGGCAAGGGCGTTGTGGGCACGGCCGGAACCTGGGAGGGGAAGGGGACGCGGGAGCAGAGGGGGCGGGAAGAACTGAAGTACTCACCAGAGGAGGCCGCGGGAGCTCACCGTGACGGCCGCGGGCGCGAGCGCGATGGCGCCAGGTAGGCGGAGGACCAGACGACGCGGGGCAGGGGGGGGGGACGCGGGGGACGTGGGGGAGGGCGAGGGCGACGCGGGCGCACCAGAAGGTGCGGGAGATGCGTGGTGGACGTGAGGCGGATCCGCGGGATGAAGCGGAGGGCAGAGACGCAAGGCGGAGGGCAGCGTGGGAGGAGGGCGACGAGGCGGAGGCAGAGGACGAGGGCGAGGCGGGGGATGGCGATGTGGCGAGATGGATAGGCCCGAGGGTGAGGTGGACGAGTGCGGGACGAGCGTGAGCGCGAGCAAGGACGCGCGGGGAGCAGAGGGGGTGGGGAGAACTCACCAGAGGAGATTGGGGCGGCGGGACCTCACCGCGACCCCATGACCCAACACCTGATAGTCACCCGCCTCCTCCTCATCCTCTTCCTGGGCTTGAGAACGGCCGTGCGCGCGAGCGCGATGAGGCAAAGGCGACATGGGGGAAAGGATGGGCGAGGGCGACGCGGGCGAGATGGGCGCGAGGCGCGTGCGGGAGACAGACGGCGTGGGGGCCGGGAACGACACCCACGACGCCAGCGAAGGCGATGGAGGCGATAGCGTCGCCGACGAGGCCGGAACCTGGGAGGGGGAGGAGACGTGGGGGAGAAGCGGAGGCGGGGAAGGACTCACCAGGGGAGATCAGGGCTGCGGGAGCCCACCGCGACCCCACAGAACGGCCGCGCGCGGGAGCGCGATGACACCGCGTGGACGGCTGAGAGTGAGGCAACGCGGGGCATGCAGGGGAGGAAGGGCGACGCGGGGGGCAAGGGCGGGCGAGGGCGTGGTGGGCGACGCAAGGGATGTGGGTGACGCGGGCGGGTGGCGTGAGCGACGCGGACGAGGATGAGGCGGGATGGGTGAGGGCGAGGCGGAGGACCAGGGCGAAACGGAGGACAAAGGTGAGGCGGACGCGGTGGAGGACGAGGGTGAGGTGGGCGAGGACATGGGGAGCAGAAGATAGAACTCACCAAAGAAGATCGGGGCCGCGGGAGCTCACCGCGACCCTGCTGAACGGCTGCGCGAGCGCGAGCGCGATGACGCGAGGTGGACGCGCAACGTGGACAAGCGTGAGCGCGAACGCGAGATGGGCAAGGGCAAGGACGCGCGGGGAGCAGAGGGGGTGGGGAGAACTCACCGGAGAAGATCGATTTGGGGCCGCGGGAGCTCACCGCGACCCCACGATGACGCTCCTGGGCTTGAGGACAGACGCTCGCGCACGCGCGATCACGCGGCGTGGATGGAGGGTGGAGGGAGGAGGAGGGGGAGCTTGCGGGCTGGAGAGGAGGATGTGCAAGACGCGCGCGTTCGAACCCGAACTCTGCCCGATCGAGACGGATTCCCGCGGGCAGACGCCGGACGCAGGCGCCAAAAGCGCTCGAGGCGAAAGGAGAGAGTAATGTACCAAGATCTCGGTCACATTCCCACCAAATCACACACAGATAGCATCGTTAGAAAGGCGCTTCAATTGGCTTTTGAATGATACAACTTCTGTAGTAGGTACGCACAAATATGAGCTATTGCTCAAGAATCTGCGGATAACCCGCGGATAGAGCCGCAGATCCGCCAGTTTTCAGCCGCCTTGATCCGGAGCCGCTGGGAGCCGGAGCCGCAGAGAGCCGGAGCCGCCCGGCTCATGATCCCCGGCTCACGGCTCCGGATAATCGGCTCATGACCTGCGAAGTGAGCCGGACCCGCGAACAGCCTTAGTCAGCAACGTCAACGCCTACGACTTTATTGACATCTTGCAACGTCTGACCGACAGCGCGTTTCCTGACAAGGTGCCGGTACGTGAGGCTGGACCTTCCTCGTCCTACCCCATTCTTACGAGCTTCATAGGACCCCTACGACGCCTTCCGTCGTGTACATCGCATGTTCGAGCACCTGACGATGAAGAAGCGTGCCAGTCATTACCACGGCGTCAAGATCCCCAACTGGAGCTCGGACGACCTCACGGTTGCATGTCTTACTTGCCCACTCCCCAGCGTCAATCTTCCCCATGATTGGGCTCAGGAAACGCGTGCCCCGTGCGTCCGACCGTTTCCCTCATGAGATTACACACTTACGCTTCGTCTATCAGATATATTTACCGCCACAACCTCGGGGTCGACGCCTGCCATGGTATGCCGAAGAGGACCAAGAACGACGACAAGAACGACAAAGCCCTTAGCGAGGGGCAAGGGTTCATGGTCAAGTTGGCCGACATGAAGAACATGGTCGAAGAGAGTTTCAAGAATGACGACGACCGCGTGGTAAGTTGTACTTCCATCTATCAGATGATACCGCTAACTGTCGCGAAGACCCATACCTGCAGCAGCTTCAAGGTTGCTCGCGCGCAGCGTTTGGGCAAGTTCCGGACAGTCGATATCAGTGGCGTCGCCGCCATAACCTGTCGTCATACCTTCTTTTTCCATCAAGGTGTAATCGACCTCATCTCGGGAGAGCGGTGAGTTGATTCCGCGTCCGCTGTACTTTTAATGGCTAATAGTGTTATAGGTATGCCTTCATCGACCTACTCGTCGCCAGGCACCTACTGCGATATGCGGCCGAACTGATCGAGGTCGGTATGACATACGACATTATGTGCATCTATATTCGCAACCTCCTGAAACGTATGGAGAAGAACTTCCCCGCTGTTGTCCCCATAATCAAGAAGATGTACTGCTGCCTGCCCGCCTTCCACGCGCACGGCCACCGCGACATATGCAAGACGGTCTATTCGCTCGCACTCTCCTACGGTTTCGGGTTCCAGCATGGCGAGCAAGTCGAGAGGCCATGGATCAAGATGAACTTCGCCGGGCCCGCCACAAGTGAGATGACGGCTGGAAACCGACACGACAAGCTCAACATGACGTTCAACTTCTGGAACCTTTGCCAACGGCAGAAACAGCGTGAGCAATATCTTCGTATCGGCGCGTGCCTAGGTTGATACTGTTCCCCTAGCTGACTTCTTGGCTAGGCAGGTCGAGAAGACATACATCGACCAGGAAGAGGCCACAGACGAGTTGGCCTCGATGATTGCCGGCGCTGGCCCCACCAAGGTTCTTCGTTGGATTGCGCAAGGCATTCGACCCTCAGCGCCGACGCCGCTCAACTTCAAGGAGCGAGAAGAGTCGTCCAAACAAAGCCCATTTGTGCTCGACACCACTCATCGTAGGTCCCCGCACTTCTGTACTGGCTCACACTGACGAAGAAAACGCAGTTCCTAATCGCGAGAAGGCGTTCGATGACCTCGTGAAATCCCACGAGAACGCGAAGCACTCTTCCCCTGCAGACGTGGACCTCAAGAAGCGTGCAGCGCTCTTCGTCCGCAGTGGGATCGACGTGCAAAGAGCGCTGTGAGTTCCGTACCCCTACCGAACAATTTGTTTCTGACATCTTTCCTAGTTTCAAGCTCCAGCAGCGCAAGAAGCTGGGCAATAAGGGTTTCGGTCAATCGGACGAGGCCACGGTCCCCTTTGCCACCGCCCGTCACGGATATATCCGAGACCTTACTCAGTGGCTCAAGGAGAAACAGCGGTATATGCCGCTCGCCGCTGCCGATGAGGACCCTGTCGCGCAAGGTCGACGCGAGTTCTCTCGAAATGTCCGCGACGATGATGACGAGAGAACGAGTAACGACATCGACGACCAGGAAATCATCGGCCTACCTTCAGATTACACGAAGGAAGAGGTCAAGATCCTCGAAATCGAGGTGTTCGCCCGCGGTGAGCTGGCCATGCGCACTGCTGATTGTTTCGATGATCTTGCCCATGTACAAAGCGCTGTCGAGTATCGTGCGTCTTTCTTGCGCGAGAAGAAGACCGCCGGGAAGCAAGGGCAGAAAGCAGGTACGCGTTTCCAGACCGAACTCCAGAGGAGCGGTCACTACGCTTATCGTCTGGCCGAACGCTACAACGACAACTTCCAACGCGTGTCGGCACTGCGCAAAATTCTCGACCACAAACCAGACCAAGACTCATCGGAAGGTCGTCTGCGCGCGATCGACTTGAAGACCGATCTGACCCTCTCCGACCTTACCTCGCGTCAACCAGGCAACACACGACGGTACTCCTCTTGGGTTTGGCGCATTCTAACCCCCAAGAAGGACAAGCGGCAGCAGCCATCAAGAGAAGCCAAGTCTACTGAACCACCCCCCGCTGAAGATACTGAGCCGCAGTGGCGCGACAATGGTATGTACATCTTCGAGCTATCGTTGATGCTTCCTAACCTCTGCTGCAGCACAGTCGACGATGTTCCACACTCGCCTACAGCGCAAGTATCAAGCGGACGCCCACGCAAACTACCTGTTCACGGACTTCTGTAATGGCGTCGCTGGCCATGACTTCTACTCCAAAGCTTGGCAAGTGACGACGAAGGAAAGTGACTTATCGCGGGGCAAGCGTGCATACGCTATGCAACAGAGTGCTGTGTACGGTCGTGGCCGCGACCGATTTCGCAGGTGTCACGTTGAATCACTGAAGCCGGGGGTGTCGATCGACGAGAAGTATCATGACCTCGTAAGTGTTCACATACCCTTGTTCTCAGTCTCCGACTTATGTATCTTTCTAGTCTCTTCGGGATGCCCTTGCAGAGTATGCCGACGATCTTGACGCTTACAAGGAGGTCTTGCGTGCGCTTGATCTCAACTTCTAGGTAGTAATCGGCGATGCGGGTGCGTCCTATGTGCGAGGTATATGGTGCAGAGAATGCGGTTGCACCAGTGCAACTCGAGCTGGGACCAACGAGATGTATTAATGTGGGCGCAACTATTATCATACATAATGTGCTACTTCAATGCAGTGTATACACGTCGCACGACAACCACTTTGACAACGCGTACGCACTCCACACTCAAAGCAATCAGCTGAAAGCGGGTCGCAATCGAAAACGCTGAGGTACACTAGGCTAAGACGGAGCTAGAGTACGCTACAGACTGCTTCAGACCACATCACGCGGGTGCCTGCCACCTACGACAGCACACGAGGGTGTGCGGGGGCGATAGCAGACACGTGGACGCGCGAGTGGCAGAGAAAACGAGACAGAGCGAGTGTGTGTGAGAGAGCCATAGCGAAAGCGAAAGAGCGACAGTAAGAGCGAGACAAGAAGTGATCAGAGGAGGGCGGGCGGAGGGGCGAGCGGAGGAGCGACACGCGAAGGACAGAAAGCACCGCGCGCGTACAGGCGCGGGAACGCCGGGCCGGGCCAGCCCAGCAGCTGAATGAACGGAGTCTGAGAAACTCGGAGTCGAGGTCGGTTGCGCTGCCCAGTCTTGCGTGGCGCGTTCCCCTGTTCCCTGTTCACCGCATCACGTGCATTCCTCCTATGAGTTCGCGCGCGTGTCGCCCGGCTGCTGTTCGCCCCAATGTCCATGGCACGTGCGCGCGGCTGCAGGCTGCACCTTCCACCGGGCACGCAGCTCATGATGTAACATTCAAGATAACTTACTACCGCAAGGGTGGCATCATCGTATCGTTACTATTACTTACTACTATGAATATCACCCAAAGGCACGTGACAAAGGTCACAGAACAACATATCTGCATACTGTATGAACTACTAGTAGTTACTACTGGTAATCGTGAATAGACGCCCCTGGTAACAATTTAATTAAGCTCCCTTGCCTCACCCCGTCCCCCTCGCACGCACCGTCTCTCGCCTACGCCGTCTCCTGTGCACCATCTCCCTTGAGTCGCCCACGCCGTCCCTCGCCCGCGCCGTCCCTCGCCTGCATCCGCCCTCTCTCGCCCGCGCTGTCTCTCGCCCGCGCCCTCTCTCGCCTGCACCCTCTTGCCCACGCCGTCTCCCGTGCACCGTCTCCCTCACCTACACCGTCTCCCTCGCCGTCTCTCAGCACCCCAGTGGGCGGCAAGGACGCGTGGCGCGCATCGAGTGATGCACGCCACGCGTCCCTCCCTTCCTTGCTCTCCTCCACCGCCTGCTCCCTGCTCTGCCTCACTGTCTGTCCAGGCAAACGATAGCGACTACACAGTCGTCTGTCGTCTGCTGTTGGACTGCAGTGTCACTTGGTGACACTGTTCTCCCCTCCCCCTCCTGCCCTCAACCTCAACCTCAACCTCAACCTCAACCTCAACCTCAACCTCAACCTCGACCTCGACCTCGACCTCGACCTCGACCTCGGTCCTCCATGCCGTCCTTCACCCACCTTACCGGCCTCCCTCACAACGTCGAGAGCGCACGAGGACGTCCATCCGGACGTCACCAGCATGGAGATTGGAATGTGGGGGCCACGGCGATGTACCGCGGCCCCTGTTTTGGTGAGTCCTCCGCCCTGCCCTGCCGTATTCCCAACACCCACCCGTCCTCCCTGCCGCTCAGTCGACAACTACAACAGGCCAAGGACGTCCGCCTGCCCGTCCTCCTCCTCCTCTCGGCCCTCCAAGTCGCCCTCCTCCTCTGTGCATGTCGCCCGCCTGCGCCACCTCCCTCTGCATCGCTCGCCTCTGCATCACCGAGCTCCTCCTCGTCCCTCCTCGTCCTCCTCCGCTCGCGCACGCCGCCCTGCTTCTCCTCACCCTCCCCCGCCCGCTCCTGCCGCCTCCTTCGCGCCGCCCACCCCCTTCACGCCACCCTCCTCTCTTGCGCTGCGCTCCTCTGCCCGCGTCACCCGCCTCCGCCTCCGTCCACGTTGCCCGCCTCCGCACCGCACTCCTCCAAACCGCGCTCCTCCGCCCGCCTCGCCCTTCTCCGCGCTGGCCTCCACCCTCCTCGCCCGTCCTGCTCCTCCTCGCTCTGCTCCACCTACACTTCTCGCCCCTTTCGCACCGCCCACCTGCTTCCTGCCGCCCACCCCCACGTTGCCCGCCTCCTCCGCATTGCCCGCCTCGCCGTTGCCCTTCTCTGCGCATGTTGCCCGCGTCCGGCTCGCCCGCGTCCGCATCGTCTTTCCCCGCGTCCGGCTCGCCTGTGTCCGCATTGCCCTCCTCTGCGTTGTTCAGCTCCTCCCGCCTCGCCTCCTCCGCCTCGTCCCGGCCCTGCGCCTCCTCCCTCGAGCCCTCCTCCATCTCTGCCTCACCCGCATCTGCGTCGCCTACCTCCGCCCGCCCGCTGCCCTCCTCCGTGTCGCCCGCCTCGGCGCCGCCCTCTGCCTCCCTCCATCTGTCCCGTAGTGTACAATAAATATATTTTCATCTATAATAATGCACAGCGTCTCTCGTCTCCCTTCTCCCATGCGCCATCTCGCTCGCACGCACCGTCTCTCACCCACGCCTTCTCGTCCGCGCCTTCTCGCCCGCACCTTCTCGCCTGTACTGGAGTCTCACCCACGCCATATCTCTCACGCCGTCTCCCTCGCGCCATCTCCCTTGCACCATCTCCTGCGCGTCACCGTCTTGGTCTCGTGCGTGTCGTCTCGTGCGCCTCGTCTCGCACATGCCGTTTCGCGCGTGCGGTATCGTATGCACGCTCTTGCGTGCAACACCTCACTGGTGACTCGTCCCAGGCCCGCGGGTGTCCGCCACGGGTGCACACCCGTGAGATACCCGTCTGACCCGTGTGCATGCTGACCCTCGGGTCTACGGGTGCGGGTGTGCGCGGGTACGGGTGCGGGTCGAGTCAGAATCACCCGAGGGTCACCTGTGGTGAACCCTACTCGCTGGATCATTCGGCCGCCCACACGGCATCATTGCTGCGCCCGCGACATCACTCACGCGCCCGACACGCAGCCGCGCCAAGCCGCGCCTTCCCCCTCCCGCCTGCCGTTTGGTATGATGACATCATCGCTCTCCCCCCGGAACTTGGGTGGCGGGTGTAAGTGACGGTGAGGGGCAGGCCATAGCAGCAGTCCATAGAACGAAATGTATTATTAGGTGCGCATCGTAAATACAAACAGATACAAAAAAGAACGGGGGCAAACGGCCAAGAGGGGAGGGCACAACATGGGGGACAGCGAGCTCGCCGTCAGAGACAGCGAGCGCGGGTGGCGGGGCGGGAAGGCGCCGGCGGAGACACGGCGGGGGAGGCGGGGCCTGGGGATGTCGGGGCGGGGGGAGCACACGTAAGCAGTCGGAAGAACTGGGGCCGCGGGTCGGGACATCACGGGGCGGGGCGGGGAAAACATACGGAGGGACAAGACATATGCCATAGTGGGGGGCGTAGGATATTGCCTTGCAAGGGAATAGATGGGCGCACTACGCAGTGCGACTAGTAGTGTGGGGCAGGCGGGAATTTGAGTCAGGAAGACTCGGCACGGCCCCCCGGATCAGTCGAGTCTGGGAAACTGATATTCCGTGAGGGACAGGTGGCATAGTCTGCGCGCGTCGCCTGCCCCTTCCGTCCATATACCCTTGCCTGGCTTGACCCGGTCGTACCAACGCGCGTCGCCTGTGGGGTCCCATCTCGGATCACCACGCTCCCCATCCCCTTCTACATCCACGTCTAGCGTTGGCTCGTCGCGCTCTGGCGCCCCGTCCTTCGGGACAGACAAAGCCACGTACCCCATCCCCTATGCGCTGTCGGCGATCCCGCCGTGGCGCGATTCGGTCGTCTGAACGATTCGCGGCGCCTGCGGCCGTTGGACTTTCTGCAACTACCTACGCGGTGCAGGCCCGTTACATAGCACATGTAGTCAAACGAATCCGGGATATGTTCTTAGCTGTGTAGTTACACGCGCATATGTGACACATAGGGATAGAATGATAATAATAATAATAATAATAAAGCAGACGGACTCAACTCTCGACCTGCAGGATGATGCGGACGCTTCTCGACCGGCACCGGAGCGACATCTCAAGCCCACTTTGTTGGAGACTGTGTCTCGCTGTCCACATTGGTGAGCGTGTTGAGCGTACTGTCTGAGGAGATGGATGCTGATTTGGGTCCGGATCCACCACTGTTCGTTCCACGGGCTCATGGTCTACGTGCGCCGCAGTGTCGTGGTCCGCGGAGATGGCGTCTTTGATAAGCTTCAAGCGCATCCCTGCTTCCTTTCCTGGACATGCCTCTCCCCGCTGGCTCCACCGTGACCTCCCTACTGGCCCTCTCCAACGCCCTCAGCCTGGCACCGTGAAGACCGTTGCCATCCTCGGTGGAAGCTACGGCGGGGCCCGCGCTGCCGCTATCCTCGCCCAGGGCCTCCCCCACGGCTGGCGTCTCGTTCCCATCGACCGCAACTCGCGCATCAACCATCTTTAGGTCCTCCCCCGGTACGCCGTCCTCCCCGGCCATGACTCGCACAAGGCCTTTATCCCCTACAACAACGTCGTCCTCCCTTTGGGCACCGGCTCCACCCTCGGCTCCTTTGTTTCTGCCGCATACACGGACCCCGCACGCACGGTCCTGCTACACGCATCCGTGACGTCCCTCGCGACACACACCTCACCCTTGACCGTGCCTTCCCGGAGCACGGCGTTTCCGAGGCCGACCGGACCCTCCACTTCGACTAGCTCATCTATGCCCTCGGCTCGCACCTCCCCTCGCCCATCAACCTCTGGAACCCCGCCGCGGAGAATGTGGAGAAGGCGGAGGTGCTCGATGTCGCGCGCGGCACAAAGGAGGGCGGGGTCGCGTTCCTCATGCAGTTCCAACTCCGCGTTTCGCGCGCAGCTTCCGTCCTGGTCGTCGGTGGGGGTGCCCTCGGTATCCGTGAGTACTCCTCCCTTCCTCACGCGCACTGTCCCCGCATTCCCCCCTGCCCTCCGCTGCGGTCTCCACGTTGGTGAGTCCCCACGAACACCCCGCCGTGTGGTTCGATCGCCCGCAGCGTCCGTGTCCTGGCGCCCGCAGCTGGTAGCTTGCCCGGTGGCCAGTCGTGAGCGTTGGCTCCGCATTTATGCGTACCACGGCACTCGAAATGCCGTTGAGGCCGCCGCGACGACGTTCTGTATGCCGCGTTGGCTATCCCGGACGCTGGCTTGATTCCTGGACCACCTCTTGATCGCGTTCACGCGGACGTCTTCATGGGTGTGGTTCTGGGTCACTGTCGTCATATCTGGCTGGCCGGATCTCTACCCCGCGTTTCCTGGTATGCTAACCGTACCTGCTCTCCTCTAGATGTCGCCGCGGATATCGCGGGGATCTATCCAGCCATCAATGTCGCCTTACAACACTCTCGTCACCGTCTCCTGCCGAGGTTTCACGAGTCGATGCACAGCGAGTGTAAGTGCGACCATTTCTCATGCAACACGGTTTACCAACGACTGAACCTTCATCTCTAGCCTGTCCGCTCTGAACGTTTGCACTATCCTCGGCGACCGCCTCGACCTCGCCTCACTCCACGACAACAAGCACTGCAACGGCGAGCGCGTCGTCCACACACAGACCGGACACAAAGTACAGGCCGAGCTGGTGGTAAGTACCCTCGCCGGTATGATCGACTCCATTCCTATACTCATCTTTGTACGATTGTAGCTGCTCTGCATCGGCCAGACCCCCGACACGCAGCTCCTCCGCGACGCCTTCCCTCAGTCTGTCGTCGCCGATGGCCCTGACAAAGGGCTCGCACGCGTCCGGCGCACGCTCCAGCTCTCGGAGCCCGTACACGAGTCCGAACCCCCGACCGCTGTCCACGACTTCTCCATGCTCTCCGTCGTGACGGCCTCCACCTCTGCCGGACCCTTGTCGACAGAGCCCTCCCCCGCCAACGTCCCCTCAACCGACGCGTCCGATCCTGCGACCTCCGCTGATGCGTCCGAGACCCCGTCACAGGCGGATGAGGCGCAGCTCGAGGACATCGAGGACGCGAGGACGCGCCTCGCGGCGGCGCACATCTTTGCGATCGGGGACTCGGTGGACGCCCTTGGCGCGGTGAACGCGGGGCACAATGCGTTCTTCCAGGGCGAGGTCGCGGCACAGAACGTCGTCCGGCTGATCAAGCGGGATGAGCGCGAGCAGAGGGCCGAAGTGGAGGTTGCGTCCAGTAGGTCGGGCAGGACTGGGAGGATTGGAGGATGAGATGGAGGAGGCCGAGGCGCATGAGTAGAAGACGGAGGAGCAGAACCTCGCGCTGGAGAAGTACGCCCTGGGCGCGCCGGCGATCAAGGTGTCCCTCGGTCTGGTGAGTATCTTCTCCTCCCCACTCGCGCTTTCGTTCTGCACGCGACCCCTCCTCTTCGGGTTCCGGCCTGTCCTACGCTTCCCGCGTCCTTCACTCGCGTGCGCCGTGCTGACTGTGCGCGCCTTCCTCAGCCAAAGTCAGTCTACCAGTACCAGGGCGTCATCGGCACGCGCGATCAGGAACAGGCCGACCTCGACATCCACATGATGTGGCACTACTTCGGGTATGAGGTCGAGCGCGGGGACCTCGACGCGGACCGCCCGGACGAGGAGATCCCAGGCGCGGTGCCGCGACCGGTGTATACGACGAAGGAGGTCAAGGCGTGAGTTTGCAGCTGCACTTTCCGGATCGGTGCGATCGGAGACAGGTGTAGACCCCGGACGCCGGTCCTTTTGTAGCTCGGAAGCTGTAGAATCGACTGCGTGTGTTTTCTCTCTTGATTATCTTGGCACTGCGTCAGGCTCTTTGGCCGATCCATCCCTTCGCGTAGTGGACGACAACCGTTCGCTGTTTCCTCAGGGGATGTCGGAAGTGGTGAGTCGGCACGGCCCGTTACTGCTACGGTGAAACTGACTGTTCACGCTCCATACAGATGAATGTTTGAACTGTGACATTGTTATGAGGCGGGATCGAGTCTGGACAAGCCGCACATAGATGAAGCATTCTGGGTTCCGGTTCATTGACGAGTCCTCTTCCACCGATATCCGTCTGCCTCTGTTTACTCGCGCGAGGCGCCATGCCGCCGCCGCCGCGTCGGCCGTCGCGCGCGAAGTCACGCCCGCTCTCCGAACACCAATTCGTTTCGCTTTTGTCCGGCACGGTCGTCCACTGTTTTACGGGGATCCCGACGGAATGTGGTAAGCCCCCCTTCGCTGGTAGTGCTCCTGTACATTTGCTGATCAGCCCGTGTGATATGTGCGAGACACCCTGAGGACGAACCTGGCCGTCATGCCCGACGTTTCTACGGAGAATCAGATGTGCTCACGTCGCCGCGAGCAGCGTCCTCCGTCGTCCGGGCAGGTTCTGCTCGTGAAATTCCCGTCCATACCATTTTCCATTGACCGCTATGGATGTAAATCCTCACGTCCGCCTGTCTACTGCTGGGAGGCCACGCGCTGGCCACGATCTCCGCCACGTGCGTCCCCAATGCGTCCGCGGCCTCGGGTTCCATGACGACGTCTTCCTCCGACTCTGGGTTCTCCGTTCTTAAATAGAAATACGCACGCTCTACGCATTCGAATGCAGCACCGGAAGTGAGCGCTGCGAGTTTGGCGATGTCCGCGCCCGATGCGCTCGTTAGGGCGACGAGGGGCAAGGACAAACCGATGCGGCACAGATGGGTGCTGTTCGCTCGCACTATTCCGTCCGCGATCGCAAGGAGAGTCTCGGTCGTGGCTGCTGGAAAATCGAGGCTGACATCTTCCATATTTCGCAAGCTAGACAGCAAGCTAGACAGGAACGATGGGTCTGTATTGGTACTGTCAGCATGAATCAGGGCGTGCGAGGGTGCAGATAGACGTACCGGCGTGAGAGGGATGTCCAAAGTAGAGGTTTTTGACGAAAGGCAGCAGTTTTGAAAGGGCAGCCGTGCGCAGAACCAATGCGAACGGACTCGAAGTTGGTGGATCAAACAAATGGAAATCAAAGGTCCTGAGGGAAGTGCATGAGGGAGTGCTTGCGAGGTAGTGTAACAGGATGTGACCACAATCACTCTCCGCTCCCTGGATCTTGAGGTGTTGCAGAAGTGGTCGTGAAGATGGGCGCAATATTGCTGTGGTGTCGACAGGATATATGGGGAAGGAAACGTCCTTCGTGGTGAGACTGCTCAACCTGGGGAGCGCAGCCAATGTACGACGGAAGAGCGTGAACGACGGAAATTTGCTGTCCGATAGCTCCAGCGTTGTTAGATGGGTGAAGGCTGAGAGACACGCAGCTGCGTGTTGTGCTTGAATCCTAGAGTCAAAGGCGAGACCAGACATGTGGAAGATCCGAAGGGTGGGGACGCGTTTAGCCATGCAGGCGAGCAGTGTGTTCCAGGATGACGAGCGGCTCTCTCCCTCGCTATCTACCGCCACCGAGAGTACCTTGAGTCGCAGAGATGAAGCCGGCGGTGACGTAGGAGCGTCACTGGCGAACAATACATTGGCTTCCTTGATTTTGAGTGTCTGGCAAGTGGACTGGCGAAGGACATCCCTACTTGCAGGCAGCCAACCGTGGGAGACGAGGACGCAGTGAAGAAGTGTCGTTGCGTCCAAGTACGGACTGAGGCATCGGATGATCATGTCCCAGATCTCCGGAGGGAGACGGGGAGACGATTGTGTGGGGGTGTTGGCGTGAGGGTCTTCGAATGGCACGGCCCTGGACCAGAGCGGGACGAAAGGGTGGATGTTGTTCGCGAGGGATACCATCACTGTCGCGCGAATGATGAAGTCCGCCCGCACTCTCTCCAGTGCATCTAAGACGCGTTGTGCCGCCGTGATCGCGGTCGGGGTGGCTCCGTCGCTCTCCTCAGCGCAGCCCTCCATCAGGAAAAACCCAAATCTATAATGAGACGTTACTGAGGCTTGTGAGGGCTAATGAGCCGGATTATAGCGTTATTCAGAAGTATTATTATTCGCTTACCCATCTGCTAATGAGAGAGCATTACACGGAGAAGGAAACATTAGTCGCGAGAGCAGGCCCTCACCAGGTGCATTTATTCTCACTCACATCCATAGATCACTGCTTCAAGCTCTGGATATCGAGTAGTAGCACTCTTCACACATAGAATATAGCGCAATCATGGATGAGCATTGATTCAATCTAGACCAGACCATAACCCAGCTACAGCGACATAGATGTACATATCAACGACTGAAGATGATGCGATATAAACGGTACTGTAGGTGCGCGCATAGAGACGGAGAAGTGCGGGGTCGGAAATGCGTGAACGGGGAGAATGGATACAAAGACGAAAAAGCCGCATACTAACGAGAGTGGGCTGAACCTGGCGCGTGCACGCGAGCGGCACGGCACGGACGCCGCATCCCGAAGCACATGTGTAGCGATAGACAGTCCGATTGTGCAAGTGCCGGCGCACACGGTCTTGTCGGAGGTGAGCCTCCTTCGTGAATGGCCAGTTGGGCGCGCGCGCGAATACAGTGGTGTCAGAAACGACCACTCGCGCTGCCGCGACCAACGCGCACGCGCAAGGGCGGCCCTCTCAAGCCTTTCGCGCACCATCCATCCGCCGGTCCTCTCGGGGGACCAAATCAAGCGCGCCATGCTCGACGGTGCACGAACCGGCGCTCTCCCCGTCTGCGTCTGGATCTGCTCCCGCCTCTGCGTCAGGGGCAGCAGCGGGTGGGCCGTCGACCTCGGAGACGACAAACGCGCCCTCGAGAGGGACCGTGTGCGCGCTCACGCTCGCATGCCACGCCGACCGCTCGCTGACGATGTACCCGCGGAAGACGGTGGGGAGGACGCTGGTTCGGCCGTCAACGCCATCCGTTGGCGGGACGTGGATGTGGACGAAGACGATGATGCAATCCCGGGGGCGGACGCGGCCGTGGAGCGCGCACTTGCGCCAGGCCAGCGCGTATCATACACGCGGGATTCTGTCATGCGTGGGTGAGGGCATGTATGGGGGAGGAAACGGATCAGCAAAGCGGAGCGGACAGAGGGAAGTACAATGTCTCACCTGTGACAAGGACGTTTGTGATCCTAGACCGCATCCACTAAATGACCATGACCAGGTCCGTCCGGGCTCGCTGCGTGTGTTGTCCGGGTCGTGCGTTTCGTCAGCCTTGTTCAAGACGGAAACCAGCGCACTCTTCAAAGCTTCAAATCCAGAACGAGCCCTGTACGATATGACCGGCCAACGAAAGTGGACACACGCCGCCGGCTGCGCTCCCCAAATGCAGCGACGATACATCACGGTGAACAGGGACACAGGCAGGGGGTTGTGACAGGGGCACTCACAGATTCCCAAGATAGATGGGTGGTCCGCCGTGGTCGAAGACTTGTTCAAGGCCTCGGGCGGAGGGGAAAGATCAACGGCAGCGCGAATGAGACCGACCTGGCAGATTAGTAGCCTAAGGGAACCCACGGAAGCGCGAGTACCTGCGGGGGCGCGCGGCGGCGAAGAAAGAGCTCTGGGGCTCCTTGTCGTCCTCAAGGCCGCGGAGGAAAAGGAAGCAGGGTGTGGCTCGTGAGGTGTGCGAGGTGGAGGCCTAAGATTCAAGAACCAGGCAGCGGAGAAAACAACGATGGGGAGTTTGACGGAGGAGGATGGAGGCGGAGGCGGAGATGGTGGAGACAGCTGGCACCGAGCCTCGGGGACGCGCGTCGCGTTGGGAATGGGCGCTCAGCGCTCAGTGACCGCGTCCCGTGATCGCGTCCTCGACGCCACATTTGTGAGTCGAAATGTTGTCCGAACGCCCATCCAGTCTCCCCTATACAGCACCCTCTTCTTCTGGATATAAGAGTTGCTCAAGCTCACGTCTTCTCGCTTCCTCCGCACTCCCTGCCGCATCTCGTTCCCAGACCCCGCGCGCTTTTGCGTACTTCGACTGCCACAACCACCATCTACTAGCTTCGTACCTACCTCCATCACCTTGGCCTCCCTCTACCTCCTTCGACGACGAAAATCCCGCCTCCCTGTGCGCGAGGGTCATCAGGTCATCTGCGATCTGCGACAACACCTGTTCCAATAAGTAGCATCGTCGTTCAAGGCAAGTTCGCGCTTCGCGAGGCCAATCAGATGGAGCGATAAATGTGCTCCTGCCTCCAGCCGCTGCTCAAAATCAAGCTCGCGGCCCTCAAGGAGTTTGTACAAAAGATCCGGCGCGACTTCAAGGGTTCCAGGCCATATCCTCGGTACGTTCTCCCATCACCAATGCCTTCCACCGCCCTCTACATTGTCATGTCTGCGGCACCTGCGTTCACAAACAAGAGACAGAAATCACCCTCCACTTCGCCGCCCTAGCCCCTTTCCCATCCCGTTTCCGTCCACACCGTTGCCCGGCCGTACAGCGCGAGATCCTCGCGTAGCTCGCACAGCGCACCCGGTACTACCCGGAGTCGTCGATGTCGACGTTGATGTTCCCCACGTCGAGCATCCCCATCGACCCCGTTCTGTTGCCAGGTCCCTGTCCCTCAAGAACAGATGCTGGGCGCGAAGATGGGGCACGATGTGGTCATCGACTCCCCGCGGCAACGCTTGGGCGAGTGCGACTTTCTGATACTCCACCACAGCTACTAGATTGTCTATGTGCTCGTGCGCGGTTTCTGTGGCAAGCGCAACAGCTTCTTCCGCATTAATTCGATCCTCGTCGGCCGTGACGCCACGCTCAACACCTACACCCAGCTCGCCCCGGGAACGGCCATGCCCGATGGCGCAATGTACGGCCCGAACATATTCTCGGATGATGACGACTCCCTCGACCGCCACGTGCAGTACAACCACGCAGCGCTCCTACTGCATGTTTCCACACCGACTGCATCTGCCCAACACGAGCCGCACACTCAATCTACGAGCAATGCCATGATTGGCACTGCGCCCGACTCGAGCTACGCGCCACTGAACTCACGCGTCTACTAGTCAGGCTGCACCGTCCCCGCCTCGTTACCCACCGCACCCAGCCCGTGATTGCGTCCGTCGCACATCGCAGTACTTAGACCACGAAGCAATCGCATTTTTTGTCCGTTCCATCTATGCGTGCTCATGTGTGGTGGAAGTCAGCCATTACTGTTGCTACTACTTGTCGGGATCGAGTCGAAAATATCATTATCGGCTACCTACATGTACAGATATCCATCACACCCACTCAAACATGTCAAATTATACCTCATCCACCCAATAAGCGGCCAGAAGGAAGGAGATAGTGTCTGTAAACTGCGGTGAGTTGGAACAGCGGCAGTATTTTCGCGTATATCGGCTTACCAATATTTTACCTCTCAATAGGGATTTGGGTTTTTCCTGATGTCGACGATCAGGGTAAACGTGATCGTCTCCAAGCCGGCAAAACGACTGCGTCCGATCAACCTGGCCAGTTCCGCGAGCGTCGTGAGGGACTCGACCGCGCGAGAGAGCGCGACTTGAGGAAGGGCGAGTGTGAGCTTGCGCAGCTCTGGGATGTGCCCGTGCCCGAGTGTGCGTACGAGCGTCAGGAGGTCCTTTGGACTGCCGTTTGTTAGACAGAGTGTGAGATCTTGCAAGTGATCGAGGCCTGGACGTGAGGATGGAAATTCTGTGGAATGGGTCGCCAAGGTAAGCGGGAAGCGTCACAAATGCCTGAGCCGTGTACTGACCGGAATCGTCCCAGTCATATATCTCAATGAGGAGTTCGCTTGTTGCGCGTAGGAGCTTATCAATAGCAGTCATCACCTTCACGGGGCCGTCGCAATTTATCCTTGTGAGCTGCTTCATGAAGACGTGAATGGCGATGGAGTTTCGTGTTGATGTGCTGGCTAGCCACTTCAACAATTGTCCTGCAAAGTTCAACTCGTCGGACTCCGAATCAATGTGTATTTCGAAGTGTTGAAGTGCTGTGGATGCTTCATAATATACATAATCAGTGTCCGTCGAAGGCACAGCATATCGGATGCCTCGGACACGGAATGTGTACAAGGTCGGAATGGAGGTGATGGTGCGACAAAGGGATGAGAAAGAGGGAAGCATGCAGCATATCAGGCAGAGCGCGGTGACAGAGGTGGATGTCGAGACGGCAAGGATGCTTTCGTGGGGACTTGCAGTCCAGATGATCTTCCCCCGGACCTGGGAGGAGCGTGATGAGCCATGAGAGCGATAATGACGTTGAAGAACAGTGGTTGTGCGGTGGAGGGAGTCCAGCATAGGCCTCGAGGTACACTGGCACACCTGTGGCATAATAATACTCACGATTACATCTGCCTGTTCTACTGTGAGCTGTGTCTCTCTGGACCACAGAACGTGTCTGCTTGCAGGGAGCCACGTGCGGGAAACGGCGGTGCAGGCGTAAAGCGTCTGTCTATCGTTGCGGGGGGAAAGGTGTCGGATAATATTCTCAGAGATATCCAGAGGGACGCGGGGACAGGACCAGCAGGATTCGATGGCCGACATGGCGGGGAGCGGGCAACTTGGGGGAGAGGCGGGTTATGCGGATTATGATTATCGTGATTGTGCATTGATTGGCCCGTGCACATTGTCGCTTTCACACGCCGGATTTCCTCATCGCGAAACGCCCGCGAAATAGCACACGTGTGAGATTGGAGGAAGGTTATGGCGATGGCCTTCAGGCCGATGACCGCGGGTGATGCGTCGATGAGCGCTATCGTGGCCAGACGCGGCACAAACGGGTCCTCCGTGACCATCGACTTCCATTACACCACATCAAAACCAAGTCCACACACGCTGCAGCACACCGTCGCTCTTTCGGAGATCATGAGGGGCGTCCCCATAGTCACCATAGCCGTTCGGTCCCACACCGGTACATGTCTTCACTGCATTCAAGCGATTCTCGCATCCTCAGCCTCGGAAACTCACATCACCGCCGGAGACCTGCCCTCCCTTTCCGAACTGCACGGAACGGCAGACCTCGAGATCTCGATGCACAACAGCACCAACGCGGGCTTTCTCGCGGTCCTGCGCGCCATCGCAGACGGGACCAACGATGCGCTGCACGACCTCATCGTCGGCCCGCCGCCGCCGCGTATTTCACCGGGAGCTCGCGACGCGTACCCTCTGCGCTCCGCCCGTCTGTCTTCGGAGCGCGAGCGTCCGCGTTTTCATGGTAGAAGGGGGCGCGGCGAATGCAACTGCGATGCGACCAAGGCCGGACGTTGTGGTGACTTTGGGGGCGGCCCGCGCGTCGTGGAGGATTTCGCGAGCGTGTTGCCCCATTTTGTGCGGGCGACGAAGGTGGAGGTTGAGATCGTCGGCGAGGGGGAGCGTTGTGTCTGTCGAAGCCGAAGAATCAATCAGGGGAATGGCCACAGTGCGCGATCAGATGCAATGGGCCCTCACGTGACGGCGGCGTCAAGAGGTGCGCAAGATCCGTCGTTGTTCCATGCAACGGTACTGCACGAAATAATGACTGTATAGGCGGAAGCGGAGTTACTAGTCAGTGCCTGAGACGCGAGATCAATAAGATCAGAGCTCGCGAAGACGGATGGAAGAGTGGAATATGTACAGAGAACGACATAGGGTACTCAACCGACTACATTGATACCCGCCTGAACACGGACACGAATCGATTTCGCGGAAGCAGGCGGCGGCTTGATCAGCCATTTCTGAAAGCCTTCGTCCATCCCTTCAGTGGCCTCCAGCTGTGCGCGGTACCCGGCATCGAGCTCGAGTAGGTAGCATACTTGGCGGGAGTCTCCTCGTTCGGCGCGTCGCGACCGACGTGGTCGAGAGTCGCCGCTAAGAACAGTGCGGGCTTCTTGATGTGCCGCTTCTCCTCCAGAAGAACTGCCGGAAATAAGGCTGTGAGATGGCGTATCAGCCGGACGACAGCCCGCGAGACTTGTACCCTTGTGATCGGCCAAGTTTCCATTGTTGGACCGGTGACGTCATTACTCCTTCCAGTACTCGTACAACGCTGCCGATGTGTTTGTATTCCTGGATGCACAGACGTCAGCCCTTCGCCAGTGGTAGCGCTCTGAGGCTGCCCTACATCTTCAGAAAGCCGGTTCGGGAACCCCGGCCGGCGGTCTTCTGCAAGGCTGGGGCAGAAGTGTTCGACCCACGCATCCAGATCAGCCGTGTAGAGTAGCTGCAAGAAACTGTCCATCTGACCACGAATGAACCATCGATCGCTGCGGCCGGGGGAGTCGTGCCAGCGCACCTTTTCCTTAACGAGCCTTGCAGCAGCGTGTGGCGGGTCAAGAGCTTCCCGTGCCGGAAGTGCTCGCTCCCGGTTGCCTTCTTGAGCGTCGCGCACATCTGCTCGAGGTCGACCGCATGCAGGCTGGGCGGGAAATACGCGGCCGCGAGTCACACGAACGCGCGGAAGTGATCCTAGCAGTGGTGAACCAGCGCCGACACAAGCGCGGTTCCTCTGACAGAATCGATGGCTTCAGAAACGCACGGCCTCGCGTATAGGAATAGAGCCAGACTGGACGCACCAGTCATATCCGATCGCGACGACCTCAGTGAGGCCCTCGGCGTCGACATGCCCCGGTCCACGGCAGTCAGGAACGACGGCCGTACGCCGTCGCCGAGAGGGGCGAAGTGGGCGACTTGGGTGGGCAGGAAGCCGTGGATGAAGAGTATCCTGAATGCAGGCGCTGGCAGATGTTCGCAGTGCGACGCCAGTCAGAGCGGCGTTGAAGCAAAAGTCCGTCGCGATCTTAACCTCGTGAATACTGCCTGGAGTATCCTTGTCAGTGCGATCAGTACGGGGGTTGTCGTGCGCCATCTCGGATCCGGAGACGAAGTACGGCCAGATGGTGCGGATGTCGCGGCCGATGAGCTAGAGTCTGATCTCGCGGGGCGATGGGTTCAAGGGACTGATAGGTTCAGCGATTCTGTGGACTAGCGCGGGCTCAGTGCGTTGCGAGAAAACGGAAGAGGAAGTAAAAAGCAGGATGTCTCGTGGAGCCAGGCAGCTTGGAAAGGGAGGAAAGGAAGCGCAACTTACCACGCTAAATGAGTATTCGATCACCATGGCCCCCTGGTCGAACCCGCCCAGGTCCAGGTCTTCCCGCTCAGGAAGAGCATCCGAATTGGAGCACCTCTGCAGCGAATTTCGTGCGGTTCGAGATGTCGCTGAGAACCGTGGTAGCGCAGCTCGATGTCGCCGAGCACGCGGCAGCATGCGTTCTGGTGGTATAGGTCTTCGCTGCAGGGACTCGGATAGGAAACAGGGTTAAAAACGCGTTCATCCAGCAAGGCCACCGCGCAGAACAGTGGGACCGGTGGACGGGCTTTGCGCGCGGGGAGGGGTGAGCCTCCGGAGGAGATCGCGGAGGCATGAGGGAAGGCCAAACCAAAGGGCCGAGGGATGTCGAGACGTCTGAAAGTTGGCGACACTGCTCAAGTTGGGAGTAAAAATATTAAAGTGACTGGATGCACTGGTCAACAAAAATAGGTCAGATTGGGCGTATACGCTCACCGTTGCCGGGCGTACATCCTCGTGGATCGCTTCTTGAACTTCGGGCAGGGTGGTGCCAAGATAGAGTACTAGTATTCGGCGTACGTGTATCTGACGGCATAGACAGAGCGTTCAAGGGTTGTAACGATGTGAGTCATTGCAGACGAAAACACAAGGAATGCGCTCAAGAGTGGCCAGCCGGGAAACAGAACGCGGCGTCAGGAGCCGGCCACGTGGCCGGACTCACGGACCGCCGCCCATCCCCGGGAGCCGGGAGCCGGGACCGTTTTTCGGGGCGGAATCGTGCTCAGTTGCATTCACCACCGCCGGTCTCTTCTTCCTCGTCCACCGCTGTCGCCAACCTATTTCGACCGTGTCCTGATCATGAGCTCCATTTCCAGATCGGCAGCAGCTAGCACCGTCCTCTCCATCATTCCCGGTATCCGTCCAGCACCCTCACGCGGACGTTCGAAGCGCACTTCCGCAAAATGAAGTTCCTTCGACGGATGTACTCCCTTATAGCCATGGCATGCTCTCTCACGGACCATCGGGTGTTATCAGTTTGTGGAGAGGGTAGGCGGGATTTCCGAGAAGGCGCGATATAGCAAGTGAGTAGCCCCTGCATATATCATGGCATTTTTGCGAACAAGCTCGCTTTTAGGTGCCGTCTCTGCCGGACCATCGACCTGGACGGTCGATGTGACAGCCCTCGTCGAAGGAAAGACCCCCTCCTCTTGGGATGGCCGGTATGAAACGTTCTCTGGTTCCTACGTCCACTCAGCCCTGGACCGTCTCCCCCTCTCCATGTCGCATGTCTTGTACCTCGCACCCCGGACCTCGCGTTTCTGCGCCCCCTGAGATACCGTCCCTCCTTCTACCACGTTCCCCTCGGCCAAGAAGCATGGCGGAACCGGGAACGATGCATTGTAGTCTCCCCGGGATCAACCCCGGGATCAGCGTTGTGACGTTTCAGTTTCTGTGCACCCTCTATGTGCGCTGAAGTACCGTACTCGAGCATCCTCGCCTCCATCCTTCTATTCCCAGTCGCTCGCGTGGCCGCTTTCTGACATCTGCATATAGTTCCTTTCCACAACACACGTGCTCTCCCGCCGACTCTACGTTCCCCCGTCCGTCCTTTCTTTCTTCTCTGCAAGCTCTCCGCCAACGATCCACGTCGGATCTTTAGATCGTCTGGCAAGATCCCGTCCAGGTATATTCACTCTCGTCACAACACACGCTGTCATCGACTAAGAAGACTTTATCCAGAGAGTCCTCAAGAACGCATGCACTGGATGGCCAGAGACGTCTTCGCCCTACCCTGGTCGACGGGATCGCGGGCCAGCGGCTACCCCTGTCTCTAAACCCCTTGCACACCAACATCATACCATTGCCGCTACCGCGTCAGGGCACCCATATCCCGACCTCTGTCTTCATGCCCTGGGAGCGCTCTATTCAAACACAGGGCGACGCACATGAGACGTGTATCCTCATCCTCATGAAGAGCCGCCACGATGGAGCACGACTCGAGAGACCGAAGGGGCACACACGTGTAACGCTCCACCTGGGGAGGATGCGGTTTCGCAGCCTGCGTCGCCGCCGATCGCAAGTTGCCAGGTCACGGGCAGCACGTCCTCCTCCGCCCTCAGCGACGCCCTCTTTGTGTGGATGCTCCGCTCCGTCGTAACTCCGCCCACGCTAGCTTCGCGCGGTGCCTCCTTCCAGCTCTACCGGTGCCGCGTCTTCTACGACTCGTTCCTGGTTCACTCGCACCATCCAAGAGCGACTTCTTCGCAGATATCGCGTCTCATATCGCGGTATTTTACGCGTCCGCGGCCATCCGCGCACGCGGATCTTTTCCTCCGCACGGGGTGGCTCTCGGACGCGACACCGTCTCAATGTGCGCCTTCGTTCTGATTCGCGTATTTGATCGCGCTGTGCTCCAGCAGGGTGTCGACGTGGTTTGAACGAACCGCTGTGACGCTCACGGTAAGGATTCCTCCGCGAACTAGCCTTTTCGAGCTTAGACTGACGTCCATGACATTATCCTGTAGACGTTTTCCTGGCGGAAGATCATGCTACATACGTGTCCTGCTAAGTTACGTGTGATACACAACAACACTGCGAGAGGCTCGACCACCGCACTGCCACGACCGCACGTATTGGCCGTTCACACCGAGAAGATTCAATGACGTTATAACATAAGATGAGTGTCCTCAAATGATCTTCCCGAGCACACGAAGTTTCACGCATCCCGGTCAAGTGCTTGAGAGCCGTCGCGTATAGCGTCATGTGCTGCTAAAGTCCCCCTTTGTTATCAGTATCATCGGTCCTTTATGCGTTTATCAGTGATCCATCTTGGACCGATCAAAGTGAAACTGTCGACGTGCATTCCGCGCCGCGCGGCAGTTCCGCTGGCTTCGGTTTCTGTGCATGGATGTATTCCTTCGTATCGTATGCATCTATGTATGCATATGAACTTTGATCCCCGCCGATACATTGCGTCTCACGCTAATAGCGGGAGCGCATAAGCAGACAGTGTAGGTGGATGGAAGATGACTCCGACATGCTGTTATGGTGGGAGTTTGTTTGTCATTGTGTTTATGTTCCGTTCCTTTGCTGACACGCTCTAGCCCCCATATCCCACATGATATCTGCACCTGTCAGCGTAAAACACATACGCCTCCGTTCCGCCTCGCTGCTCGTCACTCGGTGCGGACTCTCCGGATACGTCTGTCTTCCGTATGAAGGCAAGAGTCAAGAAAGGTGGTCGCAACCATCGTGGTTCCACGCGATCCGACTTCTAGCTCGCTCCAAGAGCCTCTAAGGTAACAGCTAGCCGCATCCGTATGTGCATCCGTTCTCCGAACTCTCTTTGAGGACACTAATGTCGTCCTAGGCTCGGACCATCATCGATGGGGCGATGGCTCACCGATACCGACACACCATATATTGGATGGCGTTGTGCAGGTTCCAGAATTCAGACCGCACACTTCATTGTTCACCTCTCCGACATGCGTCTTAACTTGATCGTCTCTGCACTCTTCGCAATCGTCGGGATCAGTACGTCTGTCAAGGCGTCCCCGGTTCCTCAAGACGCCACGGGTAAGCGTTTTCTGCCCCCACGTCGCCCTGGAACCTCACGGATCTATGGTAGGCGATGCCGTCTCTCCTCCCCAAGAGAATATGTGGCTCTGATCAAGCTACGAGCTGCAATAAAGGCGCGCTTAGCAAACGTATAGGTGAGCTCTCTGTTAGCATCGCTCCCGGGAGTGAACTACTTCTAATCTTCCCCGATTAGTAGAACTGCTTCTCTTGTACATGTATGACGTTCCGTGACGAATGACGGAGATGGTGCTGCGACAACCCCACGTCGCGCGTCGTCTGCCGGACTCGAGTCGACTTATAAATGTGTTCCTTTTTTCGCGTTAAGCATTGTTTCGTGCAGTTTCGTCGGATTATATTCATACTCGTCGCCAACTGCGCGTGCAAGCGATGACATTGAGGAGGCGTAGCTGTGACACACACCCGTCGTGGTACCTCCCACGATATAGCCCTTGTAACCTGTTGATCGTTCTGATTCGCCTTCCTCCACCCCGCTAGTTCTCACCTAAACGAATCTGACCCTCCATTTAGGGCCGCGCATGGGCGGAGTCCAAGACAGCCGTCTCCCGATCGACAGCTGTGAACGTCTAGTAGTGATGACTGTATACAGGCCTGTATGTCTATCGATGCTGGGACTCGCTTAACCTGTCTTCGCTCGACGCTCTAACATCCTTCCGATCTGTCCAATCCTCGCAATCGCGGAGATGAAATTGATTGACGACGACCAGCGCATGCGAGTCCATTCTTATTAACGACCATGAGACAGATGTCGGAATATGTTTAGAATGGGTGTAGATGACTAGGGTGGGGCGATGACGTTGCACTAGCGATGTTCGTTATCTGACCATCCCCGACGGCGGCGAGGATCATAACGAGAGCAAACGTACCTCGGATTGAACGAGCGTAACGAACGGACCAGCTCCGGGTGCGCGCGCTGGCCTTCGCCGAGGTCCCGTCGGCGCGCTCCACGGATGACGTGGGTCGCTGTTCGAGAACAGAGAGAGTTCATTGAATGAACGGACGGGGGGAACATCGATTCGTCGAGGGAAAACGTGGGTGGTGGCAAGGAACCTCGCAGACGTCAGAAAGTCACTGCGCTGGTTGGCGGCGAAGTGCATAGAGAATACACGGGAACCAAAACGTGATACAGGGATTGTGACAATGGAGTGCCTACTCGTCCGAACGAACCTTTTGAACGAGTTTGATCGTGGGGAGACTAGACCTTCCACTGCGGCTTCCGGCGCGAATTCTCGAAAGGTGGGTCCGGGGTGCGGAGGCCAACACACGCGACGCGGAGCGGAAGAGACGGACCAGGACTGAATGGGCGTCGACTCGCGGTAGATGAACAAGATTAACGCCGCGTGTTGCCGATCGTCTTCGCGCAACGTGAGATGGCTTCCGGATGATCCAGCGACGTCCGTGGCATGAGGATGCTTCTCGCTGGTGGTGTTCCCACTGCTACGACAGGCAACGCAACCGCGAGAGCCAGAGAACGCCTCATGTGCGGCGATGCCGCATCCAGGTGTGTGGGCCGGCAAAGACGGCACCTACAGGCGAGCTTGTTCGCAAGAACGCTATGATATGTGCAGGGTTACTCACCTGCTGTATCACCCCTTCTCGACAATCCCGCTCGCTCTCTCCACTAACTGACAGCACCTGAGCGACCAGGTCATGGCGCAAAGGAGTGCACCCGTCGAAGGAGCTTCATCTTGCGGAAGCACACTCGGGTGATGGCGGAGCGCAACCGCACTCCGAAAATTGATCGCAGGAAACGGCGGCGGGCGCGGCCACGTGACCGGTTGATGCGGTCGTCGACCCCGCGCGTTCGCGGCTTCAAGTTTCCGCCTGCACAGGGCAGTCGACAGCCAGACTCCCGCGTGGTCGTGAACTAATCCCAGGGGTCGTGATCGGCCTAACAAGACACTCGCGGAGACCAACAAGACGCCGAGGCAGATCGTGGGATGCTCAACTGCACTTTGCGCATAGATAACACTACACGGATACTAATACTATGTTCTGCACACAGTGATGACGCGCTCAAGCCTCAACCACTGCCTCGGCCTTCGGGTCCTTGAACATACCCCAAATGCCCCAGTCGCACCATGGAGAATGGAGGGTCCTATCACCGCGGAAGGTGAACCCTATCTTCTCGTAGACTTCGACCTGGGTTGACAGATTCAGTCCAGGCGCGCGACCGTGAAAACACGCGCTCGGCTTACGTTTGAGGCCTTCGTCGCAGTGAGCCCAACGTTGGCTCCTCTGTTGGCTGCCTGTACATGATCACGGACGTCAGCGCGCTCCAAACAGCACCGGAGGACATGGGAACAACGCTCACCTCTTCGAACGCCATTTGGAACATGCGCGTCGCGAGACCCTTCCTCTGGTAATCCGCGTGGATCATGGCAAAGTTGCACCAGTACGTGCTGCGCTCGGTCTCTTTGGTCCCGAAAATCTCATCGTTGAGCTTCGGCAGGTCGACCGTGTTCTGCGAGGGTAGAGTGTGAGATGCCTCGCTGATGCGACGACCTTGACGAGGAACGTACGGCCTGTAGGAAGTATTCCTTGGCATCTTCCGGCAGCTCGGCGACGTATTCGTACATGCCCATCTGACGCTGCTCTTCGCTGATGCGCGAGAGCACGAATCAGGTGAGCGATCGAGCGCGGGCGAGCATGAGAGCGGACGCACGTCGACATCACGAGCTGCCCCGGAAGAGTGAATAGCAAGAAGCCCACGAGCGTGCCGGACTCATCGCGGGCGATGTAGATATGGCCGACGCCGGCGACGAGGGTGATGGGGCGTATCAACAGCTTGACGAGGCTGGGGAGGCGCGTTAGGTCGCCTCCGGTGAGCGCGCAAAAGATTTTCTCTGCAAATGCAACGAGTGAGAATGGTGGAACATCGGCATACAACGGCAGTACTGGCCATCCTTCACGAGGGGAACCATGATGTCCGCCGCGTCTTGTGCTAGTGTCTCTGCGAAACGTCTGCATCAGCGAGTGATACAAGCCAACAACGTGCATCCATACCTGTCGGAGCCTCGACTCGCTCGAAGACGATGTTGGATGATGGGAGAGACATGTTGAAGACTATACTGCAACGAGTCGGAAGACAGCACGACGTCGTATAAATACGGGTCCAAGAGACGGGAACGGCCGAGCATGGAAGAGTCATCGGTTTCTCTTCATCAAGAACTGTGTCTGCGCGCGCCGTTGATCTGCGAACACCAGAAGCTTCCCTCTCGGTTGCGGATGAGACAGGGTCACCTCCCAACGTGAAACGCCCCCAGTCCATGAGACTTCAAATTCTGCCGATCCATGGGTAGTACAAGCGCTCGATGTTGTGTTCGGCAGTAGGGAGGAAGAGCTGGGCGGAGACTGGGAAGCGAACGCCTCGGAGGAACGGCGAGTGTCCACGCAGAAGGTGCGCCCCGCGCCGCACTCCCAAGGCAGAATACACCCTCTCAGCAGATGCGCCGACCACATGGGCGCGGCTTCTCGGTGACGTGAGTACATGATGAGCTCCACGAGCACCTACAAAAGAGGCAGTTCTAGCCAGAAAGAGGGATAATGTCAGTCTTCAAATGGATGGCGAGTATTTCTAGGTACAACGTTACAACGCACATAACTGCGACTTTTTACTCCTTCTCCGTGTGCTTGATGAACACTTTGAACTGCACCTGTTTACCGTTCGTCCATGTGACGGGCCCGGCACCTTGCATCGTGTACCCAAACGCTTCATATATCTTCTCCCCCGTCTGTATAAACGAATAGGGCGTCAGAGAAGCGCGCGGACGGTCAACGACAACACACGCGCACCCCGCCGGCCGTTGTCTCAAGGCAGCTCGGCACTTTCTCCTCACGCGCCTAGACGCAGCACCAGTGAGCACCCTCCGCAGTTCCTCAACGAAAGCGAACGTACCACGGCTTCGACAGCCTCGAGCAGAGCCCGGCCCGCGCCGTGCCTCTGGCAAGACTGCCTGATGCCGATCAGTTGGAGATGCCACGCGCCGAGCTTCACGCCCTCCCCGAGCACAGACTCGACGAGCGCGTCGTATTCTGCGAGAAACTGGAGGCGACCGCGAGATCATCGCACCGTGCTGACCGGTGGACGCGGAAGCGGAACGCACCTTCGGCCACCAGGTTCGGCACCTGTCGTCGAGCTTCGCCATGACATCGTCCCAGCCCGCCTCGCGTTGCTCTTTACTGCACAGTTTTTGCGGATGGGCGAGCGCGTCAGTAACCACCTGGCAGCAGACGCACACTCGAAACCTCACACTGCGGGCAGGTGCCCTATTTCCCACGGGGCGATAGCCATGTCGCGGCGGTGGTATAGGTTTCCTTTGTCTTGAATGGACACATGGCTGTTGCGCGACGCGACAGTTAGACTTTTGTCTGCCTTGCGCATCGCTACCCCCCCGCCGGATAGCTTTCCTTGCACATGACTATACCCTGGCTATACCCCGACTATCGCCCCACGTGATAGGTAGACTAGCACATGGCTGTCGCGTCGCGCGCGAGGTTGCCTGCTGCTTCGCTATCCCTCGACTACCTATTGCCTCGCGCACAAAGTCGCCTGCCGCTTCGTTATACCTCGAATATTGCCCCGCATGCAAGGTAGCGCTATGCTTCGATTATCCCCGCGCGTAGCTATTCTCAGGCCCAGTGACGGCGCTTATGGTTGCGGGTCAGTCCGCGCGCGCTAGCCTCGTCGCCAATGACAGCTCCACCACCTGGCACCATGACCTCGGCAAGTCCTCCCCCATCCCCCTCACGCTTCATCCCATCACTGAGCCATTCTTCGCGCGTGTGCATCGTGAGCACGTGCTGCGTGCGCTGCGGCGGGTGGTGTAGTGGTACGCGTGCCTGGAGGATGTGCTTGATATCTGTAGACTGCTGGATCGACTATACCTGATGGACCGCGGGATACTGTGGAGGCTGCGGTGGTCCTGGCAGGCGGGGAGGGCAAGGAGGAGGGCGTCACAGGGTGTTGGGGACACTGCATAGGAGCTCCCGGTGGCGAGTTATTGGGTATATAACGAAGCGGCAGGCAACTTTGTGCGCGAGGCAATAGGTAGTCGAGGGATAGCGAAGCAGCAGGCAACCTCGCGCGCGACGCGACAGCCATGTGCTAGTCTACCTATCACGTGGGGCGATAGTCGGGGTATAGCCAGGGTATAGTCATGTGCAAGGAAAGCTATCCGGCGGGGGGGTAGCGATGCGCAAGGCAGACAAAAGTCTAACTGTCGCGTCGCGCAACAGCCATGTGTCCATTCAAGACAAAGGAAACCTATACCACCGCCGCGACATGGCTATCGCCCTGTGGGAAATAGGGCACCTGCCCGCAGTGTCATGAGGAGAGGAACTTGAACCCCGGACCAAACCTGGCGCGCGAGACGTCAGCATAGCGCGCGACGACGAGGGCACGGGGGAAAAGAATCAAAGATGGACCTACCAGATGGCGACGCCAACGACGCCCTCCTCCGACATCTCCGCGATCCAGACCTCTCCCTCGCCGGTGAGCGCGGCAGCGAGGTGTGCGCGGTGCATAGGAATTTGGAGCGAGACGTCGTTCATGAGCGCGCCTGCAAAGTACCCTGCGTGGGGGGCACGTGGGCGTGTCAGCGACGGGGTGCTGCAAAGCGCAGCACAACAGGGGAAGGTCCCGTACTGTAGTTGAACGCGCCCGCGAGGACTTGGGAGTAATTCTGGATCTCCTCCTCTGCACGCGCCGGGTTAGGGTATGTACGAACAGGTCGAGGGGGAGGTGCGCTCACCAGAGGGGCTGGACACTTTGCGGACGGTGACGGGCATGAAAACGATAATGGTGGGGGTTGAGGATGGGGATGGTTAGGCGGGGCGAGGGGTGAGCTGGCGACGGAGCGCATATAGGTTCGAGGTATAATACCGGCGCAGCACCAGCAGCGATGGTCCATGAAACGAAATCCTTCCAAATAGTTGAGTGGGCGTGCCGTAACCGGCGGCATTGAAGCGCCGCGACTAGAAGGGTTTAACATAGCGAGGACCCTAGCCTCGCCGGCGAGGGATGAACGCAGGGTGGGCCAGGGATGGTCATCCGCTTTTCGCCGGTTCCGGCATCCGAGTGGTCGTCCGTTGCGCTCGAGCTTGCGTCCTGCGGTTTTCCCCTCTAAGCGCGACTTCTTTCTGGCGAAGACCGCTTCTTTCGTGGGTGCCCGTGAAGCTCAAGCCGCGCCCGTGTGGTCGCCGCATCTGCCGCGCATGAATGAGCCTTCCCATATGCAGAGGCTCTGATAGACGACGAGACCGTGCCGCCTGTCCCGTCAGGGTACGTCGTGGTGATGGTTTCTGTGAATGCTATCATAGGAATCGCCTCAGGTCTGGCTCGAAGGACATGGCGGAGGGAAATTCGAGGGTGTTTCTGTCCGGCGTGTTCGGCGGTGTCTGCCCAGCTCACGGCGCCGATTGTCGGTGCGGGAGCGTAGCGGGCGACGGTGCGCGGGCTTGACTAGCTTAGATACATAGTGCGCATCAGCGAGGTACTCACGAATCCAGAGCCGAACTGACCCCTTGCGTGCTGGTGCGACGAACGGAATCGCATCCGTCCTTGGCAGCATCGTCGAGGTTGATGGCGGTCTGGGATGCCATGCAGTGGTGCGTCACGGACCTGATCTTTGAAATGAGTAGTAAGTGATCATGATGCAATCATTGAGGAACTCACCCTTCATGGTGTACCGCTGCGATCATCCTATACACACTTAAGTGATGCGCTGGCGTTCGACCCCGGTCCGCTTTATGAAGAGGCCGACATAAGTAGAAACATCGCAGGTGTCGTGGCGACAAGAATGGGTAGCGTGCGTCGCCGTGGAGGCACGATTCCAAGTGCGTTTCACGTCAGTCACCACGCGAGAAAAGATAGACTTACAAAAAATACCGCTGGGCTGATGCGGCACCCATACGTTCCCCGCCCCTCTTACACGCCTGCTTGCGCTAGAATGGGTTCATGTCCAGACGGTCGAACATCGTGCGCGACGCAATGCGGGGTTCCCGTTCGGAGTCGGTGCTGAGAACTCCCGCCGAAGGGGGTGCGGGAGGACGACGGCTGGCACAAATTCCGGCGTCGGCGTCCTCCCTCTCCGTCACTCGGATGCTCCGCGCCCGGCGGGGGGTTTGTAACGTCGCAGACGGGCTGAGAAAGACACGTCCGCACCGTCCCAAGCGAGGCCGTCCCGGGAACGGGCAGTGTCCAGCGGTCACTGCGGTCGAGTCGCCAAGGGCCCGCCGACTCGCGCGCGCGGAGTGGGCCCAGATACTTAGTTGCGTTGTAGCTGGCCAGCTGGCCATGGTCGGGGCAAGGGTTTCGAACGCCCGGGCGCCTGATCGCGGAGGCCAATGGGCGGCACAACGGTTATCGTCGGTATCTGATAAGATTTTCTGCATGCCGTAGGGGACTCCAGCTCGAGCGTGTCTCTCTCTCTCCTGCCCGCACCAGCCGAGTGCTGGGCAGCGTTCCTCCCGTCTGGCCTCTCCCCGCTTACTCTACCGTGACCTCGTAATACGAACTGCGTTCTGGCCCTCTCCGACGCCCTCGGCACACCTTGCACGAACACCATGAAGATCGTCGCCATCCTCGGTGGAAGCTACGGCGAGGCCCGTGCTGCCACTATCCTCGCCAGGGCCTCCACCACGGCTGGCACGTCGTTCTCGTCAACTGCGACTCGCACATCAATCATGTTTTGTCCTCCCACGGCACGCCGTTCTCCCCGGCCATGAGCACAAGGCCTTCATCCCCTACAAACCGCCTTCCTCCCTTCGCGCACCAGCTCCACCCCCGGCTCCCTCGTGTCTCCCGCATACACAGACCCCGCACGCTCGGTCGTGGTACACGCATCCGTGGCGTCCCTCGCGAAGCACACCCTCACCCTTGAGCGTGCGTTCCCGAAGCACGGCGTTTCCGAGGCCGACCGGACCCTCCACTTCCACTAGCTCATCTACACCCTCGGCTCGCACCTCCCCTCTCCCATCAACCTCTGGACGCCTGCCACGGAGGATACGGAGAAGGCGGAGGTTCTCGACGTGGCGCGCGGCACGAAGGAGGGCCGGGTCGCGTTCCTCAAGCAGTTCCAACGCCTCTCGCGCGCGGCTTCCATCCTGGTCGTCGGTGCGGGTGCCATTGTTATCCGTGAGTGCTCTTCCTTTCATCTCGCGCATTGTCCCCGCATTCCCCCCTACCCACCACTGCAGTCTCCACGTTAGTAAACCGTCATGAACGTGCGGCCGTGTGGTTCGATCGCGCGCACCGCCCTTGTCCTGGTGCCCACGGCCAGTAGCTTCTCCGGGGGCCGGTCGTGAGCGTTGGCTGCGCATTTATGCGTACCATGGCACTTGAGACACGGTCGAGGCTGCCGCGATGACGTTCTGTGTGCTGCAGTGGCTATCGTAGAGGCTGGCTGGAGTCCTGGGCCACCGCTCTTTTGTGGGAGCGCGGATGTTATTATGGGATGGGTCATTGTCGTCAGATCTGGCTGGCCCATTCAATTTCTGGGATCTGAGATCTCTATCCCGCATTTTCTGGTATGCTAACCGCGGCCTGGTCCTCTAGAATTTGTATCGGATGTTGCGGAGATCTATCCAGCTGCAAATGTCGCCTTGCTACACTCTCGTCATCGCCTCCTGCCGAGGTTCGACGAGGCGATGCACAGCGATAGTAAGTATGGTCCTTTCTCGTGCACTACGGTTTTACCAAGGAATGACCGGTCATATCTATCCTCTCAGCTCTGAACGATTGCACCATTCTCGGCGAACGCCTCTACCTCGCCTCACTCGCCGACAACAAGCACTGCAACGGCGAGCGCGTCGTCCGCACACAGCAGGCGCGAAGTACAGGGGGAGCTGGTGGTAAGCGCCCTCGCCGGTGTTTTCGACTTGATCCCCGTGCTCAACGCCGTGCGATTACAGCTCCTCCCCGGCGCCTTTCCTCGCTCCGTTGTCACCGATGGCCCCGACAACGACCTCGCACGCATCCGGCGCACGCTCCAGACCGTGGAGCCCGCCCATGTGTCCGAATTCCCGACCGCCCTCCATGCGCTCCCTCGCGACGGCCTCCACCTCTGCCGGACCCTCGTCGACAGAGCTCTCCCCCATCGACGTCCGCTCAAACGACGCGTCCGAGCCTGCGACCGCCGACAACGCCTCCGAGTCCTCGTCACAGGTGCAGCTCGAGGCCATCGAGGACGCGAGGACGCGCGTCGCGGCGGCACACATCTTTGCGATCGGGGACGCGGCGGACGCGTTCGGTGCGGTGAACGCGGGGCACAATACGTTCTTCCAGGGCGAAGCTGCGGCGTGGAACGTCATCCGGCTGATCAAGCGGGCTGAGCGCGAGGAGAGGGCTGAGGCGGAGGTTGCGTCGAGGGAGGTTGTCGAGTCGGTCGGGCAGGACTGGGAGGGTGAGAAGGAGGAGAAGACGGACGAGGAGGACCTCGCGCTGGAGAAGTACACCCCGGGCGCGCGGGTGATCAAGGTGTCCCTCGGTCTGGTGAGTATCTTCTCCTCCCCACTCGCGTCTTCGCTCTGCACGCGATTCCTCCTCTTCTGGTTCCAACCTCTCCTACCACTCTTCCCGCGTCCTTGACTCGCGCGCGCTGTGCTGACTGTGCGCCCTTCGTCAGACGAAGTCAGTCTACCAGTGTCAGGGCATCATCGGCACGCGCGATCAGGAACAGGCCGGCGTCGACATCCACATGATGTGGCGCTACTTCGGGTATGAGGGGACCTCGACGCGGACCGTCCGGACGAGGAGATCCCGGGCGCCGTACCGCGACCGGTGTATGCGACGAAGGAGGTCACGGCGTGAGTTTACAGTTGCACCTTCCGGGTCGGTGCGATCGGAGACAGGTGTAGAATTCGGACGTTGGTCCTTTTGTAGCTCCGAAGCTGTAGAATCGACGGTGTGCATTTTCCCCTCCTGATGATTGTGGCACTGCGTTGGGTTCTGTGGTCGATCTACCCTTTCACGCAGTCATTCACTGTTTCTTCAGGGGATGTCGGAAGTGGCGAGTCGGCACGGTCCGTTACTACCACGTTGAAGTACTGATCACGTTCGATGCAGATGAACGTTCATTGTTATGAGCTGGGATCGAGTCTGGACAAGCCGCGCATATATATATAGATGGGGCATTCCGGGTTCCGGTGTTCAGCAAGTTCTCTTCCATGAATGTCCATCTGCGTTCACTCGCGCGGGGCACCACACCGCCGCCACCGCCGCGTCAGCCATCGTGCGCGAAGTCACGCTTGCCTCCGAACAACTGTTGAAGCGCGAGCGTCACGGGCCGAGAAAGACAATTAATGAAAGAAGTGGGTAGAATACATGGTGGTAGAAGTATCTACAGCTACAGGAACGAGTCGGTGGACGAGTCTGTAGATAAGGTTCAGAGTCCGACCGGAGAAGCCCGAAGTACGAGGCGCTCTACTTTTTGAACGGCGGCCACCCTCCGGCACGGACGCCCACCGTGCTACTAGGATCCCGACGGGATGTGGTAAGCCCCCCTTCGCTCATAGTGCTCGTACGTTCGCTGATCAGCTCGTGCCATAATATGTACTAGGCATCCTAGGCTAACCTGGCCCTCCACATGCCCCACCTCCCTTTGAAGCTTCGGAGACGTTTCTCGTAGCCACCGGGATTTTTCTCGTAGCCACGAGCTGGCTCTGTCGTCTTGACAGGTTTTGCTCGTGAAATTCCCTCCCATACCATTTCCCCTTTACCGCTATGGATCCAAATCTCCACGTCCACCCGTCTACTGCTGGGAGGCCACGCGCTGGCCACGATCTCCGCCACGCGCTTCCCCAATGCGGCCGCGGCCTCGGGTTCCAAGACGGCGTCTCCCTCCGACTCAGGGTTCCCCATGCGGAAAGTGAAACACGCCGACTCTACGCGTGCGAATGCAGCACCGGAAGTGAGCCCTGCGAGTTTGGTGATGTCCGCGGCCGATGCGCTCGTCAGGGCGACGAGGGGTAAGTCCAAATTGATGCGGCGTAGATATGTGCTGTTCATTCCGTCCGCGATCGCAAGGAGAGTCTTGGTCGTGGCTGCTGGAAATTTGAGGTCGACATGCCTCCCACTTTGCAAGCTCGATAGGAAAGATAGGTCTGTATTGGTACCATCAGCATGAACCAGGGCGTGCGAGGGTGCAGATAGACGTACCGGTGTGAGAGCCATAGCTGAAATCGAAGTTGCCGACGAAAGGCAGCAGTTTTGAAAAGGCAGCCGTGCGCAGAACTGTGAACGGACTCGAAGTCGATGGCTCAAGACATCGGAAATGGAGGCTCCTGAGGGAAGTGCACGAGGGAGTGCTTGCGAGGTAGTGTAACAAGATGTCACCACAACCACTCTTCTTTCCACGGATGCTGAGGGTTTCCAGAACTGGTCGTGAGGATTGGCGCAATATTGCTGTGGTGTCGACAGGATATATGGGGAAGGAAACGTCCTCCGTGGTGAGATGGCTTAACCTGGGGAGTGCAGCCAATGTACGACGGAAGAGCGTGAAAGACGGAAATTTGCTGTCCGATAGCTCCAACCTCGTGAGATGGGTGAAGGCTGAGAGACATGCAGCTGCGTGCTGCGCTTGAATCCTAGAGTCAAAAATGAGACCTCCCATGCAGATGGTCTGGAGGGTGGGGGTGTGGCGTGCCATGCAGGCGAGCACCGTGTTCCAGGATGACGAGTGGTTCCCTCCGTTGCTATCTGCCCTCACAGAGATTTTTGATGCTCGCGAAAATGAAGTTGACGATGATGTAGGAGCAACACTGGTGAACAATGAATATGCTTCCTTGATTGTGAACTTCCACCATGAGCTCTGGGCCAGCTGGATGGCATGCATACTTGCAGGGCGCCAACTGTGGGAGACGAGGGCGCAGTGCGCAAGTGTGGTTGCGTCTAAGTACGGATTGAGACATCGGATGATCATGTCCGAGATTTCCGGAGGGAGACGGGGAGACAACCGTGTGGGGGTGTTGGTGTGGGGGTCTTCGAATGGCACGGCCCTAGACCAGAGCGGGACGAAAGGGTGGATGTTGTTCGCGAGGGACACCATCATGGTCGCCCGAATGATGAAGTCCGCCCGCACTCTCGCCAGCGCATCGAAGACGTGTTGTGCCGCCACGATCGCGGTCGGGGTGGCTCCGTGGCTCTCCTCGTAGTCCTCGACGATCAGGGTGAACGTCATCGTCTCCAAGCCAGCAAAACGACTGCGCCCGATCAACCTGGCTAGTTCCGCGAGCACCGTGAGGGACTTGACCGCGCGAGAGAGCGCGACTCGAGGAAAGGCGAGTGTGAGCTTGCGCAGCTCTGGGATGTCACACCCGTCCCCGAGTGCGCGTACGAGCGCCAGTAGGTCTTTCACATCGCCGTTTGTGAGACAGAGTGCGATATCTTGCAAGTGCTCAAGACCTGGACGAGTGAATGGAAATTCTGTGGATGGGTCGTGAAGGTAAGCGGGAAGCGTCACAGATTCCGGAGCCGTGTACTGACCTGTGAGACCCGAGACCATGAGATATTCGAATCCGAGGAGTTGATCAATGGCGGTCGATCGTTCCGGTATAGGGCAGTAATTCAGCCTCGCGAGCCGCTTCATGAGGATATGAACAGTGATGGAGCTCCGTGTTGGTGTGCTGGCCAACCAGTGCAGCAATTGTCTCACAAATTTCCACTCGTCGAGCGCCGAATCGCTGTGTATTTCGAAGTGTTGAAGTGCTGTGGATGCTTCAGGATATCTCTCATTGCGCTCCCAACTTGGCACAGCATATCGGATGCCTCGGACACGGAAGGTATGCAAGGTCGGGATGGTGGTGATGGTGCGACGAAGTGATGGAAAAGAGGGCAGAGTGCAGCATATCAGACAGAGCGCAGTGACAGAGGTGGATGTCGAGACGGCAAGGATGCTTTCGTGGGGACTTGCAGTCCAGATGATCTTCCCCCGGACCTGGGAGGAGCGTGATGAGCCATGAGAGCGATAATGACGTTGAAGAACAGTGGTTGTGCGGTGGAGGGAGTCCAGCATAGGTCTCGAGGCGCGGTGATACACCCATGGCATAAGGATACTCACTATTACATCTGCCTGTTCCACTGTGAGCCGCGTGTCTCTGGACCATAGAACGTGTCTGCTTGCAGGGAGCCACATGCGGGAAACGGTGGTACAGGCGCAAAGCGTGTGTCTGTCGTTGCGGGGGGAAAGTTGTTGTATTATATTCTCCAAGATATCCAGAGGGACGCGGGGACAGGACAAGCAGGATTCGATGGCCGACATGGCGGGGAGCGGTCAACTTGGGGGAGAGGCGGGTTATGCGCCGGATGATGATTATCGAGAGTGTGCATCGAGTGGCCCGTGCACATTGTCGCTTTCACACGCCGGATTGCCTTATCACGAAACGCGCGCGAAATAGCACACGTGCGATCTTGAAGGAAGCTTATATGGGGATGGCCGTGCCGGCGACGGCGGGCGATGCGTCGACGAGCGCTACCGCGGGCAGATGCGGCACAAACGGGTCCTCCACCACTGACTTCCATTACAGCACGTCAAACCCAAGTCCGCACACGCTGCAGCGCACTGCCCCTCTTTCGGAGATCATCAGGGGCCTCCCCACAGTCACCATAGCCGTTCTGTCTCGCACAGGTACGAGCTTTTACTGCGACTCCCGCCTCTTCAACGGAAACTCACATCACCGCCGTAGACCATCCCTTTCCGAACTGGACGGTACGGTGGACCTCGAGATCTCGATGCACAAGCGCACCAACGCGGTCATCCTAGCGGTTCTGTGCGCCCTCGCATACGGGACCAGCGACGCGCTGCGCAACCTCATCATCGGGCTTCTCACCGCGTCGTTCACCGTGGGGATCGCGTGGATCGCGGAGCTCGTGACACTCCCCCTCCGCGCTCCGTTGTTCGGTCTTCAGAGCGCGAGCGTCCGATTTTTCATGGTACATAGACGACGACGCGGACAACGCGTGTGCGATGCGACCAGACGTTGCGGCGGCTTCGGGCGCGCGCGCTGTCGAGGTCTTGGCGAGCACGTTGCCCCACTGTTTGGTGTGTGCGACCAAGGTGGAGCTGGAGATCGTCTGCGATGGGGAGCGTTTCGTCTGTCGAAGCCGAAGAATCAATCGGGGAAATGGTCGTGCGCGAGCGAATGCAATCGGCTGTCGCGACCACGTCAAGAGGTGCGCAAGATCCACCGTTGTTACATGCGACGGTACCTGCACAAGCTGATGAGTGTACAGGCGGAAGTTGATTTTTTTGTGCCTGTGACGTGAGATAAATAGGATCAGAGCTCTCGAACACGGAATATGTACAGAGAACGACATTGATGCGCGCCCAGATACCAACACAATGAATCGATTACTGAAGACCTTCGTTCATCTGTTCGGTGGCCTCCAGCTGTGGCCAGTACCCGACGTTGAGCTCGAGTAGGTAGCGTACTTGGCGAGAGGCCGCTCTTCTAGTTCGGCGCGTGGCGGCTGACGTGGCCGAGAGTCGCCGCGGAGAACAGCACGGGCTTCTTGACGTGCCACTGCTCCTCCAGGAGAGCTGTCGGAAAGAAGGCTGTGAGATGGTGTATCAGCTGGACGACAGCCCGCGAGAGGTGTACCCTTGTGACCGGCCATGTTTCCGTTGTTGGCGGCAACTTGGTAACAGGTGACCGGTGACGTCATCCCTCCCTCCAGCAGAACGCTGCGGATGCGCTTGTATTCCTGGATGAACAGACTTCAGAGATTAGTTGGCGCGCGCCAAGGCCGCCCTACATATTCAGATAGCCACTTCGGGAGCCCGGACGGCGGTCTTCTTCAAGCTACTTGCCGACTGCACCGCTGCGGCAGAAGTGTTCGACCCACGCGTCCAGATAAACCGTGTAGAGTAGCTGCAAGAAGCTGTCCATCTGATCGCAAAAGAACCATCGATCACTGCGGGCCGCCAATTTTGCCGTTAATGGATGAGCGCACCTTTTCCTCAACGAGCCTCGCGCCGGCGCGTGGGGCGGTCAAGAGCTTCCAGTATCGGCAGTGCTCGCTCCCGCTAGCCTTCTTGAGCGTCGCGCACATCCGCTCGAGGTCGAACCGCATGCGGGTTGCACGGGAAATACGCGGCCGCGAGCCACACGAACGCACGGAAGCGGTGCTGGAAGTGGTGAACCAGCGCCGACACAAGCGCGGTTCCTCTGACAGAACCGACGGCTTCAGCAACGCAGGGTCTCGCATATAGGGATAGAGCAAGAGTGGACGCACCAGTCGTGTCCAATCGCGACGACATCGGTGAGGTTCTCAGCGTCCGACATGCCCCGGTATCCTCGGAAATCGGGAACGAGGACGTGGTGGCCGAGAGGGGCGAAGTGGGCGACTTGACGCGACCAGTCGGAGGAGGTGCATGGGGAGCCATGGATGAAGGTGTTCACAGTGCGACGTCGGTCAAAGCGGAGTTGAAGCGAGAGCCCGTCGCGATCTCAACCTCGTGAATCTTGCCTGGAACATCCTTGCAGGTGCGATCAGTACAGGGGTTGTCGTGCGCCACCTCGGATCCGGAGACGAAGTACGGCCAGATGGTGCGGATGTCGGGGCCGATGAGCTTCTGATCTCGCGGGGCGATGGGTTCAAGGGGCTGATAGGTTCAGCGATTCTGTGGACTAGCGCGGGCTCAGTGCGTTGCGAGCAGGCGAGAGAGGAAAAGAAAATCAGGATGTTTCGTGGAGCCAAGCGGCTTGGAAAGGGAGGAAATGAAGCGCAACTGACCGCGCTAAATGAGCGTTCGATCACTATGGCGCCCTGGTTGAACCCGCCCAGTCCCAGCTCTTCCCGCTCAGGAAGAGCATCCGAATTGGAGCACCTCTACAACGATTTTCGTGCGGTTCGAGATGTCGCTGTGGACCGTGGTAGCGCAGCTCGATGTCTTCGAGCACGCGGCGACATGCGTTCGGGTGATATACCTCTTTGCGGCAGGGATGCGGATACGAAACGCGGTCAACAACACGTTAGTATAGCAAGGCCACCGCGACAGAAAAGTGGGGCTGGTGGACGCGCTTTGTGCGCGGAGAGGGGTGAGCCGGAGGAGATCGCGGAGGTATGAGGGAAAGCCAGAGCGAAGGGCCGAGGGAGGTCGAGGCGAACGTTGGCGACACTGCTCAAGTTGAGGGTGGAAAGGGTCAAAGCGACTGGATGCACTGGTTAACAGGACATTGGTCAGATTCGGGGCATGCACTCACCATTGCCGGGTGTATATCCTAGTGGATCGCTTCTTGAACTTCGCTGAGTGAGAGTGCGGGGTGGTGGCATCGAGAAGATGAAGTGGCACCAATATTCGACCTCCGTGTATGTGGCGGTATGGACAGAGTATACAAGGGTTGGCACTATGTGAGTCACCACTTACAGACTAAGAAGAATGCGCCCAAGACGGAGTGGCCGGGGAAACGGATCGCGGCGTCGGGAGCCGGCCACGTGGCCGGACCCACGGACCGCCGCCCATCCCCGGGAGCCGGGACCGTTTTTCGGGGCGGAATTGAGCTCAGGTTGCATTCACCACCGCCGGTCTCTTCTTCCTCTGTCGCCGGCCTATTTCAATCGTGTCCTGATCATAAGCTCCATTTCCTGCTCGTCAGCAGCCAGCACCGTTCCCTCGATAATTCCGGGTCTCCGTCCAGCACCCTCACTGGGACTTTCAAAACGTACTTCCGCAAGATGGAGTTTCTTCGACGGATGCACTCCCTTATAGTCATGGTGTGGTCTCTCACGGACTATCGGGTGTTGTCATTTTGTGGAGCGGGCGGGCGGGATTGTCGAGAAGGCGCGATATAGCAAGTGAGCAACCGTTGCATATGTTGTGGCATTGCTGCGAGCGGGCTCTTTTGCGGGTGCTGTCCTTGCCGGCACAGATACCTGGACGGTCCCTTTGACACTCTTCGTCAGAGTCCCTCATTTTTGGCATGGCCGGTATGAGGCGTTCCCTGGCCCTCACGTCCACTCAGCGCCGGTCCGTCTCTCCCTCTCCGCGTCGCGTGTCCCTCGCACCCCGGACCTCGCGTTTCTGCGACCGCGCCATTCCCCTGAAGTGCCGCCCCTCCTTCTACCACGGAGACGATTTGTACCTCCGCCATGCTCCCCTCGGCCAAGAAGCAGGGCGGAACCGGGAACGATGCCCCGCAATCAAAATCACCATGAGAGTCTTTCCAGACGTGGTTCTGGGGCTCTGCATTCGCTCGAACAGTCAGGGTCTCCGCTGTCGCCATCCCGGAATCAGCGCCGTGGCGTTTCAGTTCCTGTGCATCCTCTATGTGCACTGAAATACCGTACTCGAGCGTCCTCCCCACCACCCTTGTATCCCCCACTCCTTCGCGGGATCGCCTTCTGACGTCTTCATGGTTCCTTGCCACAACACACGTCTTCTCTCGCCGACTTCATGTTCCCCCAGTTCGTCGATTCTTTCTCCTCTACAAACTCCGCCAACGATCCACGTCGGACGTTTAGATCGCCCGGTAGGACTACGTCCAGGTATATTCACTCTCGTTACAACACCCCTGCCGTCGACTAAAACGACTTTATCCTAAGAGTCATCGGGATCGCGGGCTAGCGGTTACCCCTGTTTCTAAACCCAGGCTCTTGCACACCAACATCATACCACAACCGCTACCCCATCGGGGGCACCCATATCCCGATGTCTTGTTGTCCCGCCTCGGTCTTCATGCCCTGGGAGCGCTCACTTCAAACACAGGACGACGCGGATCAGACGCGCACTCCCATCCTCATGAAGAGCCACCACGATGGAGCACGACTCGATAAACCGAAGGGGCGTACACGTGCAAGTTTGGACGCGGTTTCGCAGCATGCGTCGCCGCCGATCACAAGCTGCCAGGCCATGGGCAGCGCGTCCTCCCCCGTCCTCAGCGACACCCCCTTTGTTTTCGCCCTCCGCTCCGTCATAACCCCGGTCCACGCTGGCTTCTCGCCGTTCCTCCTTCCAGCTCTACCAGCGCCACGTCTTCTACGGCTCGTTCATGGTGACAAGAGCAACTTCTTCGCATATATCGCATCTCCTGCAGTCATACGCGTGAATATGATCTCGGGCGGAACTCCTCCGCACGGGACACCGTCTCTATGTGCGCGAGAACGGTCGACATCCTGTGTCTCCGTTTGAGCCGCGTACGTGGTCGCGTTTTTTTTTCAACAGGGTTTGACGTTGCCTGAACGAACTACTGTGATGCTCACGGTAAGAGTTCCTCCGCGGACTAGCCAGTTTTGAGCTTACACTGACGGTCCATGGCATCATGCCGCAGGGTTGTTCCTGGCAGACGATCATGCTGCGTGTCATGCCAAGTTGCCAGTGACACACAACGCTGCGATAGGCTCGATCACTTACTGCCACAACCGCAGGTATCACCGAGAAGATTCGATGACGTCATAACATAAGATGAGTGCCCTGAATTGATTCCCCCAAGCACAAAGTTTCACCTAGTGCTTGAGCGCCGTCGCGTATAGCGTGATGTGCTACTATGGTTTCTCTTTGTTATCAGTATCGACAGTCCTTCATGTGTTTATCAGCGACTCATTTCGGACCGATCAAGCGAAACTGTCGACGTGCATTCCGCGCGGCGCGGCAGTTCCGCTGGCTTCGGTTTCTGTGCATGGATGTCTTCCTTCGTATCGTGTGCATCTATGTATGCATATGAACTTTGATCCCCGCCGATATGTTGCGTCTCACGCTAATAGCGGGAGCGCATAAGCAGACAAAGTGTAGGTGAATGGAAGGTGACTCCGATATACTGTTATCGCGAGAGTTTGGCTGTCGTTGCGTTTCTGTTCTATTCCTTTTATGATGCGCTCTAACCCCCATATCCCACATGACATCTCCGCCTGTCAGCGTAAAACGCATTCTCCTCCGTGCCGCCTCCGTGCTCGTCACTCGGTGCGGACTCTCCGGATACGTCTGTCTTCCGTATGAAGGCAAGAGTCAAGAAGGGTGGTCACAACCACCGTGGTTCCACGCGAACCGACTTCTAGCTCGTTCCAACAGCCTCTAAGTTGACAGCTAGCCGCATCCGTATGTGCGCTCGTTCTCGGAACTCTCACTTCGAGGACACTAACGTCGTCCTAGGTTCGGATCATCATCGATGGGGCGATAACTCACCGATACCGGCGCAGCATATATTGGACGGCGTTGCGCAAGTTCCACAGCTCAGAACGCACCTCTCCAACATGCGTCTTCACTTGATCGTCTCTGCACTCTTCGCGATCGCCGGGATCAGTACGTCTGTCAAGGCGTCCCCGGTTCCTCAAGACGGTAAGTGTTTTCCGCTCTCACGTCGCCGTTGAACCTCACGGATCTGTGGTAGGCGATGCCGTCTCTCCTCCCCAAGAGAATATGTGGCTCTGATCAAGCTCCGAGCTGCAATCAAGGCGCGCTTAGCAAACGTATAGGTGAGCTCTTTGTGGTATCGCGAACGGGAGCGAACTACTTCTAATCTTCCCCGATTAGTAGAACCGCTCCTCTTGTACATGTATGACCTTCCGTGATGAACGACGGAGATGGCGCTGCGACAAACCCACGTTGCGCGTCGTCTACCGCACTCGAGTCGACTTATTGAAATGTGTTCCTTTTTGTGCGTTAGGCATTATTTCGTGCAGTACCAGTGTCCTCCAACTGTGTGCGCATGCTATGGAATTGAGTAGGCGTGACCGTGACATACACCATCTTGAAACCTGCCCGTTGTACCCGGTCGGTCGTTCGAATACGTCGTCCTCCACCCCGCCAGGTCTCACCTACACACATCTGACTCTCTATTCAGCGCCGCGCATGGACAGAGTCCAACACAGCCGTTTCTCGATTGGCAGCTGTGAACGTATAGCAGTGGTGATTGTATATCTATATGGTTATCCACATGCTCTGACATCTTGCGCGGTCCGATCCTTGCGCTTCCCGCGATAGCGGCCGCTGGCGGCTGGTGATGACAGTCCGTGATTGAGGCCAGTGCACTGTGCGATTTCTTTCCTATAAATGACCGTTAAACACATGATATTTAACGCGAAAGCAACGGCGTGAAACAAGCAGATTTCAGTCGTAGGCTTTACCAGATACTGATCCTTACGCTTTCAGCGAACATATGCTTTCAATACAACTTCTACAAATGGACTACGTTCTGTGATGTCACGTCTCGTACATTGCACCCCGCTCCGGTTATCTAAGCCCTCTTCTCTGTTGACATGCACCAAATGCGATACTCGGTCCAAGGTGACTGCATGGTTTCGTGACCTCGGAGCGCGAATCCCATACTCTCGTACACGGGAACCTTGATTACCAATTCGGATCGATGAGTCCTCCCAGGAGCCGATACATAGCACTGCTTACGTTCATTTGGTTCGTGGTCATCAATCCCACTGTAGCGTTCATTGTGGCGGCCTGTGGACACTTGTTAGTGCACCGACCGCCGTGTATCCCCAATCAGAAAACAAAGCTACTACGATTACGCACCTCATTAAACGCCATTTGAAACATGCGCGCTGCGAGACCCTTGTTTTGATGGACCTCGCGGACCATGGCGAAGTTGCACCAATACATCCCCCGATCGGAATCCTTGACTCCGAATATCTCGTCCTTGACTCTTGGAATGTCCTCTATATTCTACGCATGCAAGTGAATAATGAAGTCGGACACAGTACTCAAGCGTCAGACCCACAGCTTTCTGGAAGTAGTCCTTGGCGTCCTTCGGAAGATCCGCAACGTAGGAGTACATCCCCATCTTACGCTGCTCATCGCTGATATACAACCGCGATTCTATTTAGCCAGATTATGCATGAGCAGAGAAAACATCGGACGCACGTCGATAGCAAGCGCTGTCCAGGAAGTGTGAACATCAGAAAGCCCACAAGGACGCCATGTTCATCGCGAGCAGTGTATGTGTGGCCAACGCCCCCAACGAGAACGATAGGGCGTATCAAGAGACCAATGAGACTAGGGAGGCGAGTCATATCATCTCCTGTCATTGCACGCATCATGTTCTCTGTAAAACCTAACGCGTAAGCCATGAGAGCGGCCGAATTAAGATGGAATAATCGCCATTTTTCGAGAGAGGGATCATGAGATCTACAGCGTCCTGTGCCAATTTTTCTGAAAGAATTATGAGCATACGTAAGGAATCAAACAAGTCGTGAGTATCACTGCGTACCTGTGGGTGTTTTAACTTGCTCAAAGACGATGTTAGAAGGTGGGGGAGGCATTTCCGGGTCGGAGGGTAGCGGAGTAGAAAGTGCAAGTGCAGGCTCTGCGCCAAAGTGGGTGCTCTCTGCGGACTCCCACATGTATGCGTTGGGTGCTGAAATACGCTATTTCTTCGCTACATCCGGCTTCGTTGTGGGTGCGTGGGTGCCGGTGGTCTGGTGTTCCATTAGTTACCGGGGAAGTTCGAGATTTGGGGTACATCTACCGCTTGATAAGAGGTCGCTGAACACAGAGCCGCTCTTTACGCCGTCGCTGGAGGAGAGAAAGCTACTTAGATTCGAGGCTGTGGATGGTCTGACGAAGATGCGATGTGGCAGGAGTTGGAGTCCAGGAGTCGGAGTTTCGGCGGGCGGCGCCACGCGACCTCCGACCGGGCCGGGTGGCCAGATTGTGAGGACTTGATCCCGTCTCAGGTGGCTCGGATCACCATCTTTTCCCTCATGCGCCTATGTCCGCACTCTTTCGAAGAATCCCCTGCTTACACACTCCTTGAAGCTCGTTCATCTCACCAGGCGGTAGCAAGATCCCGCGAACGCCAGTGCCAAGTTGGTGCCGGACGAGACAGCGAGGGTAAGGGATATTCCATCGGCATCCCCGCCGGCTAAGGCGGCATTCGCGGATACATCTGGTATGCACACATATCGGCATATACTTCCATCTAACTTCGTCTTTCGGACTCAGAAAGCTCATGCCCTCTACTATGTAAGAAGACACCCCTAAGCGTTGACTATCGACGAGCGAACAAGCATCCTACTCACTAGACCTGCTCATTTACTCTCTGTCTTCGAGCCAGGACAGCTCTATGACGCTGATAACTGTACAGAAGAGAGAAGCCGGTCAAGAGCGTCTCATAAATATGATGCCTTGATCCACTCACTTGGTCTTTCCGCGCTCGCAAGCGCGGAGGAGGCGGGCGCCCCCATTGCAGCACTGATACAAGTCACGGCGACAAGGAATGGTACCAGGGTGAGGAACTTCATGTGCATGGGCTCTTGTAGAGGCGCTGAGAGGATATGTGGGGCTCGTTGAACAGCTCGGGCGGCCGAACGCCTTCTTATACTTGTAACGCACCGCTGTCCCACGCGGTACAACTTTGTGCGACAACGATAGCCGTCTATCTGTCCGCATAGAACAAGACGTATATGTATATGCTCGTTTTGGCTGCGAGTCGTACCTTTGTAATTCCCATGCGCGAGGGGTACTGTCTAATCCGGTTCGTGGTATACTTCACTGTCCAGAACGATACGACAGCTGTCTTCGATGGGCGATGCATTATCACATCTCACGTTAGTATGCCGCCCCCGTGTAGCACGAGACGGGTCTCTCCTCTTCCGACAGTCTCGTTTTGAAATGATATCATATGTCCATCCAACTTCGTGCCTTTGTACATACACATACAGAGTTCCGAAAGATCTTCCGAGATGAACCGAAACATCGCCATCACCATTCTCTACTATGTTATTCTCGACGCATAACATACCCCTGGAGTCGGCGGAGAGCATCCGAGTCCTCCGACAGCGGAAATCCACTGAAAACCTTTCACAAAACATCCATAAGTATCGGTCAGTAGCGAACGGAGGAGAAACATGCTTACTCTGCTTCTCGTTCACTGCTTCTACGACAGCCAGCTCATGGGGTCGGCCACGCTGGCAACTACCGAAGAATAAATAAGAGGTCGTCGCTTTGCTCCCATGCCAGCGCCAACGAACTCCACTCACCAGAAGTCTCTGATGCGCTCGCGGTAGAGGAAGATGACGGGGTCGGAGTTGCAGAGGATGCGGTGGAGGTCGAATGTGCAGAGGACGAGGACGTCGCAGTCGGCAACAGCGATGAAGACGATGTGGGGACCGCCGATGCACTGGAAGAGGACGCCGCACCACTCGAGGAGGAGGCCTTGGAAGAAGAGGATACGGCAGAGGAGGACGCCGTCGTGGAAGACGCAGGAAGCGCCATTCCAATACCGACACAAGCCGCGACGACGATCAGAGCCGAAAATGAAGAGAGATGCATGATGTCTCTGGGACGGCTAGGTGTGCTGAGGAGGTGTAGAGTGATGCTCGCTCGACAACCTGAGCCACTTGCGGGCTTTCTTAAATGCTGCAGAGCGAAGCGGCTTCGTCGCGTTCGACCGGTTTCCAGTCCGAGTTCCAGCGACAGTTGAAACCCCTCGTGTGCAGCTCACGAAGGTCCATCTTTCTTCGTAAAGTAGGACTGAACAAGAAGTATCTCTAGACGTCAACTTTGACTGCTCGTGCCTTTTCCCTCCACACTCGAAACGTTTCGCTCTATTCTAATTCAGGACGGAAGTTATTCAAACGATACGTACGACACTGATCCGTGATACCGAAGGAGTTACACAGGTCAGTCTACAGATAACGGATACAAAGAATTGTCTATCAGGCACGAACGGGACCCATTAAGATGATTCTAAACTGAGACGGTGGTAGCAATACAGTGAACGACGACAGCATGGGGACAGGCGAGATCCAATCCGTCAAACCTTGTCCGACGCATCTTCGGCGGCATCAGCGTCTCTCACACACGCGCCGCCCCCGTAGGAGTGGACCTCGTCCGATATCGAGGGCATCGTGAGCACCGGCACGGTCGTCAAAATCGCCGTGTCCGCCGCGGACGCGAACGTCGCCCCGCTCACTATCCGGAGCAGGATCACCTGCGGCGCGATGACCTGCCCGACGCCCCAAGCGTGCACCAAACTCCGTCAGCGCTCCCTCGAGCAGGAACCGGGCGCGGACCGCGACGGCGCACCTTCGATATCGCGTACACCGCGCCAAAGAACACGCAGAGGTCGCTCCGCGCGGCGAACGTCGCGAGGTACGCGACCCCGAGCGCCGCGCACGGCAGCTCCGACTCGACGACGATGCGCGACGACGCGTCGAGGGCGAGGCCGGCGCGCCGCGCGCCGGGCCGCGACAGCCGCATCGTGTGCGTGAGCCGCGCGACGATGAGCGCGGTGACGAGCACGCCGAGGACGATGACGGACGCGAGGTACGCGGTGCCGATCGACTTGGCGAGGCCGGCGAAGAAGTTCTCGTGCGGCCCGCCGGAGGCGACGAGCTGCGCGATGGAAAGGCCTGCGGGCGGTGCGGTCGGTGCGGTGCGGTGCAGAGGGAACGGTGGACTGACCGAAGGAGGCGGCGTAGAGGAGCAGCGGGACGACGATGACGCGCGCGTCTTGCCACAGGCAGTGGCAGCGATAGATCTGGCGGATTCGGAGATCAGATGCCACGTGGGTGAGAGCATCTCGAAGGCGCCCACCATCAGGCCCTCGTTGAGCAGGTTGACCGCAGCGCACGACGCGGTGCTGAACGTCGTGTACCACACCGACACGAACGCCTCCGAGTACTCCTCCGGTCCGCCAGGAAAGTCCCGGTGCAGAACCCAGGTCTCGAGCCCGAAGACGGCTTCGGTGACGACGAAGATGGTGCTGAAGCAGAGCAGCGCGGTGTTGAACACGACGTAGAACGTCCCCGCCCGTCTCCACTTGTCGCGGCGGGAAAGGAGAGAGTGGGTGATCCAGCAGTACAGGATGAGCTCTATGCCTGAGGAATAGCTGGTTCAGCATAGGAGGCTGCGTGGACAACTCGAGAATACACCTACTCACCGTAGAGAACAGCATTTGCAAGTATTGCCGCATAAAAAGCACACTGCCTGAACAACGACATAAGCAAGAACGCAGGATTGGAGACACGGGAGTAAAGCGAAGCCCTCGCGAGCTCCTGCAGATATAAGCTGGGAGCGCCCATCCACCGGAGCAAGACAATGCTGCGGGACCGCACACCGCCTCGGCGATGCATCTCGAGCTTCTGTGGGCGATGGAAACCAAGATAGGCGCCGATGAGGGCCTCCGTGTCCACTAAACACCTGCGGCCAGAGAAGCTGGGAATAGTGGCGACGAGAGCGGTCGCTGTACACAGGCATCCAAGACCCGCTCGCAGATTGTGAGAGGGAACGTGTCTGTTCAAGCCAGGAACATGCCTCACTTGGACACAAGCGCGAGGCGCACATCTGTTCACATCATGAGTGAATGTTGAAGAAGAGAAAGCAAGTATTCACCAACACTCTCCGCGACCATCAACAAAAAGATCTGGTGGCGGCCGCGTGCGAACAAGGTTCAACGTTCAACTGCGAAGCCGCCGCACGATGCGTGAACCTGATCAGCACGGCTTTCGCAGTGACACCGACCGATCCGGACCGGGTGCGTCACCTCTTGTACTTTTGGAAGACATCACCGGGACGCAGCGGTGCCACAAGCACCGCCGTTGCCTTGTCCACCACCCCGACGCATGGGGACACGCGGAGAAGGAGGCCCGGGAAGATGGGGCCGACCTGCGCTTGTTGAAGCTTCGAAGATTTGAAGCTCTGATGAAAACGGGGGACCACGAACAGACGCTATGGAAAGACGATACGTGTTGCATTGACGTAACCGAGAGCCCAGTGCTAAGTACGAAGTCGTAAGTGATTAGAGAAGTTGCAGAACCGAAAACCAGGACCGAAACCAGAATCACTTGCAATCATGCGCCGGGGATAAGAGAGAAGCCGAACCGGGAGCCAGGTATCACGAGCCAGAGACAGATTCGAGCCACAAGCCACGAACACAAACCAGAACCGAGGGCCGAGAACCGAGCCCCAAGCGCACTCACAGCGCCGCATACACCTCCTTCCGCCCATCGTTCGCCTCCTCCGAAGACCACGACACGTCCGCCGTCCACCCCGCGTCGTCCAAGCCCGACTCCGACAGCGCGACCGAGTCCGACGCGAAAGAGAAGCTCGTCGCGAGCGCGTCAAGCAGCTCCGACAGCCGCCGCGTCGCCGTCGGCTTGCGCGGGGTCGCGTCCCGGCCGTAGGTGGAGGACGATGGCGTGGGCGGGAGGTCCGCAGAGCCGAGGACGCGCTCGTCCGCGAGCGCGAGCGCGAGCTCCGCGTCCGCGCCGGTGCCGGAAGACGAGGACGAGGCGGTGACGAACGACGTGCAGCTCCCGGAAGTCGCGAGCGAGGCCGAAGGGAGGAGCGCGCCCGAAGTCGCGCCCTTGTTCGCGTTCGTGTTCCAAGTGTTACCATTCGCCGAAGTGGGAGCGGGAGCCGACGGGAGAGGCGCCGGTGAAGCGCCGACGTTTGCGAAACAGTCGTGGTCGATAGAGAATAAACCAAGGCCCAGAGTAAAAGCGACATCCTGAGAGACATAGGCCGCCTTCGAGCTCTTGTGCTTGAAGTCCAAGACGCTCCCAAGTCCGAGCCCGAGCCCGAGAGGGAACGCAACGTCGGTCATCGCGCACCGGAACACCTGCACCTCCGTCGCCGCGCGCCCCTCGCCGTGCATCTTCGCAGACGGCACGACGACGGCGCTCTCGATCATCGAATCGCGCGGCGTCGCTTGCGTGTTCCAGGTCGGCGACGAAGGGGCAGATTCCGAGTCCGAGTCCGAGTCGTCCGAGGCAAGCGAGGGAGTAGCCGGTGCAGAGCGGGAGACGTCGTGGTCGGCAAAGACAGAGGAAAGGGCCTTGAAGTTCGACAGCGAAGTGGTAGACTCGGAGGCTGACGCGCCGTTGTGATGGTTTACGGGTGCCTCCAGATCAGCCGAAAGCAGCGACGACGCCGATGTGGACGCAGACATCGTCCGCGGGGACGCGATCGTGAAGTGCACAGGGGAGGCTGCCATGAAGCGCGAAGCGGTGGGGGTGGTGGTTGACTTGACCGCGCGGGAAGAAGCAGAAGACGAACCGGCTTGCTGAGAGGCAAACGAACCTGCACCACGACCCGCTTCAACGTCCGCCTGGGGACGGTAACCCGCAAGCGCGCTCCACAACGACCTCCGCATCTTCGGGCTGCCGCCCGTGCGCATCAGCTCAGGGAGCGTGTTCCGCGCGTCTTCGCCATTGAGGGTCTTTTCGTCCGAGAGGTCGAGCGTGTCGAATGGGCCCGCGTGCTGGCGTATGCCCGGGCTCATGTCGTGGAGCGGGACGTGCGACGGGGGAGGGAGTGCGAACTGCCCTTCGTCGTCGTCGGTACGGCGTGGACCGTCAGAGCCTGGGTCGAGTGAGGCGCGGGCGCGGGCGCGGGCAGTGAACAGGATGGTGAGCGCGATGGCCAGGGAGATGCATGGGAGAAGGGCGAGGAGGACGACATAGAGGACAGGGACGGGGAAGTGCCGGCTAACGAGGGTGTTGACGGTGAAGGCAGACATCTTGATGGGGGGTAGATTGGAAGTGGGTAGGTGTATATGAGAAGAGAGAAGCGCGAATGAGTGGAGGCTTGGTGGCGGTTGAGAGAAGGGGGACGAGATGAGAGAAGGAGTTCAACCTGGGGAACCTCCAAGGCCGATGCTTCGCCAGAATATATGCGCCCTCAGTAGAGGCTGGCCATTCTCAGGGACCGCCGGGCCAGCAGTCAGCCTGTCTATACCTGCCGAGACCCATTCAATGTCAGCCGGGGGCTCACTGAAGAGCAGCAAAGAGCTTATGCACCTGATTTATCGCACATACGTTCGCAAGAACGAGCTCGACGTTTGCAGTCCGTAGGGCTTGCACCAGCTTGCGCCATATCCGAAGACTGGTTTTGCAACATACAGAGAAAAGCGGGTATATGAGGGATCTTGACGGGGGATTCCAGGTGAGGCCTTGAGGTAGAGAGGCTGGCAGCAAAGGAAGAGGAGGAGGCGGACGGCGGCCTTCGAAGAGCGCTGAGGCAAATCTTCAAGCTTCAAGCGCTCAGACCGGCCATTGGTCCGATGTGACCACTCGTGACAATCACGCGTGAGGTCCATGGAACTCGCGATCGACGCGCGCGCACGCTTGATCCTCACTCTTTTCGCAACCGTCTCCAGAGTCGACGTTCAGATGCGCCTGATCGCGCCAAATCGCGTTGTACTCCCGCATTTTCCGATGCTGATTTGTGGAATTCCCACGTTAGCGCCGACTACCACATGCCGACCAAGCGCACACAAGTCAAGTCCCCGTTCTCGAATATTGGCTGCGAATTCCACACCGAGAAAAGAAGGGTCAACACACAGGGCGAGAGTCGTGTCCGAACCGCCGTTCGCTTCCATGGCGCCGTCGCTGGGAACACACCAGTGGCTGTAAGGGTGCATTCAATTAGAACCCACTTATCTGCACCCAACGCCGCCGCGGAGCACCAGCCTCTCGATATATACCCAAGCAACACGGACAGAATGTTGGAGGGAGACGGCCCCGTCGACGCCCTCAGACGGGCCAACGCGCAGTCCACCGCTCGCGCCCTCTCTCTATCCTCCCCCCACTCTACTTCATCACGCTCACCCGCATATGACCGCGCGGGCCGCGGCCAATCCCTCCGCATCCACAAAGAGTAGGCGCATTTGTTCGTGCGATATGCGCGCAACACGCCAACTACACCACAGGTCAACTTGACAGTCATCGCAACGTTGGTGAGTGGCGTCGTACTTGGGCAAGGCGGACATTCACGTAGCTGACCGTGCTCCAACAGCATCAGGTGGCGTCGATAACCTGCGAGCCCTCAACGTTCAACTTCCGGCTGCGTTTGCTCACCCGCATCCTCCCGGAGACCAACGACGAGTCCCAGGCTCAAAATGAGGAGCTTCAGGCCCACAGAGACCGGCTCCGGGCCCAACCCGAGGGGCTCCAGACCCGCATCCGCGAAATGGAGGGCCGCAGAGACGACCTCCTGACTCGGAACGCTGAACTGCAGGCCCGGAACGATGCGCTCAGTACCCGGAACGACGCGCTCAGGGCCCGGAACGCCCAACTTTCTGCCCAAGTCCCACCCACCGGCGACGATGGCCCACCTGCCAGTACTGCTCTCCCCTGCTCCATGCCCAGCCACCTTCTCGTGTACTGTCATCTCCCCTCGCTGACGCTGGTTCCGGGACGCATCGTCGCGGTTTCTCCACCATCCAGCCTCCTGTCGACAGTATCCGATCTTCGCTCGCCAGGCGACGTTCCGCATCTTACCTGGCTGGCTCGCTAGGTTCTTCGCTCGTTAGGTCCGCTCCCCGTACGACGGACATCGAATCCGCCTCCGCGCCGACTCCTTCGTACTCTACGTAGTGATTTGCTCCGTCGTCCATGGGATAAATACTGCATGTCGGGGTGCCGATTCCCGCAGCCGACTCACCCCTCGCGTGGAGACGTGGACCGCCGCCGGGGTTCGTCCTTGGGCATCTGCCGCGCACCCTCGACTGGGACACCTGGTCGACAAACAACCGCCAGCGCGCGGCAACGTCGACACGGACGTTGCCAGCCAGCCTCCATAGCCTGCGGGACGTGGTTTCAACAACTGCATACCGAGAACACCCTGGCGGCTCGGTACCACGAGTTCGGGGAACCAAAACGCGAGCCCCGGGCGCAGAGCATCGCGACGACGAGCCAGTACGCGAGACAGACGACGCGCTCCGGGCTCTCAGCGCCGAGCTTCAGGCCCACATCGAAGAACGTCGAGCTCCAGGCCCGCAGCGACGAGCTCAAGCCTGGCCAAGAACGCCGAGCTACAAACTTGACGAGATCATAGCTCGTACGTGCCAGTTGTGCCTCGAGCTCGCTGCAACTGGTCTTCTATGCGTCTCGCTTCATTCACTTCTGACTTACGCTCGTTCGGGTTGCTTCCCAAGACATATCTTTACATATGTGCGCACGCAGCGTATGCTCACGCATAATCTCAGACTCCGGTGTTTGAATTGGAAAGAGGAAAAGGCAGAATTCCCGACGAAGCGCGGCCAGTGCAAAGCAAAGACGTAGCCCCATATCCGACACACCACACGCTCCCCATGCCGTCGCAGAACGCCGGCAGAGCAGGAGAAGCGGGGAGAGAGAGAAGCCGTAGATCGATGTACAAGAGACGACAGAGAGATGAGAGATATGTGACAGTCATTGCACGGGAGATGACACTAGTCGTGAACGTACGGGGGTATTACGAACAGTAACAGTGAGTGATAGGCGACGGGCCGGGGCAAGGCGGGAGAGGGGGCAAATACGGAACACGAAACATCAAGACGCCGACTACACAACGGCCAGGAGCGGGTTTCTGCGCGCAAGCACGGGACGACATGACGCATGTACGCACATACTCCTCTCCCTCTGCTCGTCCCCTTCATCCCCCACAACCCTGGTCGTCACGATCCGAGCGATACCGAGCCGAGGTCCGGCGTCGAGTAGCGATGGGTGTGCGAAGGTAAAGGGTTGAAGGTCGACGTGTTGCGTGGCCGGGGGTAGCGTATGGGCGCGCTTAGAGGACGACGCAGCCATGACTCTTCTTGCCCTTCCCCCTGACGATAAGAGCCGCGCGAGTCGCGTACTGGAACACCTCACGAACGCCTTCGCCCGACTTGGCGGAGCACTCGAGGTAGTGCCGCGCGCCAATCCGTTGCGCCACCGCCATACCCTGATTGAGACAAAACCGAGGTCAGGACCAAAATCATTGATATCGTACGAGGATGGCAAGACACGGATAAGGGTCGGCAAGGCGCAACAAAACAGGCACGCAGATCACACTGTGACTGAGCGGCCCAGATTGGTTGGAGGAGGCGCTATCTCGGCCCACCGATGAGGCAGGCCGCAGAAAGTGCAAGGGAACGATGAGGGCAAAGCACGAAAGACGTACCTCCTCAGGGGTGACCGGCCGCTGGTTAGTCTTCCTGAGCTCCTCAATCACACGCGGGTCGCGCCTGAGATCCTTCTTGCAACCAACGAGGATGACGGGGAGACCAGCGCAGAAGTGCATAACCTCGGAAATCCACTACAAAGGGGGATGGCGTCATGAGTGAGCGCGGGGAATGCAATCGACAGCGGGAGAGGCAGACCTTCTCCTGAACGTTGTCGAGCGAATCCGGGGAGTCTACGGCGAAGCAAATAAGGATGACATGGGAGTCGGGGTAGCTGAGGGGACGGAGACGGTCGTAGTCTTCCTGGCCGGCAGTATCCCACAACGCAAGCTCAACGTGCTTTCCATCCACCTCGACATCGGCGACGTAGTTCTCGAACACGGTGGGGACGTAAACCTAGGGGCGAGGGAAGGCCGAATCAGCACCCAGATGCCACATGTGGTGATGCCACGTCTGCAGAGGGCTGCATCACGAGACGGACACAGCAGGAGAAACATACCTCGGGGAAAGTGCCCTTGGAGAAGACAATCAAGAGACAGGTCTGTCGGTGAAGGTGCGTGTGAGCATGCGAGCGGTGCGAGGGCGGGCTGGGAGACAGGAATATATGCGTACCTTTCCGCAAGCACCATCACCGACGATGACGAGCTTCCTGCGAATTTCAGACATGGCGGTCGTACAGCGGGGGGGACTGTGTGGGCGTAGGGGGGCAGGTGGGGACGGCGGGGGTCCAGAAGGGGGTGGAGAGGGAGGTCGTCGTTGTCGGAAGCGATGATAGCCAGCGACGGTTTTCTCCCAGTTTCAAACTCCTCCCAACACAGCACGGGGCGTTTGCTTATGTCAGCATAGGGCCCGTGCGCGGGAATGCTGCCGGCGCCTGAGCACCGCCCGCGGCAGAGCGCCCGCCGGGGAATGCGACCGCCGAGCGCGCGGCGGTGCACCACGGCCTGCGCCTGCCTGCGCCCGCCCAGGCCGCCCCCTGCCCGCCAGTCCGCTTGCAATTGCCCGCCCCGCCCCCGATCCTTCCGCCGCACCGCCCGCCGACCTAGCCTCGCCCCTTGTTTCCGCCATCCCCACGATCCCACCGCCTCCCCACAACTCACATTTCGGTGCCGGGCTTGTCAACCAGCTGACCGTCGGAGTCGCCGCGCCAGGTTACGGGTCGCCGCCTGCGGTCGCGCTTCCGATTATGGCAAGGGCGTCGCGCGCCAGGTCCATCACGACACGCACCGCGGCCCCGAGGGCGGTCAAATGATACAAATCAGCCCGCCTCCACGAGTGCTGCTATGCGCTCTCTTTCAGCCGACGACCAGGTAGCCCTCGATGGCCCCATGGGTCATGAAGTGGAGCAGTTCTTTCGCCCTCCAGCTCTGCGACGCCACGCGTTGCAATATAACCGTATGATCATCGCTGGTCGCGCTCACGCTCGTTTCATGTCTTACGAATATGTACATACTCGGAGGCCACTCCACTAGTCTTCTGGCGTATGCGGTGTCCGTTCTTGCAGCCCTCGACGTCGAGGCCCACGCGACACAAGCGTCCGAATCTCGCACTCGAAGATCGAATCAAACGGTCCGCCGCCCCTCACTCCTCGTATAACCATTTCTAACCCCGCACGATAGCCCTTCAGTTATTCCGCTTTCTGCTCTCGGCTCCTGTGGCCACTTCCGCACCGTTGCCTAACAAGGTCACAGAACCCCCCAGACAGGGCGATCGCCTGCATCGTACATGGCGTCACCTCACTGTCACCTCCCCTCGCGTCCCGTCAGCAGCGCCTGGGCCCCTCAATACCGTCCTCCTAGGTGAGGACGTGGAGTAACCCACGCCAAAGGACCAGGCCCGCCGAATGGCATATAGCCTACCTTGCGCACGGCGAAGAGCCCGTCCAACTTGCTCTTTTACCACCCTCACATACCGCATCGCAAACACCATGGTAGTCAACGTACAGAACGTCCGGGACGGCCAGACCTACAAGCTCACGAACGCGAAGGGCGGCACCGTCGTCGACCTCTCCGGTCAGGACCGCGGCGCGCCCATCACGGGCTACAACTTCAACGGAGGCGCGAACCAGAAGGTGCGCATCGCCTGCGTGCGCCCCTTCATTGTCCCCCTCGCCCGCCTCCTCCTGTCTCGCCCGTGCCACCCGCCGCACCTCCGCCGCTAACCCTACCCCCCGCAGTGGACGCTCGAGCACTCCGACAGCGAGCACTGGCGCCTCAAGAACCAGGCCACCGGCCTCTTCGTCGGCCTCGACAAGGACCAGCCCGAGAACGGCCGGAAGCTCATCGCGACTGACCGCGCCGCCGAGTGGCAGCTCCGCGCGGACAAGAAGGACCCGAACAACGTCCGGTGCGTGCCCTCGAGCTCCTTACCTCCCTGCCGCCGAGCTCGGAAGAACTGACCCGCGCGCGTACAGGCTGTTCCTCAAGGACACTCAGTACTGCCTGGACCTGAGCGACAACGGCAACAAACAGCCGGGCACTCCGATCACGCTCTGGAAGAAGTGGGACGAGGGCATGAACCAGGCGTGGATGATCGAAGAGGGTGAGCTTTCCTGAGCATCCGCTTGTCGTTCCGTCAGTCCTGATGCCGAACTATGTCTTAGCTTGAGTGGAAAGCTTACTGCGCGCCCGTGTAATTGTACTTGTATTGAAGCTCACCGAAGTGTACGATCGGGATTCGGAAGCGCAACGCGTCCATTTGTCGGACCCTCATGGGTTCGCGTGTACTGTATCACTGTGGTCGCTCCGTTATCTATTAGTTGGAGGCATTCCCTCCTCTCTCTGTCGGCACTATGTGTTAGCGCCTACGTTTTGAAAGCCTCGATTACGTCATGTAATAAGATGACGATGAGGGACAGTCTCCTAGCCAGGCCACGCTGCCAGAAAGCCGACATTGGTCTAGCTAGGCTGTTGAGAAACTCTTTTGAATGAGGGTTTGAGCGAACAGGGTCGTAATTTGACTCTGCCTGTGATTTCATCCTCTTGCCAAGAGATGGCCTCCGAGGAGCAGAGGGACGAATACGCGAATTCTTCGACACCGCTGATCAGACGCGGGAGAGCGTAAATATTGTTGCACCTATATTGCCCCCGAGTCTCACTTCCATATTTCCATTCCACCAGAATCTACTGTCCTTACGTCTGCTTATTTGTTCGCCTCCATCGTGATGTTAGTAGTCGGAACGTTTCTAAAACCTCTTGGGCGCTGATGATCGACATTCGCGGCTGAGATGGTGGGCGTCTAGTAAAACGCTTCTTCCTGCGTTACCACCACCACCACCACCACCAACGGCGCGCATATAGGCACCCCAACATCATGGCGGAACACATCTCCACTGAAGGCATGTTGATCTCGTCCCCCCGATGTACCAATTCCCTTCTCCGTCTGGCAAGAAGACACCGTTTCGCTAGTGCTGGCCCTCACACGTAAGCGCGTCTTGCAACAGCCTCTTGGCCGAGCCACTCTGACAAGAACACAGGAAAAGCTCGATAGCAAGACCGGAAATGGACTGGTACGACACTTCGACAGCCCGATGCAAAGTCCGACACATAAATAGTCCATGCAGAGTCCATGTACTCGAACCAATGAAGACACAGTCCATCCGAAATCAAGCACACCGCGCCCTCTTCCGGCGGCGCCCCATTCGCGCCATCCGACGCCATGGATGCCCTGGCGGCGCCCTCAAACTGCGAAACCGAAGATCAGTCACGACGCGATCCTCAGCCGCACAAATAGCTCACCCTCTTCGAACCTCCAGTACTGCTCCCCACCCCCAGCCCCGTCGCACAGTTTCGCAGGCAGCCCCGCAGTCAGATTCAACGTCAATCGCCCACCTGGGATCGCCAGGCTGCGGGCCCATCACGTGAGTCCTCGCTCGACCCCCCAAAGGCAAATGCACGCACCGGAGAGCAGACGGATTCCCGGCCTCGGCACGGGCGTCCCACTCGGTCTCGTCGCGCGTCGCGACGATGCTCGTTCCCTGGCGCCCCGCTCCGTCCAGCCCCAGGAAGAGCCCGGTGGCGACATTCCTGAATGACCAGCGCGTGGTGGGTCCTGCGTTCTGCCGAGGGCCCTCGGCCACCCACTGCGCAACAAGGTGAGCCACTCCGACTCTTCCTTCAGATCCGGCTGCGCGGTGCGCTACGTACCTTCTGGTGGTCGGCGTTGCTCCAGGGCGCTCCGGTGATGGTACGAAAGTCGGCCATGTCGAGTGCGAGGACGGTCCGGGTCTGGGTGTTGACGAGCTTGTAGGTGTGACCCGACTGGACCTGAAAGACCATGTTGTATCGCTGGTGGTTGTGGTGGTGGTTATGGTACTGACGGGCTCTGACAGGCCGCAAGACGGGGTTGAACGGGGCTGGATGGGATGCGTCGACGAGGCACGTCCATCCATGCTCTTATACCGAGTCCCGTGCGGAGTGCTGTGCGGTGGTCGAGCTCGTGGAGGGCGCTGGGATGACCTGTCGTTTACCTCAAAATGGGCGTCGCCTGCCCCCACCACCGCCGGTCGATCGAGGGACGGCACGTAGGTGGGCGGTCGTGGGTCGAGGCCCGGGCGCGAGCAGGTGGTGATGATGCGCAGACGTCGTTTTGCCATCGCCCACTCCCGCGCTTCATTTGGGGTACGAAGCTCCGGGTCGCGCGAGCGCGGATTCAAGCGGTGCAGAGAATAGCAATACGCTGCACGTCGCCGGGCTCTTCGTCCACTGCGGCAGGCGAGCCCCGCGACGTGGCTGGGTGGCCAGCTGCTCTCGTCGTCGGCGTTCGAGCCGGGACTGAATGTGGCGCGCGGACGACGATCCAGATCCCAAGCATGATTACCTCGCGCGGATGGTTTTGGCTGCTGCTGGGAAGCCATCGAGATAAGATCCCGCGCGCCCCTCAGGGCTGCCCGGTCGCTTTCGCACTCGCGGGTACGTGTCCGTCTCGAGCGCTGCCGCGACGCACGCATGCGCATCTGATCCGCCGTGCGCGGCGGCAGCCTCGCGTCCTCGCGAGCGCGGCGGTGGCGTTGCGCTGGGCGTGCGTGATCTATGCACGCGACTGCAAGTGGACTTGCCTCATTCGCCCTCATCGCTGATATGAGGCGCCCGTACTGACTGCTTTGCGTTAGGAATGTCGACACTCGCGTCTGCCGGTGACGAGCTCGCCATGGGCTCGCCATAGGCTAAATCCCACGTACGTCCACGCCTTCTCCTGCACGGCGATTGAGTTGCCTCGGTCGCCTGCGCGATGCACCGGTCGCTCGAGCCACTCGGCCGCGCCGCGAGGAGGCCATGCGGCGGTCGTGGATCACGCTGACTCGCTGTACATCAGGTGGTGCGCGCGGGGTGCGGCTTTCCCGACGGCTCTCCCGCTGCGCCGTGCACGCTCTTGCACGCTGCACGCCACGCTCGGCGAGCTCGAACCGGTCTCAAAATCTTGCCACCCTGGGCAGCCGGCGCCGCTCCTTCCCAAGAGCCCCCGCGCGCTCGCGGCTCCATCCTGCTCTTAAGCGACACTGCCACTCGTATCTAATGACGCGCTGCGAGCTGCTCCGTCGAGTGTGCCTCCTTCCCACTACCCTCGCTTTCCGTCCCCTGCCGCGTGAGCGATCGCATCACGAGCGCCGCGGCGGTCGTCTGAACAAGGCAAGTGACTGCCTCCCAGTCCGCCGTCTCGTCCCATACTAACGCTTGTAGCACGCTCCAGAACGGGGGTTATTCTTGCGGGGAACTCTGACGCCAACTCCCCCGGCGCCCTAGCCGCACCATCTGCACCCTCGATCGAGCCAGGCGCCGGGCGGAGGAGAGAGATTCACGGAGGAGGTACGCCTGACTTGGTTGCGGCGCGCGTCGCTCAGCAGCTCTCGCAGGCCCCCCTCCTCTAACGTCACCACTCTGTCGGGCTGCCTGCTCCCGAATGGCTGGGCGCGTGAAGAACTGCATTGAATCACGGTGCGCACTCCGCTGCCCTACGTTCGATTCCCAAGCTTCAGAGCCTCTCTCTCCCCTCGTTCTGCGCTGGCGATCCCGCCCGTCCGTCCTACGCTCATCTTATCTGGGATCATCGCGGGCGGTCCCACCCAATGTCGGGAAAACCGACTTGGTGTGAGGCGCAACGCCGGGCCGACTCGCAGCGCCACGTTGCGCGCAATAGCCTGCACGCGTCGATCCTGGGGCGGGGCGGCGAGGCAGCCAGCGTCGCACGCGCGAGGCGGGCTTCTCGCCGCCAGCTGGGCCGCACGCACGCCCGGGCGAACCAGCGGCCTAGACCGTGAAGCTTCAGAGTTTCATAGCGTCGCGTCGCCCAGACGCTGCTCCATCCGGTGTCCCGCTTGCGCGGTGCACGTAGCCTTCCGCGCGGTGCGTCCAGGCGGGCGTTGTTCCCGCGGCCGGCCGCACACGCTGAGGACGCTACTCGGGGCTCTAGAGCTGGCCGCCCGCACTCGGGCCTGAGCCCGTGGTGGTGTGACGGCCACAGTGCCCGCCAGCGCGAGCACTTGGGCCCCTCGAGCGCGGTCGAGGTGTGCCCCATGCACCTCCGCGCCTGAAGGGCCCTTGGCGAGCTGGGTTCTCGACGACGCCGTCGCTCCGTCGTCACTCCCGCTCGCGGCGCGCCCAGTTCCACGTCTTGTGCGGCGCGTGCGCGTATGGAGGGAGCTTCCTGGCACTCCCTACAGACAGACAGGAAGACCCGTGCTGACTGCGACGCCGGCCTCGAGGAGGGAATCTGACCCCAGCCCGCACCGATGGGCCCCGATCGTGATCACGACGGTGCTCCCCATTCCATATACCGGTCGGCTGACGGGCGTCGCGGCTGCGCGGTAGGGCCTGGTCGGTGGTGGCCAGCCTCCAGCGCGGGGGTGGCCTGGGACACCGGTCCGAGCGCACGTGGCGGGCTCGCGCCTCGCGCCTCTGCCCACCGACCGCGGGGCCGTATGAGCTGCCCTCGACGGTCGGCGGCCACCACGCGCCCTAGGGCGCAGGGTCTAGGCTTCGCGGGATATCATAGATGAGCTGCTACTGATGTTACCCCGGATCCTCGATGCGCATGTTGCCCGGGTGGCGGCGGGGGCGTGCCACCCGTTCCTCCCTCACCATGCGCATCTCGACCAGCACGCGCTCCACTTCCGGCTCCAGGGGATCCTGAGTAACATAGAGGGCTCGGGAATACGAGTTTTAACTTTGCGAGATGGATGATAGCCTTTTCGCGAAGCACACTTCGCGACGCCCTCTCCCTCGGCCTCTATGGCCCTGCGACACAAACACATACGTACGGATGACGAGCCCACCGCGCGGCTGCAGTGGCGACCCTACTTCCGGCGGCGCGTCTCCCGCTCTTCTCTCTCCTCTCGTCGGGTCAGCGGGTGGTTCGGACGCACGCTGTGGTTGACCCGCACGGAGATGGCATTGGCTTTTAGAGCTGGGGCGGCGGGGCGGCGGCAGCGTTCCAGGTCTACTCCGAATTCGCCCCGCGGGCCCCCACACCGCTCGTCCAGGCCGCACGTTGAGGATCTGCGTCTGCGGAGGCCGGTCGCACCCCAGTGGCCCGCCCAAGCTTATTCTACGCTCGCCCCGGAGGCCCGAGCGGGCGCTATGAAGTGGCGAGCGGCGAGCGGACACTGGCAACGGTGGCCGTGGTCATGGTCCGGGGCGCAGCGTGAGTGCACACCCGCTCGGGGTGCTGTACATAGGCCTGGTCCGCCTCGGTCGTCGCATGCGCATCGGGTCGGGCGCCATTCCACCCACAAGCGTAAGTGCAAGTACGGCGAAAGAGTGCGCATTCCGGCGCACACTGAATCGAGCCCCGTTCGCAGCGCGTGCGCGCGCAAGACGTTGGCTGGCGACTCAGCCCTCAGGGGGCGCATAGGCTCCCTTGCGTCGGGTCCGCAGACTGTGCACTCGAGCGTGCGGGCTGCTCATGAAATGCTTGCGCTGATGTGGGTTGTTTAGGATGTGGGCCTTCCCCTCCTGGGTTCTGCACGCACTACATGCACGCACCCGGGCTGGGCCATGGGAGATGGCCAGCCGATCTCATCGCCGGCGGACACGCGCTGGAGGGCTAGCATGGCGGATCGGCGGCGCGCAGTCTGCGCGCGGTCTGCCAGCGACGTCCTCTCTCAGTACTATACTTGCAGTTTGTGGAGCGTCGGAATCGATGGAGTGTGCGGATGGTCCGTCGTGCCGACTCGATGCTCTGGACGGTCAGCTGCTCGCTGGTGGCAGGGAGGACGGGGGCTGGAGGCGACCATGGCGACCGACGCAGGAGTCTCGTGGTATGGTACTCAGTCGTCGGAGCGCGCGGACGTCTCCCGAGAGCGAGCCGACGAGATGAAGTGTCAGTGGCCATTAAGACGTCGACGGCGAGGGAGGGCGAAGGCCGGTCTTGTACTGTTTGGGCTGAGATGGGGAGTTACGCTTTCGGCGATCTCTCGCGCTCAGGCTGCGGCTCCTCGCCCGGCCACGCGGCGGGCTCCAGGCCTGCAGCGCGTGGGTGTGTCCCGAGACGGTGGTGGTGCTTTCCCCGAGGAGTCATCGTCCGTAGGCATCGTCGCCGGCAAGATGAAGAGTTACGCGTTCTGCGCTGCGGGCTCTTCGTTGAGCTGGCTTCTTCTCCCCGTCGTTCCGAGGGCAAGAAGTTGTACGGAGCGCTGATAGGGGCGGCGATTGAAGCAGTGCTCCCTGCGGCTGTTCAAACGTATGCGCAATGCCTTTGATGGCAGCCAGGAACGACCGGCGTCATCGCGCGAAGACCGGTGAAGACGGGTCATGTCCGTTTGGTATGGAATATACAGAGTACCAGTATCCAAAACAGGAAGTCGCCGCGCCTCGGAACAACTGGAACCCACACGACACTTGGCAGCACGGCATCCAGTGGCCAATTTGCCGGCGGGTGATGGGGAGGAGACCGGCTCGAGTGCGCCTGTAACACACCTGGTCAAGCCGCATCGTTCTTCTTCGCACCCGCGGGCACGTGGTCGGAAGTGCTCTTCGCAGCTCGAGAAGTCTGTAGCAGCTGCTCCGATGATATCGTTCGTCTATAAGGAGATTTCGTAGATTTTGAATGGCTTCTATGGTGCTATGTGTGACATGCATTGGTAGGCGCCAATTGAACAATCAACATCGTCTTATGGTATGACGTCATCGGCACCAGGGACGTCGGATGATGCCTACGAGTGAGTCAGTATTGCACTGCAGAAATCTAAGAATAAGGAATATTAGGGAAAAATGGCTCAGACATAGACAATGGTGCGAAGATAACGGCGACTACCCACCATGCGAAGCGCAGCTTCATATGGGCGACCGGCCCTGGAAAGAGTAGGAGAAACGTCCACAAAATAGCCTTTATAGTAGTGCCCCTTGCCCGCCCCGCACTCTTGTGGGACAAGTCAGAGGACTTCCACGGAAGCGCGAGGCCAACCACGGGAACGGGGAACGAACGGTTGGACAAATCTGCGCATCATCACCTGCTCGAGCCTGGGCCCCGATCCACGACCGCCCACCTACGTGCCGTCCCTCGATCGACCGGCGGTGGTGGGGGCAGGCGACGCCCATTTTGAGGTGAACGACAGGTCATCTCAGCCCCCTCCACGAGCTCGACCACCGCATAGCACTCCGCACGGGACTCGGTATAAGAGCATGGACGGACGTGTATGCATCCCATCCAGCCCCGCTCAACCCAGTCTTGCGGCCTGTCACATTCCGTCAGCACCACAACCACAACCACCAGCGATACAACATGGTCTTTCAAATCCAGTCGGGTCACACCTACAAGCTCGTCAACACCCAGACCCGGACCGTCCTCGCACTCGACATGGCCGACTTTCGCACCATCACCGGAGCGCCCTGGAGCAACGCCGACCACCAGAAGGTATGTACGCGGCGCAGCGCGCAAGATCTAAACTAGTCGAAGTTGCTCACCTTCCTTCTTGCGCAGTGGGTCGCCGAGTGGCCTCGGCAGCCTAACGCGGGGTCCACCACGCGGTGGTCATTCAGGAGTGTCGCTACCGGGCTCTTTCTGGGGCTGGACGGGGCGGGGCGCCGGGGAACGAGCATCGTCGCAACCCGCGACGAGACCGAGTGGGACACCCGTGCTGAGGTTGGGAATCCGTCGGCTCTCCGGTGCGTGCATTTTGCCTTTGGGGTCGAGCGAGCACTCACGTGGTGGACCCGCAGCCTGGAGATCCCGGGTGGGCGGTTGACGTTAAATCTGACAGCGGGGGTGTCGGCGAAATTATGCGACGGAGCTGGGGGTGGGGAGCAGTACTGGAGGTTCGAAGAGGGTGAGCCATTTGATTGCGTCGTGGGAACAGTGCTCACCGATTTTGGGGTCGGCAGTTTGACGGCACTCCTAGGACGGCGGAGTGCGCGAATGCAGGACCGCCGGAAGAGGCGCGGTGTGGACAGTGCTTGGTTTCGGATGGACCGTCTCTCCATTGGTTCGAGTGTATGGACTCTGCATGGACTATTTATGTGCATCGGGCTGTCGATGTGTTGTACCAGTTCATCTCCAGGGTATTAAGTTCGTTTCGGTGTTCTCTTCATAGAGGGATGGTACCCGAGACTGGTGCAAAGCTGATAACGTCGCTGGGCCAGATTCAACCCAGGATCAGTTTATGGACGGAACTGGTGGCAAAACAGCCTACGTTCAGCTGAGAAATTGTCCCATGGTGATGCTGGTGTGCATACAGGCACTCATAAACGTCCGGCGCGTCAGGTTCGAGAAAAAGCGCCCAAACTCAAAGAGAGAGCGGCATCGAGCTGAAAGGGAGTAGATAAGTACATGCAAGCTAATTTGACTACGGAGGCGGGAAACAGAAACTGCAGGGCCAATAATGATGCAAACACGCCAGAGGACGGGAGTATTAGGTATAGCTACTCTAAGAGAACTTCCATCTGGAAGGAAGTCAGTACTTCGCTGAGTTGCGGCAAGAAGAAGGACGCACCTATTATTACACACGGTACAGCTAGACCAGGAGAGGTCAGTGGGTTGCATAGAGCACGATAGATGGTGTACGTCACGTACGTTACGAAGGTCTGATACAAAGCGGTCAGCATAGTATAAATGCACGTTAGAGGTATGGAGGACGCACCGTCATCGGCTCATCAGCGCTGCGAGTCTGCGCCTGTCTGTATCGGCACTTTCGCTGCACGTCCTTATAAGTCATTTGCTCTCGCGGGGCCGAGTGTGTGCGCACCTGTTTGCAGCGGCCACACTGGAACGCGTCTGTCTCCGCTTCCTGCTCTCCCGCGCCCAGGGTCTTGAAAAGGTTCTCTTGCGCAATTTTAGCATTCGCGGCCTTGCGTTCTTCCGAGGCCATTTCCTAACGCGAACATGCAGTCGCCCGCAGTGTCAGGTAAGACAAAGCACTCACCTGGCTGCTCATCTTGCAAAACTTGCCTACGGCGAGGTCGCCAGACACAACGCTCTCTCGGAGACCCGGGTTGTTCTTGTCCTTCAGATTGACGAACAGAGAACGGATCTTCGCCTTGTAAGCTGCGTTCGCGCTTCCGTTGTCATTCAGCACCGTCTTCTCAATCTCACTCGCACGTTGGAGCACAAGGTCGGCCGCTGCGAAGATATCAGCCAGTTGCCACGTCATCGAAAGACCGCAGGGATGGGATCACGTACGTGCACCGGAGTCGAACACAAGGGCATCGTAGATAAGCTCTGCGCACTTTTCTCGCGTCTTGTCGTTCGTGTGGTTGAATTTCACGCCATCGATCTTTGCAGAACGGTTGTCGCTTATCTTCGACCCGGCGGTGGTCGGGGTGACTGGGGTGGAAGAGGGAGCTGCCGCAGGGGGCGCTGCTACTTTCTTGGCCGCTTCGGACCGGGCGGACTCAGGGACTTTGCAGGAAAGCTAGTCGGAGAACCACACACCTGGTTTCGAAGACTTCCCGCTCCCCCCTGATGCTGCCTTTTCCCGCTCGACCTCCGTCTTCCACTTCTTCACGATCTCCTTCGCGAGGTCTGAGACCTGCTTGGACGCATGCGCACGAAGCTTGCCGACAGCCAAACCGGCCTTGCTTTCCTGTCGAGTGGCAAATGAGCGCGATATTGGACAGCCAGCGACGACGGTGCGTCTGGACGTACTCGTAGCACAGACTCGGTGATCTTCGCATGTTGCTTCAAGGTTTTCAGGATGCCCACGATCTCCTGGAACGACCAAAAGCGTCAGATAAGAATAAAAACAAAGTGAATGGGGACGCCATAGGGAAATCGCTACGCACCTCGTCGGTGGACGCGCCGTTCAAGCTCTTCACGAGGGGCTTGAGCTCCGACGCGGCGGACATGTCGCTGTTCACGGGATGCGGTGCACGGAGGCGGACGACGCGAATGGCTCAATTTCCCTGTTCAGCAGCGACAGATGCAGCTTTGCCCTCGTCCCGACACCGTTGCATGTGGTGGATAAAGCCCAAGCCCCGCACGCGCCAGGCTCGTGTGCGCAATTGGCGCCGATTACTAAGCGGATGCAAACGTGTGCAAACAGCGCGCTCGCCGGCCGGCGCGTCGAGCTCGCTGCCGCGCCACCAGTGTTCGAGGTCGCCCTCGACGGCCACGACTACTCGCTGCCTCTTGACCTTCTTTCTCTCGCGCTTTCTGAGACTTCTCTTGCACCTTCCTGGTTAACATGACATCGTCGCTCCCTCCTTTAAACCCCCTTCTGCAAGTATGCGGGAAACGGACACGAGACATCTTCGCGTCTGGGTTGGAAGAGCCCGGCAAAGATGAGGAGAAGAGGTGCGTTGGGGCTCAATGACTTGCTCTTGGTACAGTCTCTCAAGCTTGCCCTCGCGTACACAGCGCGAAGCTCCGTCTCTCCGTGAAAATCAACGACGAGTTCCGGGAAGTCAGGCAGCTCCCCCCTGCACTCCTTGCACAACAAGGCGGCGTTGGGCCCGCGCGACCAAAGGAGACCAGGAAGATGATCACGGCAGGGCGTGAGTGCGCTTGCCTCGTGAAGCTGCTCGACCTATCTCACAGGCACATCCAGCGAGCTCCGACACCGGTCGCATGATCGCCCAAATCGACAACACGCCCGCCCCCCAACCTTCCACTTTCGCCTCCTCGAGCTCGCTTTCGAAGGCGCTGCAACTGCACAAAACGACGCGTACAGTGAAGCCCACGTATCATCCCCCGTGGAAGCTCGTCCGCGTCATCTCGGGGCACCTGGGGTGGGTGCGAAGCGTCGCGGTCGAGCCGGGAAACAAGTGGTTCGCAACGGGAGCGGGAGACCGGGTCATCAAGATCTGGGACCTGGCGTCGGGTGAGCTCAAGCTGTCGTTGACGGGGCACATCTCGACCGTGCGCGGGTTGGCGGTCTCGTCAAGACACCCGTACTTGTTCTCGTGCGGTGAAGACAAGGTGCGTGTTTGCTTGCTCATTTCTCCCGACACTTTTCAATCTCGAGTTCCGTAGATGGTGAAGTGCTGGGACCTCGAGGCGAACAAGGTCATCCGGCACTACCACGGCCACTTGTCAGGGGTGTACGCTCTTGCCCTCCACCCTACCCTCGACATCCTCGTCACATCGGGCCGCGACGCGTCAGCGCGCGTGTGGGACATGCGAACAAAAGCGCAAATCCATGTGTTGGCGGGGCACACGGGCACAGTTGGAACGGTCGCATGCCAGGAGTCGGACCCTCAAATCATCACGGGCAGTATGGACTCGACAGTCCGGTGCGTTTCTATCTTCTCTCCTTCGTCAACCTTCGCGTCTTATTGTGCGCTGTAGTCTTTGGGACCTCGCCGCGGGAAAGACGATGGTCACCCTGACGCACCACAAAAAGTCGGTCCGTGCGCTCGCCGTGCACCCGACCGAGTACACTTTCGCGTCCGCGTCGGCGGGGGGCAACAACATTAAGAAGTGGAAGTGCCCCGAGGGCGCTTTCGTCTTCAACTTCGCCGGCCACAACGCGATCATCAACACCCTCTCCGTCAATTCCGAGGGCGTCTTCTTTTCCGGGGGCGATAACGGCTCGCTCAACTTCTGGGACTGGGACACTGGCACCGCGTTTCAGAACATGGACGACGTGCCCCAGCCGGGCTCGCTCGAGGCCGAGGCGGGTGCGTTCTGTTCGACGTTCGACGTCACGGGCACACGCTTGATTACCGGCGGGGCGGATAAGACGATCAAGGTGCGTTTCGCTTGCTTGTGTGCTGCTAGGGAACTAGACTGACGAGAACTGTGTAGGTGTATGCTGAGCAAGCTGGCCAGTAACGTCTGCCGTCTGCGTTTGTACTTCTCGTTTACTATATATACTGTATTCCATGACCCCTTTTCGTTTGATCTTTCCTTGCCTACTGCAATTTCGCGACAAGATGATAAACACCAACGTACAAAGTTCGCTTACTTCGCCAGCATTCACAGATGGCAGTTCTCGATGGGCGGTGGTTTCCCTGGACTGCCGAGAACGTACTGGCGTCGGTAGTGTAACCCCGGAGTCTGCACACCGTTAAGGGGACGCCGAACGAACCAGAGGCAAGTACGACGAAGAAAGCTCCCGAAGTTATAATCCACAAGAGGGCTTCGTGAGCTCCGCGGGAGCTTGGAGTACTAGTGAATGTCCAAGCTGAGGTAAATGTATCGTGTCCCTGCGTTTGAATCAACCCGACAGCTTACGATTGTTGGTTTCCTACTACTGCAGAGCGTAGCGTGCCCCCCTGGAAGCGCCAACCTAGCCCCACGATCCACTAAAGTCATCCTCTCTGCCTGATCTACCGGTCGAGATAACAGGCAGAGAACGTCGGTGCCGCTCACGTATCACCTTCGAGCAGGTAAACGGAAACCATCTCGTGGAAACGGCATTGCTGTAAGTTGGCTACCATGGCCGCTCTGGACCAACTACTTGCTCTACGAGGAGTGACTTATGGACGCTATCAAGAACGAAGTTAGACATTGCCCCAACTCCATCGGGTACAAGTGGCTCGAGCTGTGCTCCTATTGTGATGGGTCAACAACACAACAATGAAGGTGAGAGCCTTGTTCGACTCGTCGCCTAATCGCTCCGGTTTTGAATCAGACAAAAGTTTGAATGTGCTCTGTTCGCTTTCTAGGGTACATCCACGGGACGAGATGTGTATGTCATAGCCTCCAACGACGCTAATTCCCCTGGTAGTTCGAAGACCGCCGACATCGAGTTCTTTACAGGAAGCAGTTCTCGACGGGCAACCCGTTTTTGCCAACTCCAGTGTCTGCGGGGAAGGGTTCGGTACCTGCACATCAAGCAACCGTTTTTCAACTTACCTTGTTCGCAACCTTGTGGGGCCGCCGCAGCGTCGAAGACGAGCGTAAGAATGGCGAAGCAAAAGACGAGGAAGAAGCCGGGCCGCGCGATAGTCGAGCAATTCATGGTAACTTCAGGCGTCGAAAGGGGGGGGAAGTACTGGTGGTCGTATAGCTCTGCTTCGATTGACGGCCAGTTTTAAATCTCACAGGAGGTATATCCGCGCCTCGCTTGAATGTTGAAGCACACAGCCCTTCGGGATGGAAGGTCGTACAACATTGGTAGCGCCCTTCATGTCAATGAAAGTGCTGATACTTACGTTTGGGCAACGCTCGGTCAATTGAAACACGGAGACACAAGCCCCGAGACAGACCAAAGCGCGGCGGTGTATGATGGCGACATCCCGGGACGTACCCCGACGAGATCGGTACAAGACACAGCACAATTGAAGAACTAGAATGCGCCCATGATGGGCGGCGTCACGAAGAGCGCGTACATCAACACTGCAAAACACGGTGCTGCACTATGTGTACACTCGATTCTCACTGGAAAGTCGGGGTCATTGCTGCCAAGAAGTATGTTCTTCGAAAGTCTCGCCCACAAACACCATATTTTCAGGCATTACGTGAAGCCGCGTCGCCGCTTTATGTTTCTTCAACAGGGTACAACAGTGAAGGACAATGAACATTCGAACAAACTACATTCACTAATGGCAAGTCTTATATCGTCTGGTGCTGGTACATATTCACACCTGTGAAGCACATCAATCAGCGTTCGTGCCCTTCCAAGAGCTGGCGAGCTTACCGAAAGTAGTGTTCTGACTCGACCACGTATCCAACATGCACTCCGTCCCCTTCGCGCACGCGAACTCGAAGACATGCAGCGACGCCGTCGGGCACGCGAACCGATGCACCGCCGTGTTTCCTCCCGGGGTGACCTCGAGGGCGACAGCGACCTGCTCCACGACCGGGGGCTTCGAGCGATACGACAGCTTCTTCACGTCGACACCACGCGAGCCATCCATGCGGAGGCGGAACACATCCAGGCGCGAAGCGGCGGTCATGTTGAAGAACGCGCCGCGCTCGAGCGCCTCCGACGGTGCCGGGAGGGTGATCACCAGCTCGCACTCTTCCATCCCGAAGTCGATCGCGCGCAGCTGCACGATAGTGTGCGTCTTTTCCGCACGTTTGAGCATCAGAGACAGCACCAGCTCATCAGGAACAGGACGCACCGTCGGGGTCACATACAGCCTCCGCTCGTGGGGGCTCAGCCGCCCGTACTGCTCCGACCAGTAGTCGCGCTCCCCGCGAGGCGCAAGTCGGTCGGGCTCGTCGACGAACACCTGCGCCGACATGCGTGGGCGCACGAGGATCGGGTCGATAGGGGTCGACTTGATGCGACCACTCGAGTAGAGCTCCTTCAGGCCCACGTACGGATCCGCGAACTCGAGCTTGGAGGTGTAGTCGGTTGGCTGGAAGACGGACCTGAAGGCGTGCGCGATGTAGGCGATCCCGATAAGGTCTGTGAGCGCAACGAGCAGGACTGCCACGACGGCCCAGCGGAGCACGGGGGAGGCGGGGCGGGCTGAAGTATGGACGGATTTCTGCCTTTCATCCAAGTCTGAGCAGGGGTCAGCGATTGCGAGGTGAAGGGAATGCGCGGCACGACTAACCTAGCGTCGAGGTCGAATCTTCCTTGCGAGAGTCATCTGTGTCGGGGAGGAGAGGGTGATACTCGTGCTCGATGCGGGGCATGGTGTCTGCGGGATGAGCTACGAAGCTCCGAGGGCTCAGAAGACGTGCACTCCGCCGCGATCTCGGGGTTGGAGCGCCAGAAGAAGCTGGCCGTGGGGGCCGCATTTCCTGAGAGCGTTCAAAGAAGGTTGGCACGAAGTAGCACGCTCCCACACTGACATCGCCGCGCCGGCCGCGATAGTGACCTGTCTCCGTAGGTCTCTGCCGTACTAATATCGCCGATGCGACGAAGACGGCGGTCTTGATCCGAGAACTTCACGCACCTAGCGCGGCGCTCCTCTGGATGCATGACAGTAGGCGGAGTCTAGATTCGGATGCTGAAGTCACTGCGTGGAGGACGAAGCCTGATTTCCTCCCACAGAGACTAGATCTTTGCTAGATCTTCCGACGTCGGCCGACGCCTGAAGGACCTCATCAGGGTCCCAAGCACTCGTTGCGACCTTTGCGCTTTCTCCTGCTACAGTCGTTCCATCTCAGCCAAGATGGGAGCTCTTCTCCTGAAGAAAAGTTCCGGAGGAGCTGCACCATCCTGCCTTGACACTCCGCTATCTTGTTTCAGAGCATGCTTTTTCCCACAGAATATTTCTTGCACGCTCTCGCTGCGAAACTGCCTTATCGGCCTATTGGTGCTGTTCAACATCGCCCTCAGCATCTCCATAGCGCGCGAATTCGAGAGCGCGATGGCTCAGCGTCCTCCTCCCCACTCCTCCTACTGTGCGTCACATATTCGCTTGGACGAACCGCTTCTTGATGCTCTCATACTCATAGCATGGATCGAGGATGACATCCCTGACACCCTCCACATACCAAACCCGCGCCCGCGCGTCGCCATGAACCTCGAAGACTCCGTCCACTTCGCGCGCGGGGCCCCTAACGCCTCCCTCGCTTGGATGTACAGCATATCACCGACGCGCTCGCTCCAGGGCGACGTGCACTACGGCTCCGCCGACCGCGGTCTCAACGCGCTTGTATTTCACGAGCTCCACTGTCTCAACTGGGTGCGCCTTGCGCTTGAGGAAGAGGGCGTGCCCGCGCCCGGACTGGAGGAGTGGCACATGACGCACTGCCTGAACATGGTCAAGGACTTCACGCTTTGCGCGGCCGACATCGAGCTCGAGCGGGGCCACATAGCCGGGCGGAACTTCGATGTGGAGAAGGACGGCGGGGAGCGGAGCTGCATGGACGTGGAGGGTCTGTATGGATACATGCAGGAACAGTGGGAGGAGTGGGACGGTGCTCGGCGAGCGCGGAGTAAGGTCCAGCCTATGTCGTCTGAGGTACACTAGTGTTCGCAGCCAAGGTACGTTCCGCCTCACCTCCATGTCATAGATACCATTGACCATGGTTTTCGAAATGTACCAGGCGGGTTCTGTACCTTATCGTTTGTGATTATATCAGTGGTAACGACCAAACGTGGCAGACCATGAGTTGCACTGGCGGCTACGCAAATGTGCGCTCCAGGATTCCAGTCCGGATCCGAGACTACAAATTACCCTTCACCATAGCGGGGACAGTCGGCCCGTCTCGCGTTGCCTCCATCCGCTTCTCTTCTTGAAGTTTCATCCGCGCGTATCCGGCATCCTGAACCCACGTTCGCGCGCTTTCCTCCTCCACGTCCTCGTGTGGGTAGGGCTGAATTAATCAACCCCCTCCCCATCCTTCCCGGCGGTAGCCTCCTCTCATTCTCGCCCTTGCCCCTCTCCCATGTCCCTCCATATCACAAGGCGCGCAGTAGAACGCCTCGCGTTTTGGGCCACTGTCGTCTTCCTCGCGCTCAATGCGTTCGCGAAACTCACCACCTTCATCGCCATGAAGCGCGCCAACTCTCAGTCCGCCCAACGCGATGGCCTCCACCGTCAGCAACATTTTATCGACGCGCTTTTCTGCCTGGTCATCACTGACGCTTCAAAACACAGCGCGTCTCGCCGTAGCGCGCCCCGACGTTGCGCTCTGGACCGGGAGCTGGTCGCGCTACACCCTCTGGGACCGCGCACCATGGTCGCTGCTCGCACCGCGCGCCGGCGCCGTGTTCCTTCCATCCGCATCGGACGCGGAACCGCACACGGTCGCAATGATGCACCAGTTGTGGTGCGTCGACGAGCTTCGCGCGCAACTCGCCGTCCCTCGCGCGGAACGCACGGCGCAGCCTACGGACCACTGCCTCAACTACCTCCGCCAAAGCATTCTCTGCCGCGGGGACATGCATCTCGAGGGGTGGCAATACCCAGACATCTTCACGAACTTCCAGCGGGATTCGGTGAGGAGGTGTCGGGATTGGCGCGGGGTGTACGAGTGGGTGGAGGCGAATCAGCTAGAGTATGCCGGGTGGCTACCAGGAGGAAACGACTCATCGCACAGATTGTCGCTTTAGTACTTCGAGGAATTAGTATGTTCTGTGGTCGTGAAAGAGTGCTGTGGGTTGCGATCGTGAGTCGACAAGCTGCACGGCCCGGGCCTCCGTCGCCGCTTACCAAGACGACACAAACATGAGCAAATATCTCGTCGCCATCCGTCGCGTTGAGCTCAATTTTCTGCTTCACTGCAACATCGTCGCTGCTCTGCTGTGTCCTTATGTCCGTGGTTTGTGGTAAAATTCAACTTTTGGTCTAACCACTCGATGTTACGGCTTTACATGGGAAGCGGATATCTTCGCGGGAGTTCATCGAACGTACCACGGCAGACACCACGAAGATCAGGTCCACGAACGTCGAAGGTACGCATTTCTACGGCACCCGCACCTCTCCCTCCTTCCTCGCACGGTCGTGCTCCTCCACCCAGTCCGCGTACTCCCTCTGGCTCTGCTCCACCTGCTCATACACCGCCCGCCAGTCCCGACACCTCCGCACCGGCCGCTTGTCCACGGCCCCGATCTTGTGCGCGTACTGGTACGCGTCCAGCTGCGTGTCCCCGCGGCAGCGCGCCGCCTGCCGGAGGTAGTTCAGGCAGTGCTGCGCGTGCGCCCAGTCGCGCTCCGCGCGCGGCCGCGTGAACTCGTGCCGGAGCGCGTCCATGCACCGGAACTGGTGCATCATCGCGACCGTGTACGGCGCGCGCGACGGCCCGAGGTGCACGACGCCGCCGCCGGGGAAGAGCGGCTCCCAAGGCTCCGGGGCGTCGAGGGTGTAGCGCGCCCAGCCGCCGGTCTCGAGCGCGACTTCGTGCGCGGCGGCGGGGACAGACCAGCCGGTCTCCGCTGCAGGCGAGATGGAAGGTGCGTCATCTGCGCTTGCTGTAAAGAGGGAGGGAGGGGAAGGACATACGGTGCATGTATGTTTCTTGTGCTTCGAGGTGCCGTAGAAACGCGAGCGCGGCGAATTTGAGCGCGCCGTTGAGCACGATGAGGGCGAGAGAGGCGACGACGATGACGCGCTCGGTTGCGCGCCAGGAAAAGATGCTTCTGCGCATGGCTTGTCTTCGCTCGCGCACACCGAGTAGCCAGCAGGTTATGGTGGACGTAGGTCGCGAGGCGTGCTCGAGGGAGACAATCCTAGTCTGCCTCGCAGCCCGAAGGTTTGAACGAGAGCTCTGACAATGGGCGATGTCGAGGAACCAGTCCGTCCGCCTAGTACGCTTCTGCGACTCCGAGCCAGACTGGCATGTCCGCTCCGTTCCAAGAAGTTTCGCTGTCGGGCGTCACTAATTGGTACCGCGCGTGTTGTTCAGCTGACTGCGGCACCTGAGAACCATTCCTTTCGTGTTACCTATCGCCGACATGAGCGCTGCCTACGGCGACAATGCGTGGGTTCGTATTTGCGCTAGATCGCGCGATAGGCGGCCTGCAGGACCCCGGAACTGCGCGCGTAGTGGTCGGGAGTACTTCGTGCGGTCTTTGGTTTTGAAATATTACGGCGGCATCGACGTCTGTGGGTTTACGCGGACTCGAATGGTCGAGTGCGGTTCATCTGACCGCAGCCCAGACCTCCGTGCTCGCACACTCTCGACAACCATCGCCGAGCAGGTCGGGGAGCGTTGATAGAAGCTCGCTAGTGGTGGCGATAGCGGCCTCGGTGGAGGGACCAGCGTGGCTGGATTTGGGATCGTGTTGTGCAGTGGAAGCGGCGAGCGATGCGCTCGAGTCGGTGACCGCACTCCGGCCGGAACCTACGATGCATCGCGGGAACTGCATTACGGCATAGCACTGCGCTCGGGTGTGCGGAACGTATGGTCTCCATTTTTTGGACTAGGCCGAGCTCAGCTCATGTGCGGCTGGTGGGTAGGCGTTAAGTATCGGAAGCCATCTGATAATACCGAATGCGTATAGCGTGCCTCCCCAACTGTAAGGCACAGTATGGCAAGGCGTAGCGAATGTACGGTCTCTGTCGAATATTCAGCCCCCGCCCATCTTCCATTCCTCCCGGGGATGCGTCACCGCATGCATCAGAGGAACTGTTTTCAAAGGTAACTGGTGGCTCGGGGCTCGGAAGCGACGGAATAGGTGATGGTCCTGTAATATGATACATAAAATATAACATAATTCCGTTCGCACCTTCATATGGCATATCATAGTGTCGAACGCGAAAGCAAGTAAATGCGCAATGAAGAAAAGTAAAGAGGCGATCGGCGACCGGCGACCGGGTTAACTGGAAGCGCAGGAGGGACGAAGGTGAATGGCAAGAACGCAGTGCAGCTGGTAGATTTAAGAGGCGTTGCGCGGAGGAGAGTGTACGCTCTAGAAATACGAGGTCTGTATCTGTACGGCTGCGTGTAAGTCGAGAAGAGGGAAACAAAAACATCCCGAGTTTGCGCTTGATAGACTCTACAATACATCGGTGGATTTGAGGCATTTTGGCTCTCAAGCAGCGCGGGCGGCGTGCCACAAGCGTAACACTATAACACTGACTATGCTCTCAAAGGACGACACTCCAAAATTTGCTCCCAAATGCAAGCCACACTGGCGGTCTACTATCCCGAGTCAATGATCACACACTTCAGCACTTCAAGATCACATAAAGTCCCTGCGGTACAAGCCGAATGACGTCTACGTTCGATACATGAGAACACGATGATACGGAGAGACTGGACACGAATGAATTTGAAGAACGGATGTAACTTCTACCACTTGCGTCTTCTGAATCCAGGCTAAACACCGTGAGTATAAAGTTAATTGAAAGAACAGCTGTATTGCGGCGCACCGTGGTTTACAGGAAGAGGTTCTCAGAGGGGGCGCTGACCTGGGGCGCGACCGCCGCCTCGGCTGTGTGAGCGCACGAGACGTCAGTGGCGTTCGCGCAAGAGTAAAAATATAACATACCCGGGTTAGGGATAGCGACGGGAGTCGCGGCCGCAGTGGCAGCGAAGACGGCGGTGACGAGCGCGGCGGGCTTGAAAAAGTTCATTGTGGTGGTGAGGGTGACGTCGGGTGCCGAGAAGGGCGACTGGAAGTATACAGCGAGGCTTGCGGACCGGCAGACGGTCATCCGAGCTCTTATACTGCGTCGTCCTGAAGTTATTTCGGCCCCGCTCAGTGCGAGAAACAAAGACGCCGTAGCGGTCCCGCACGATTCGCTCAAAGTACAGCTCGCGAGGGCAGTACTCGGGGCTCCACGAGAAGCTCAAGCTTTGGCCGCCACGCAATTCCGCATCCGTTCCTCGGGAGTCGGAAGCACAGCACGGGCGGGCTGCGACAGTTCCCAAGAGGCAAGCGCCGCGCAGAAAGATCACGACATCCCGCCGTGTGCTGCATCTCGTGCGCTGTGGACAAACCCTATGGCGGAGCGCGTAAGTTCAGTCGAAGAACAGTTCCCGTGCGGGAGTCAAAGCACTCACTTTACCGCGCATGGCAGGCCAATACCGCTGAACTCAATCACACACATCCCATGGACGAGAGCTCTATGCGCCAAATTGACGGACGGAATGAGGACCCAAAGCCTAACAGACCAGTCTTCCCCGTCTGTGACCGCCGTGCTGAGCCCCCAGAAGCAGAAAAGGTGGCACGAGTGATGAGAAGAGGACACCAGCGCAGTGGCTTTCCATGTGGAGCCAGCACATCGCGAGCGTTAATATGCCACAAAGGGAAAGGCTTCGCAGCGGAGTTCAAATTTCTACCCCGTCCGAGTCACCCGGTTTTCCCATCTCCTTTGCTTTTGAAAATCGCCTCTTGACTGGTTTCGCCAGCTCTCCAGGACGGAGGCCCCAAACGCTGTGATAATGCGCCAAATCGAAGCTGATGTTCGCCGACCGGCGGCCGCCCTGTCACACAAGTAACATCGTTGATAATCTTGTCGAGTGACGACGACATTATTCAAGGTAAGCACGAATTTATTTTCCTGGTCATATGTCCGCCCACAGCTCAGGAACGGGCGGGTCTCACAGGCGTCTAAGGGCGATGCGTGATGTTGTGTATCGATACCGAACACGTCCGGGTTCTCATCCCGAATCCCCTATATTTGGCTTGCAGCGTGAACGTGAAACGCAAGTATCGCTACCTCGACCAAGTTCACACTGACGTACAATGCCTCCTCCTCCGTCTAACATCGTCTTCGCGCGAGTCGAGACCCCGACCGACGGTACGTTCACGAATGACTCGCGCAGATTGTCGTGCTTACAGTTCTTCCACAGAAACGTTTGTTCACGATGCGAACGATATCATGGCTAGCGTCATGGGACAAGGCCGGTATCCCGCTCGTATCCTGGCTTTGTGGCGCTGATAATTTCCTCTTTTTCTACTCTGCAAACAGACGAGGCTTCACTCGCGCTCACTGGAGGCGACATGACGCGCGTAGCACGCCTGGGTGGTCTCATGATACGCCCAATCTCCCTGCTTTCTGGCGTCGGCCACGCTTACACCGCCCGGGATGAAATCGGAGCCCTGGTGGGGTTCTTGCTTTTTACTCTCCCGGGACAATTGATGCTCTCGACGTTAGTCTGCTCTCTCCGTAGCTTCCGCGCATGTTGTTCACGTTGTTTTCTTTTACGCAGGGACGAGCAGCGTAAGATGGGTATGTACGAGTACATGGCTGATCTCTCGCCGGAAGTCCAGGAATACTTCGCTGAAACGGTGGGGCCACATCTCGTCTTTGTTATCATAAGAAAAGAATCTGATCTCGCTGTATTCTTCTCGCCACCCGTCGCCCAGATGGGCAAAGAGGTTCCCAAGCTCAACGACCAGATGTTCGGCATCGAGGCGGCCGAGCGCACCACGTACTGGTGCAACATGGCGATGGTCCGCGCGGAATACCAGGGCAAGGGCATCGCGAAACGCATGTTCCAGATGGCCTTCGACGAGGTGTGTACATCTCCCCTACGCTGCAGCACCGCTCGCCAGGGGCCTCGGCGACTGCTGGTACTTTCGCCCCTGCTGAGCTCCCTGACCCTCGTTCCTGACAGGCTGCGAAGTTGGGTGCCACTGTCGCGCTCACTACCACGAACCGCGTCAACGTGAGTTCCGTTTCTTCTCTACGTGATGAGGTCGAGCTGACCATAGCTTCCGCCCAGGTACCAATTTATGAGAAGATTGGGTTCACGCTCCGCGGGGAGAAGACCGTTCCATCTCCCTGGGTGAACTGGATGATGTGGTATTTTTCGAAGGATACGGAAGCTCAGTGATAGTGGACGGACATAAAGGTCTTGTGTATGCAGGAGCGCAATGCTTATTCTTGGTGACCCAGTGTCTGAGCTGCGCGCAAGAAAATGCTGACCCCTTGGGCTTCAAACTTCGGCTGTGCGACCGTATTCTCTGCGGCATGGGGTAAAATAGCGTTTGTTTACAGGAATCGAGCACTTGAGCACGTTGGTCTCCTGCGTAAAAGTCAAAGTCGAAGAGCAGCTTGAGCGGTCCGTGCCGGCCCGAGAGCGGACTCAACAAGGGTACGGCGCTTAATCCGCCGGACTTGTTCTTTCCCCCTCCCAGCGCGTGAGCTGGCACTCCGTCACCATCTCAGAGTCTTCCCGCATGTCGCCCCCGAAGAGAAGCATAAATACGGTGTATAACGCTACTGGGTGAGGAGACTCGGCATACCCAACTCGAAATTACAGCTCACACCTCTTCCGAAGTTGTGGATGGCGCATTCTGAGCGGAGATCTATGTTGGCATAAATCTCTTGGCGCCCTGCATTAAAAGGTTATTGTTAGCTCAGGAACGCCGCGGCGTTCAACCAACTCCCACGAAGTACGGCGAGTTGCCGGCATCGGCGCCATAATATGTACACTCAAGGCATTGCGCTCACACAAGTACGCAACTGCCAACTAAGGTGGGTCGTTTATTCATATCGCCAGGGCTACTGGACTCGAGCACAATGCCCTTCAAGTTGAACTTCGCAGCTTTCACGGGACTCTTCAATCGCCTTAACGATGACCCATCCCACGCTTCATCTTCATTTCTCCCAATCCTGCAAGTTCTTCGGGACATTGATCGGAGCTCTATGTCATACATGCTTCAGTCAAACAGCCAGGTCTCGAGGCTCGAGTCATCTAGCCTCGGTCGACGGCAGTACTCTGAGCGCTGATGTCTTAGAAATTCGCCGAACTCACCGCTCTTCGCACAAGAGATGTGCATTGCAGTGCGCACATGTCATTTGCGCAAAGCATTTGGAGGGTCTGCCAAGATGGAGCCGCTCACGTTCCCGCTTCTTGGGTGTCAATATCGACGCAATGCCATCCTACGACGTTTGCGCTGACCTTTCTCTACATCGCCCCTACGACGGACATCTTGTTGTGAGACTCCTTGCAACCTTGGCTGCTTCCTCAGTTCTCGCCGACGCACTTGGAACTCCGATTATCTATCTTTCGTGCAGGCCTTGCTTCGACGAGGCACCATATAATCAGGAGCTCTCACGACGAAGTTTTTCAACGGAGCCCGTTTCGATCACGGGCCGCTCTCGTCGGACGAACTCGGAGCCCCGCGGACGGAGAGAACGCATCGTCGCTACCCAGAACGCACACCACCCCGTCCAACACCACACTCGAGCCGGCGGTCCGCCGCACAGGGTGACCAACGACCCCGAGGCAGACGCGCATGGGGGCCTGGGATCCCGCTTCCAGCGTGGCGCCCTCATAAGTTCTGCCTGCGCGGCTCGCCGTTACCCACACACAGCGCGCAAATCGGACCCTCGCACTCCGGAGTCATTCCGCCGCCCTTTTCGCCGCCCTTTTCGCCGCCCTTGTCGCCGTCCTTCTTGCTCCCGACCACCCTCCTACGCGTATCCCCAGGCGTGATGGCCGACTACAACACCGTGTTTCAGAACGGTTGGTACATCGGGAACAACCTGAACGCCATCCTCTACGGTGCGTGGTCATCCTGTCTGATTCACTTTGGTGGCGTAGGGCGCTCACGTCGATCTGTACCGCTTGTCCTCCCATCGCGCCTCTTCCCCCGCTTGCCCCGTTCAACGCATCCCGTAATCAACGTTTAGGCATCTACCTCTCTTTGTACTACCTCACGATCCGCTTCACCCTCAACGGACGTCGGCGCCCGCACAAGAATGGGCGCTCGGACCGGCTTTTCATTGTTCTCAGCACCTTCCTGCTCACAATGATCACCGCGTGGCTCATCGTGCAAGCTATATTCGGGCAGGAGATGTGGGTCGTGAACGAAAACTACCCGGGCGGTACCGCTCAGTATTTTCAAGACCATGCCGCGGTGTGGTACGAGACGTTCGGCTCCGCGGCGTCTGTCGCTATCAACGCTGCGACGGACGCGTTCTTGGTGAGTCCAGTTTGCTGCATCTTGAGAAAACGGCATTAAAACAGCTCTGGGCCAGGTATATCGTCTTTATGTCGTATGGGGGCTGAGCAAATGGATCATCGTCATTCCCAGCCTCTTCTACGTCGCCAGCGTCGGTGCGTCTACCTCACCTCGCGTCCGTCGCTCGCGGCTGACGTCTCCGCCCGCGCAGTCCTCGGCATCGTCACCTGCGTCGTCTCCGGGCTCCCGAACGCGAACTTCTTCGCCGGGCTCGCGTCCGAGATCGCGCTCGCGTACTCGGGCGTGAGCATGGGCCTGAACGTGTTCTGCACCGTGCTCATCTGCGCGCGCATCTTCTGGATCTCCCGCCGGATGAAGGCGACCCTCGGCCACGGCGTCTCGCGCACGTACACCGGCGCGGCGTCGATCGTCGTCGAGAGCATGCTCCCGTACACCGTCTTCGCCGTCGCGTACCTCGTCACGCTCGGGCTCGAGAGCCCGCTCGCGATCTTCTTCCTCACGCCGTACGTGATGTTCTCGGTGAGTCCCTTCCGTCTCCCTGTCTTTCTTTCGCCCCGGACACGTGCGCAGGTGATGGGCGGAGTGGTGTGGGTGCGCGGGTGCGCGTGTGTCGCGAATCGCTGTCGATGGGGCTGTCGTTCGTGGATCTCCAGACGCTGACTTTCGAATTCACATCTTCTCTTCGGCTCCACTGCTCTCGTACAGGTTCTCTCCCCGCAGATGATCATGCTTCGTGTCCTCATGGGTCGCGGGCTCTCCGCTGAGACCACCATGGGTACGGCGACGGGTACCGCATTGCGTTATGGTGGTGTTACCGGGGCGTCCGGGACGACAGCCCAGGACACGGATGGTACAGACCACACAGCAATCAACTTATCGAACCTGTCGAAGAGCACGTTCACACAGACGAAAGCGTCGGATATAGTGTAGTCTGTAGGGGTATGACCTTCACTCGTTCTCTGTATGACTATCTGGCGGTGTACGTAGTAGCAAGTGGACTATACCCATACCATGAAATTTCCCGGTTTGAAGTCGCTGTGTTCAGCACGAAGAACGGATATACATACTACATTGCAGCGCGTTCGAATATCCCATGACCTAACGGCACAAAAAGATGGCTCGGAACTAAACCTAAATCCGTACTTCGCTCTGAGCGCGCGTAGCGCGGTCTACCGCAAGCCACTCCGTCCAGTGATCCCACATCGTCGCGTAGTACGCCTCGACGTCCAAGCACTTCATCTCGCCCCATTCGCGCTCCGTCGCAAAGTCCCTGTCGAACGGCTCCCCGGGCTCGAGGCTGGCGTCCGCGGCGCAGAGCGTGTGGTCCTTCAGGATCGCGAGGCAGTGCTCCATGTGGTGCGTGCTCGACGCGCTCAGCTCGTCCTCCTCCGCGAGCACCTTGCGCATCGCGCGGAGGCAGTGGAGCTGGTGGAACATGTTCACGTTGAAGATGCGGTGCAGGGGCCCGAGGCGGACGTTGCCCTGGTCGGCGGGCGTGGCGGTGTAGAGCCACTCGAGGTAGGCGTTCGGGGCGGTGATGTTGTAGCGCGCGGACTCCTCGATGCGCATCAGGACGTGCGGACGCGCGTTGGCGACGTGAAGGCGTTCGGGAACGTCATCTTCGACGAAGGCTGAGGAGTTGCATAAGTATTGTGCTAAGCGAGAGCCTGGCTCGAGCGTACTGAAGTGTGAATGAGGCGGGGGTCGTCGGGAAAGCGCTTTGTTTATTGGTTGTAGAATCGACTTGTTGGTGAGCGAGCTTAGAATTGCGAGTACGAGGAGGGCCGCCAGGCGAACTAGGCGCCAGAACATATCGAAGGTGGGGGAGGTGGGCGCAAGGTGGGCGGGAACGCAAGGCCACGGACGGCTGACTACTCATGATCAATCCCGGGCGACTGGGTGGCCACTTAACGGCGATGTAGAAGCGTCTGGTGCGGCCGGGGCTTGTAAGCTTCCATCTGCTATTCGGTGCGGTGCGCATGGAAGGTTGGTCAGAGGAAATGAGAGTTCCCTTCGTCGGCCGTCAATTGTGAGTAGGTGGTGACTGGGGTCCGGGGATGAGCGTCTCCGATAGTTGCATTATCCCCACGGCGGGCTTGGGGCGGGCCGCTCAAAAGCCTCTTCAGCGCCTGGCCAATTAGCTCTCCGCTGTCCGCTGTCCGCAACCTAGGCCTATCGTGAGCATCTCAATCCACACGCCGCATTCCTAGACTATGCCCAAACGCCGACCCTGGGACTAGATGTGATGCACTGGATCCCTTTCGCAGCAGTCTCTCCCATGCCTAGCTCGAACTGCCCGCCGCCCAGCCGTCCTCCAACTTCGAGCGTATCATCATCTCCATCTGCAGCTGAGAAATCAACCCATGTCCAACAGCAAAGAAGAATATCAAGGGCTCCTTTTTGATGATGGGTCTCTAGAGAATGACAATTCTATCATCGAGTCTTCCGCAGGTGAGCCGTGGGTAATACCGTATCAACTCACAGGTGACTTACACAGGTGGTTCTTCAGATGCAGACGCGTCTGCGAAGGACGTCTCGGGGCTTTCCTCACTTGCAAAATGGATCGTTTCAGCCTTGCTTGTCATATGTTTTACCGACGTCGTTGGTTTCCTCTACCTTGTTCGTTCCTTCGCGACGGTCTACCAAGATCCACACTATGCGACGAACCTCGAGTACGCAGACTCGTACATCGGTCTGAAGGAGCTCTACGCCAGCGGCAGAATCAACTCGTCTGCGATCGATCCCATTTTCGTGCGCCCGCGAGTATCAGCGCAGGTGTACGAAGACGATCCCGACAACCTCACGCCACTCGGGGAGCGCGACTACTGGCGGGACGGGTTTGGGAGAGCGTCGCCACATGAGCGGAGGCTGTATGTAACGCCTACGGTAAGTCTAGGTCTCGGTACACGGCCGGCGCCCAGAGACATACTCACTTCACGATGGGACAGACACGCACGGTCGTGCAGTTCAGAGCCATCGACTTCGGCATGGAAGAATGCGAACTCGTCTTCACTCTTCCGACGCCCGGGGAACCCTTGGAGCGCGGCGCGTTCTTCAGCATCGACCCTACTTCTCGGTTCGACGTCTTCCGCCTCGATGCAGACCGTCCCATCGACGTCCAGAAGCTGTCGTTTCGCTCGCGCCCCAAGATCTCCGAGCGCGTGGCGCGGAATATCGCACTCAGGGTGGGTGAAGACACACAGGTGCATCGTTTCGGCTGCCCGGCCACCTCCCTTCACGTCTTCGAAGTGGCGTGCGCGGCGGGAACGGAGTGCATGTTGGACACTTGGTCGTCTCAGAACACGACGTTCGGTGAGTGTGTCACGAGGGATAAAGTTGGAACTAGACGTACTGATATGCGGCGTCGGCCTTAGGCGCAAACATGTACCAATACCAGACCGTCTGAGGACGCTTAATGCTTTCGATGGGGAATCCAATAGATTCCGTCTGCCACGGCGCTAGTCTCTACGTAGGTAAAGACACGAGTCTGTATGCATTGATGATGTGACCTTTACGCACTTCCGCCATTTATCGTATCGACTGAATCGCGATGGGTGTAGACCGCACATTTCGTCAGGAAACTACAGAAACATACAACAGTCGACAGTTACAACAGTTAAATTCAAGCTTCGCTGGTCATCGAGCGTTTGCTGGAGACGTCCTGCAGATTCATGGCGTCGGGGTCGTTACCGTTATCCTGCTCGACCGAGGCGAGGACGGGCCACTGCGAAGTGTGCCCAGCAGCCCCAGCGCCGGCACCCCGGCCCATCAGAAGTCGTAAGATAATCATCTGCGGAGAGATGCACTGCGGCAGCGCATCAGCCTCTTCCCACTCAACACCGAAAGCAACGACAGCGCTTACCATGAACATCACGTAGAACGACAAGAAAAGGATCTCGAGCGGGTGGTTGAGCCCGAGCGTGACCAGGTACGCGACGCCGAAGAGCGCGTAGGGGAGCATGGACTCGACGATCATCGCCATCGGCCCGGAGTACGCCCTCGCGAGCGGGTCCCCGACGCGGCGCGACGCCCACATGATCCGCCCGCAGATGAGGCAGGTGCAGGTGACGTTCATCGCGATGCTGACGGCCGAGTACGAGAGCGCGACGCGCGACGACAGTCCGAGGAAGAAGTCGCTGTTCGGCTGGCCAGAGATCACGCAGGTCGCGATGCCGAGCGCTACCAGTGCGGGCGGTGTCAGAGCGGAACGCGGGCGAAGGGAGCGGGGAACGCGGGCGCACCGGCTGTGCCCAGCCAGAGGAAACACGGGAATAGAATGACAGACGGGCGGAGGCCCCACACGACGTACGTCCGGTGGATCTGCGCAGGACGGAGACACAGCATGGTTAGCGTTGCGTTCGGCTCCAGCCTAGCCCGGTTCCAGAAGGAGGCTCTGTCAGACGGTAGACGCACGCACCAGAAAAGCATCGCTGGCCAGATTCATTGCGACGGCCGCGGCTGACCCGAAGGTCTCGTACCACACCGCGGAGTGGTCGGCGAAGTACTGCGCAGTGCCGCCGGGGTAGAACTCGTTCACGACCCACATCTCTTCTCCGAAGATGGCCTGGACGATGAGGAAGGCCGTGACCATGGCGAGCAAGAAGGTGCTGAGAAGCAAGAAGATCTTGTCCGAGCGACCGAAGCGACCTTGTTTGCGCGCATCGAGGATGATCTTCACCGTGGCGAAGTAAAAGACCAACTCAACCCCTGCACGCTCATCAGCGTTGGGGCGCACAGCGGAGGAGGATAGCGTACCGTAGAGAATGGCGTTGAAGTTGTTCCCCACGTACCATCCGTTCTGGAAGATTTGGTTCGTGTTGTCGGCCATCGTTGAACTCCCAGTGCAGAACTAGAGAGGTGACAAGGAGACTGAGGACGCCTGCGATCCGGTGGAGAGAAGGAAGACCCGGCATCGTTCCGGCCCTTAAAAGAAGGTCTGAAAGGGGTCATGCCGTTATGAGCCAGGAACGACCTATTGGACGAGACTTCGCGTGGGAAGGAGGATAGCGGACTGAATAGCCGATGTCAGTATGGATCGATATTCTGACCGCCGACGCGCGCATTGTCCCCGTGCCATGGTAGACGCCATGTATCCTGCTGATGACCTGACCTCCCAGCCGTGGTGTGACAGAAGATCCTCTTGTATGCCAAGCAACAGGAGCCTCACCATGCGTATCTTTCCACTGACAGTGCACTCCAGTGTCAACATCTCAAGTTTGAAGCGAAAACCAAACTTTTGTGAGAATTGATTGACTTGACTATGTCGTTGCTGTCATGGCGCCACGAACTATCCCCACTGTTTTGACTCTAACGGTGTTTGAGTGATCGCCGCCGTCTTCAGACTGGAGGTCGGGTGACCGGGCGTGGCGGCTGGCGGTGCTTATGGGAAGTTAGAACGATTGTTGCAACCCCTTCACTGAAGTCTTGATACTGCAAGCTGCACGTAGTCAATATCCTCCAAATCGCTGGTTCAATCTCACTCACTTCTGTGACTGCACAAGGTCGACGAACAAGCAAACGGCAGATTTGAGCTAAGTTCTAACATCAACCGTCTCAAGAAGTTGAGACTGGGAACACTGACCAAAGCCAGTCTCTACGAACGCGGATACTGAGTGGACAGGTCTGCGAGAGAAGAACCATCGTTGTGAACTGCTTATTATTATTATTATTATTATTCTCATTCTATCCCTATGTGTCACATATGCGCGTGTAACTACACAGCTAAGAACGTATCCCGCATTCGTTTGAATACATGTGTTATGTAACGGGTCTGCGCCCGTAGGCAGTTGCAGAAAGTCCAGCGGCCGCAGGCGCCGCGAATCGTTCAGACGACCGAATCATGCCACGGCGGAATCGCCGCGAGCGCATATGGGATGGGGTAAGTGGGCTTGTCAGTTCCGTATGACGGAGCGCCGGAGCGCGACGAGCTCACACTCGATGTGGAGGAGGTGGGGGATTGGGGGCGAGATGGGCCGAGATGGGACCCCGCAGGCGACGCGCGTTGGTACGACCGGGTCAAGCCAGGCAAGGGTATGCAAACGGGAGGGGCAGGCGACGCGCGTGGACTGTGCCGCGACCGGGTCGAGCCGGGCCCGCAACCGGTAGGTGCGAGTGGGGGAGGGAGGGGAGGGGGTCGGGGAGCGTTCCGTCCGCGTTTGAATGTGGGAGGTCGCACGTCGGGCGCGAGGGTGTTCCACATCGCCTCGAAGTGGCGTGCGTTGTGGCGGTAGCGATGGCCTCGCGCGCGCGCGTGTCTCGCGTGGGCTTTGTAGTGCTTCGCGACTCCGGCCTGGAGGACGTCGGAGTCGTTGTGAACTGCTGCCGTTGTCGTTTGGTTGTCGCGACTCGCAACCTGGAGCACGTGGCAGAGTGATGGCGACGGGAAATGCCATTTCGGGCACGCTCCCGCCTTTTCAGCGCTACGTTGGCGCTTCCTCGTAGCGTTCATCGTCTTCGCCAACTCAGCTTCTGCATTGAAATCGCCAGCTCAGCCCCCCGACAGTATCCCGAGAAACCTGGGCCGGCGAAAAGGTGGGCTCGTGTCTTGCTATCTACCAGCCCAGGCTATAAGCAAGCTCACACTCGGATTCCGAGCACAGGGAGGGTAATAGGCCGCCCACACGACTCATGGGCCCGAGGGACAAAACTTGGCTGCGCGATCTCTCCGAGACAGTCATCACTCTACAGCGCGACTATACAGCCGCTCGAAGCTCGCGGATGTGCCCCCAATAGCCGATTTGCACGCCTTTACCACATCCCTTCGAGCTCCTTGGCTCCATGGCAGGCAGCGACCGATGGTCTGACGGCGACCAACGGCACCTATGGCCGCAAGGCCCATGAAAATGCTAATCCCTCGGTATAACACCGTTATTAAAACTCCACGGATTGGATGGGTCGCATAATGTGGTATTCGCCATGACTGGTTTCCTTTATTGTCCCAGCTCACTCGATCTTTTATTCGCTCAATTGGCACAGACTTACCTCCGCATCCTTATGTTATATTCAGATAACAGAAGTGCACCCCACTTTCAATTGCAAGCGCCCAACGAGGAGAACAATGGCGAATTGGCAACCCCAAAAGCCAGGCGAGCTATGTGACCAAGTCCTCGAGGCTCGCTAAATGTCCGGCCGGCCGCGCCGGAACCTCTCCGCTCTACTTGAATGTCGCTTTGTCTTATTTCGAGCGCATTCGATCTCGCTTCAGCCCTTAGCACACCAGTCGCGTGTAACACAAGAGCGTCTGCCTCCCATCCGCCTCTCTCGCAACTCGCAACATCCCCTTCCACGACAGGTGTCCTGAGCTTCAGGCAAGCTCTCAAATGTCCATCACTACCTCTGTCACCTGTGAGGCCACACTTTCTGTTGACCACAAAACTCGACCACAAGCATCTGCCGACTCGATCGCTTTATAAAGTACGTCGCCCTGTCCCCTCTCCGGCCATCCACCCGAGTACCCATCCCCCCCGCGCACTCCCAGCACTCTTTCCCCGTCCAGCCACTATGTACGGAGTGTCGTTCAAGGCCAACCGCCAGCGCGGCTTCGGCAGGCAGCGCAACACCACCGGCGGCTTCCCCCTCAAGGCCCGGCGGACGCCTCGTTTTCCCGGCCACCTCTCCTTCACCGACGTGACCTCCGTCCCCGGCCTCGAACGCACCGCCTCCTCCGCCTCCTCCGCCTCTTGCGACTCCGACGCGTCCGAGTACCTCCCCACTCCTCCCTCCGCCGAGCCCCTCCCCACCCTGCCTCCCCTCTCCGCGACGCAGATCGCCAACCGCGAGCGGCTCGCGGCCGCTCTCGCCACCCTCGCCACGCGCGACGACCTCGACGCCAAGCAGTTCGTCGACGCCTACCACGCCGGCGACATCCAGCGCCGCACCGCGGAGGGGTTCCTTGAGACAGAGCTCCAGTTCGCCGCCCACCACGAGCGCCGCGACCAGCTCGACGCGTTCCACGCCGCGCACGATGAGGAAGCGGTCCGCGAGCGCGAGGAGCGACGCGCGGAGAAGGCTCGCCTGAAGCGGGAGCGCAGGGAGGCGGAGCGCGCCGAGCAGATCCGCGTCCAGAGCGAGCTCGCGGAGGCGGAGCGCGCCGAACGGATCCGCGTCGAGCGGGAGCGCGCGGAGGCGGAGGAGCGCCGCCGCCAGGAGCTGCTGAGGGCGGAAAGGGAAGCGGAGGTGCGGAAGGCCCTACGGAAGCAGCGCGAGGTGGAGGAGCGGCGGCGGGCTGAGCAGGCCCGTCGCGAGCAGGAGTGGCGCCAGAAAGAGGAGGACGAGGCCCGCCGTGTCTTCCGAGACAACTGGCGTCATTTCGACGCCGAGCAGGTCCGGCGCGCTCGGGAGAGAGAAGAGGGGTTCTGGCGCGCCAGGCAGGAAGACGTTCGACGAAAGGAAGAGCAACAAGCTGCGCAGGCGGCCGAAGAGCAGCGTCGCCGCGAGTTCGCCCACAAGCAGGAGCATGAGCGTCGCCGTGAGTTCGCCCACAAGCAGGAGCAAGAGCGTCTCAGGCAAGCAGCCGAAGAGGAGGCCCGCCGAATGGGGGCGCAGCCACGTGAAGCCCAGGCAGCCCCCTGGCCCGCCCCCGACCCCGCAGCCCAACGCGCGCAGGAATATGCCGACCATGACCGTAAGGTCCAGAGGAACCTTGCACGCATCAACGCCTGCGCATTCGGCAAAGATGCACCGCTCATCGCCGCCAGGTATGAAGCGACTTGGAAGGCTATCAAAGACTCGCCCGACTCCGCATTCGAGTACAAGAATTTCCCGTTCCCTGTCTTTTTCCCCCTCGACATCCCTCCTCTCCCAGCGCACATAACGTACGAACGCGTCAAGGCCTTCGTTCTAAGCCCGGTGCGCTCCAATGGGGAAATTTCTAACCGCAAGCAAATCAAGGACGAGACCCGCCGCTGGCACCCGGACCACTTCTCAAAGACCCTTCGCAAGGTCAGAGAGGACCACCGGGACCTTGTGAAAGAGGCCGCGGACGTCGTGATTCGTTGCCTGACGGATCTGAAGGCGGACCCGACCATCTAGCAGTCTCCGTGCTCGACTCTACCCCATGTTACCTTGGTGATGATCCCCATTCTTTTGCACCCTTTCTTCAATCCACTGCTTGATTCACCCTGTATCGATGGCTCGCCATGCCCTCTTTCTTTACTCATGCTATTCCCTCGCGATATGCTCACAGTCCCATCATGTATTTACTGCCTTGCGTATGCTCAATATCACATGTCTTTTATTTAGAAAACTCTGGATCGAATGGAACGAAGCTCGGAAGAACTGATCGCCACAGTACCTGCATCAACTACAACGAATTACGCTTTTCCAGGTCATCCGACCACGAAGCATACTCTTCTACATCTTTCCTCACCCCTTCAGCATACTCACTCAAGAACGCGACCGAGTCGAGGCCCAACGGCAAGTGCATCGGCGGGTCGTCCAACTTGCTCAACTCGTAGATCCTCGCCACTCCCTTCACCGCGTCGCTGTGACCAAAACGCGCCGCAGCATCTCCATCGTTGACACCCTCCGCAAACGACCGACGCACGATGGACACCGTCAAAGATGGGTCAGAGTACGCAGGATGCTGAGGGACGAGCTGCAACTTGTGCTGGATGCCAGTGCTTCCAAACGCCCCAGGCTCAACGCACGTAATCTACGAGGGGAAAGTGAGTCGACGCGTTGCATTCCAAGCATTTTGGATTGCTCACCTTGATGTTCCAGTCGGGATGAACTTCCATGCTCAGTGTCTCCGAGAATCCTTCCAAAGCTGCGGCCCCATCCTCGGTCAGCCGGTCACAACGTTCACGGGCAAACCAATCCACTCACCATGCTTCGCCGCCCCGTAGAAGCCCATGTTCGGGAACGCGACGAGCCCCACCGCCGCGCTGTTCTGGATGAGCCTCCCGCCCCTCGGGACGTTCACATCCCTGAACACCCGCAACGCCTCCTGCGAGACGTACACCGCGCCCCAGAAGTCGACCTCAAACAGCGCGCGGGCGTCCGCGTCGGGCGTGCCCTCGGCCTCGCCCGCGAGCACATAGCCCGCGTTGTTGAAGACGACGTCGACGCGGCCGAAGGTGTCGAGCGCGAGCGCGAAGGCGGCCTTGATCTCCTTCGGATGGGTGACATCGACGCGGGTGACGAGGAGTTGCGCGGCGGGGTACTGGGCGGAGAGGGTCGAGAGGGTCGAGGGGTTGCGGAGAGTGGCGACAACACGGTCGCCGTGGCCGAGGGCGCACCGAGCCATTTCGAGGCCGAAGCCAGAGGAGGTGCCAGTGACTAAGATTCGGTGAGACATGGTTTGCGCTGGGAGGGGAGGAATGGGTGCGTACTAAACCACACTCGCGAGGGAGAAGACATATTTCTGATGATGTTGTGCAGGCAGTGGATGAGGGAGTATGCCCTGGTCGGCCGTCGAGCCTTCATTTTATCCAGTATCGATGGGTGTCAATGAACCAGTCAGATGGATTAACGCATATTCAACTATTGATTCTGCAAAGCCTGCTCTTCCCCGAATGGAGCCACAGGCTGAACCAGATATCCCGACCGGCTTTGGTATCTCCGTTAGGCATGGATTTAGGTGCTACAACCACATCGCCGAAGGCCTGACCTCCATGAATCCCGATCGGCTCATGCTTCCACATGTGTTCGGGCTTCGCACATATAATAATGAAGATCAATCTGTGAACACGTATCAGCACACAGGCATAAGTGGGAGGGAAAAGAAAGCCGACGAACAAAATGCTCTAGTCCGCACACCCATACCCGACCGACATGTCCAGAACCCACGTCCTCGCCCCGGGGCTCCGCGGTGTCCTCCGTACCGTCACATTCACATAGTGCGACGGGCCCTCATCGAAGTGCTCACGGAACGTACGCGAGAACGCGCTCCACGCCGTCCTATGCGCGTCCCACTCCTCGACGTGCTCCGTGCTCATGTGCTCCCCGTTCTCGCATGCGCCGACGCCCGCCTGACTGTCGAACACCACAGACACGTAGTGCCGACGCGGGCTCCCCGCGCGGAGAGTGTGCATGCTAGCCGCGCGCCTGCACAGCGCAGGTTCGTCGTGGCAGACGCCGAGGACGACGCGGGCGTGGCGGTCGCGCGCGGAAAACACGAGCACGAGCGGGACCGCACCCGTCCAGAGCGGCCCGTAGCTGGCGTGGCTTGAGGAAGAGGGTTGGGGCGCGGTCCTCACGCCGACGAGCGTCCATCCTCCGTCCCGCACCCGGTCGAGCATCCCCTGGGCGATGTGGAACGGGGCGCGGACCCCGTTCGTCAGCCAGAAGAGCTCCTCCTCGAGATTGAAGCCAAGATCGAGCCTACGCGTAGGCAAAGCCCGGTACGCGGGCCGCGGGGAGATGTAGATCTCCCGGTAATGCCACGCGCCGATGTACACCCCGCCGCCGGGCGGGCGCGAGACGGGGTGCGCGCGCATGGCGGGGTGCGCGTGCACGTCGGGCGGGGTTCTGCTGAGGTAAACCAGGCGGCAGTAAGGGACGGCGATGGAGTTGGGCTGGATGCGGGCGCAATAGTACAGCGGGCGGCCTTGAATGGTGGTGTTGGTTCGGTCGCGGCAGAGGACGAGGAAGAGACTGCGGGCGCCGTTTTTGCATAGGATGTGGACGAGGGCAAAGTCGTCTCCGAGATCGGCCATGAGGAACCTGACCCGAACACCGTGAGGGGTAATCGTTAACGCGAGGTCCTCCACTCGAATCTATTGACGTTTGATCTCAGATGTTAGACCGGGACAAAGCTTCAATTGGCACACTGCTCACCTGGGCCACCCCGCTAAAACCATCAACTGTATGGCTCAGCGTGTGCGACATGATGTTGCCAGCATCGCGAAAGTGAGAGGGAGAGGGAGCGAAGAGATGGACTCTAGGATCTTCCTTCGCTATTGAAACCGCTTGGTTTCTCCTCACACGAAAGTCGATGTCGAACTTGAGGTCCATCGACGAGGCTGCAGGCCCCCAAGCGAACAAGGAAGTGTCGGCCGACGTCTTCATGATCCCCTCTTGCAGACGATAGAAAGCATTCTGACCTTCTCCGTACAGCGTGGGCAAGTTGATGCCAAACAAGCCAAATAAGCTGTAAGCCTCGTCCTCCACTCGCGTCGTCTTGCGTCGTGCAGCCCAAGACATCCGAGCGGCGATGCTGATTTCCGTGACGTCCATCTCCATCCGAAGCACCGCCTGTGGAATGCCGGTGGCCGCCTCGAGGGACTTGGCGAGCTCGAACTTGGTTCCCAGCGGGGTCCAGTCGACAGCGAAGAAGAGGACGGTCTTCGGCGCGATGAGCTCTTGAAGTGTCCACCCGCGACCGTGCCACTTGCTTGTCTCGAAGAACGTCGCAATAGTCGTCAGCGACATCACGCTGTCGGTGTCGGAGTGGACGTCGATGGAAGTGTCGGCGATCGGAGACTCCCAATTCTCGGCGGTAACATCGCTGAGATACGCGTAGCAGACATCCGCGAGGGCGTAGTAGCGGAACATGGAGTTGATCGCCTCGGTCAGCTGGGCGCTGGATTCCTTATCGATGCAACACGTGTCGGCCCAGGCCCATGAGTACCCGTCCTTCTCGGCAAAGGTGAGGAACTGGCGAATCTTGGGCGACACGAGGTCGCGAGGAGACTCAGCTCTGACCGAAGGAGAGGGAGGCGCTGACTCGATGGCGAGAGGTAGTGATGACAGGTTGGGGACCATTGTGAAGGTAGAAGTCGACGTGCCTACAGGACTCTCTTGATCCCTCTTTGAAGAGCGGAAGGTCGAGAAAATGCGAGAGCCCCTGTCTTTCGTTGTCGGCGACAAGGAGGAGGACCGCCTTGAGCGTCCGCCGAAATCGAACTGCTTCTCGAGGTCAAGAATGCGCTGGAATGTGTCTTCCTTTCCGGGCGGTTCCCAAACATGAGAGAGGATAGCGTATCCTCCGGGAACATCTTCAGGGCGAGCGAAGGACTTGAGTTCTGCCGTTCTTGTGCAAAGGAGCCACATACTAATGCGCTAAGAATGAGTGTTGGGTAAAAAAAAGCGAAAACACTAACCTCTGGTGAATCTTATCGGACGACGAGTCGCCGCTACGCAAATGAGGATGGCTGCCTTGTATGAGCTGGCAGTCTGTCTTTATATGCTGACCGTGGGACGGGATAGGAGTCATCTGCCACACTGTGCTTCTTCAGCGTCAGACGGTGCGGGATGCTATGTGGCGAAGTGATGGGTATGGCCAATATGATCTTCAAGGTCGAACTGAGGAATGGAAAAAAGCCACTTGAATTCGCCGTTGTACCCGTCATTGAGGAACCTACTGCTTTACAGCAGCCAAGTTATCCGACCATGACGCGTAGCTTTCCACCTCCTCCTTCAAGTCTGCAATGTAGCCCCGCAAGAAGTTTACCGCGTCCAGCCCCAGCGGCAGGTGCAACGGCGGCTTCTCCAGCATGCTCAGCTCGTACGCCTTCTCCATCCATTTAACCGGATCGCTCCCTCCATCAAATGCTCCTTTGGCAAACGACCGACGAACAGCGGAGGTTGTCGTCGTCGGGTTACTATCTGCCACGTGCTGGTAAGTAATTTGGATGGCGCCGACGATGTCGGTCATGAACGCGCAAGGCTCGATGCACGTCACCTAACCAAGCAAGGGAATGAGCGATCCGCGCTGACGAGCCATTCCAAGCCTATGCACTCATCCTGATGTTCCACTCCGGAAGGACCTCCTTCCTCAACGTCTCTGACCACCCTTCCAGCGCTGGAAGACGCTCCTCTCAAACCCCAAACATCGCAATGAAACGACCAATGAAGACTCACCGTGCTTCGCGGCAGAATAGAACGACAACGTGGGGACCCCGATGAGGCCCGCGGCTGCACTGTTCTGAATCAAGTGCCCGCCGCGCGGCTCGTTGACGTCCCGGAACACTCGAACCGCCTCCTGCGATACCTGCACCGCGCCCCAAAAGTCGACTTCGAACACTGCGCGGGCGTCGGCGTCGGGGGTGGCCTCCGCCTCGCCCGCGACGACATATCCAGCGTTGTTGAAGACGACATCTATCCGGCCGAAGGTCTCGAGCGCGAGCGCGAAGGCCGCTCTGAACTCCTCGAGCTTGGTGACGTCGACGCGGGTAATGAGGAGCTGGGAGGTGGGGTGCTCGGCGGCGAGGGTGTCGAGGACTGAGGGCTTGCGGAGGGTGGCGACCACGCGGTCGCCGTGGGCGAGAGCGCAGCGAACCATGGCGAAGCCAAAGCCAGTGGATGCGCCCGTTACTGCCAGTAGATGCGTGAGCTCCAGGTGCACTCGACGACGGCATTCGTTGACTCACTGAACCACACTCGTGAGGTCATGATAGTGAAGGTGGTAGGAAGGGCTCGGAGTGGGAGCAACAAGTGATAGGTGGAGTTTATGGGTGTGGGTGTGGGGGTGGGTGGTGCATTCTCAGGGCCAGAGTCCGCCTTTCTATAGATTGGCGGGTTCTGCTGCGCATATATTGAGCCATGTACCGATCGGCGCGAGGAGAAGGAGTACGTAGACGCCATGATGGCTCATCTCTGGTCGGATACATTGTAGCGCCCAATGACTTGCGTGTGTTGAATCGTAAACGACGTCCTACAGACGTTCTGTCGTGAACAACAAGCGAAGCTACAGCAGAGACAACAGAGGAAGAATGTATTGAAAACTTGTGTACTTAGCCCGCTGCTTGATGGACCAAAGTTCGGTTCGAGGTGCGGGCACCGTGGGCACTGAGGCAGCTTCCCAAGCAAAATTGGCATATGCGCGATGATCCATCGGTATAGCATTCATACAGATAGTGGGATGTTGTCGTGGACAGGAGTACGTAGGTGAACGGACGTGGCAGCGTAACGATACGTGGCAGCATAATATGCAAAAGCGCGCAGAGTCCAGTGACCGACGGCGCAGAGGGAACGGGGACGGCGACAGAAAGAAAGGACGCAACCGAAAAAAAAACACGGGCTAATCTACCTGGCTGGACTGGACCGGCATGTAGGAGGACAGCACAAGGGGGGCGCGACACGATCACATCGAGCACAGCTGCGAGAGGGGAGGGAGGTCGAGAAAGACGCGAACGGCGCAGCGGAACGCGGGCAGTAGTGAGAAGGCAAAGGACAGGGAGAAAGCGGAGGGCACGGGCGTTGATATGTATTGCGATGTGATTAGTCGAGGGGAGGGCAAAAGGGAGGCCGGGGCCGATAACAAACAACATAGGAGGAGCAAGAGCATTGTCCCTGGGAGATGAAGCCACTGTCATAGCTTCAACTCAGTCAGGACCCGCCGTGCCAGCATGTGGTACTGCCAGCCGTCGCCTCCAGAGCGCCGGAACTGGATGCCATGGAGTGGCAACCAGGGAACCTGTCAAAAACACGAGTCAGAATCGCGTCATGCTCTCACACGGAATGGGAATCCATACCTTCACGACGTTGATCTCGAAGCGCACGGCAAGCGCACTCGCGCCAATCGTCTCAAAGACCTCTGCATCGACCTGGCCGGTGGGCATTGGTGATGCTGCCCTGTTCGGACTCGCAGGAACCAGATCCTTGGGTATAGGCGGAAGAATCTTGCTCTTAGCCGGCGAAGGCGACCGGGGCTGCTCCTCTGTAGCCGTGACAGCCAGGTTCTCGAGTGTGCCAGAACGCGCGACGTCACCGGTTGCGGTGTGGGTATTCGACGAGATATGGAAGAACGAAGACGATGCGCTGCTGGCGGTAGTGGACAGCGTGGTCGCGCCAGACGGCCGGCTTGGGAGCTCCTTGTCCTTGTCCTTGGACTGCTCGCGTTCGCGCTCCTTGCCCCGCATGCCGAAGGACCGCTTGGACGCCTTCTTGGTAATCGTCCGATTCCTGTCCTCGTGTGAGCTCGAGGATGGACGCTTGTAATGAGCGGCTGGCGGCTGAATGGAAGACACGTCGATGGACGGCATGTGGATACACTCGAAGCCAGTCTTCGTCTCCCGATATTGCACCTGCATGCGGTCGAGGACACGCTTGATGTCCGTCTTAATCATCTGTGGCGGTTTTGTTGACGTCGTCGCAACGCTAGAGACAAGGAGATCAGTTTGGGCTGGATCGACGAGGGAGAGTCCGGTATTACGCACCTAAAGAGGCCTTTGAGATACACCGGCTTGAAGTCTCTGTCCTCGCCCGGAGCATCGTCCTCCCCGCGGTCCCCCGCGTCCGCTCCGTTCTGACCATTCTGGACCAGAGTTTCGTCTGCCTCCCGCACAGCCTGCTCTTCCTCCTCCTCCGTCCGTCCGAACAGCCGCTCACCAAGAGGCTTGGGGGTGTACGAGTGGCCTGTCGACGGTCTCCGATGCCGCCCGATAGTGCCGCCGACGGTTGACATAAGCGCGGCCCCGGTGCTGCTGCGCCGCTCATGACGGAGCGATCGGCCTTGTGGGTCGAGGATAGTTGCGGCGCGTCGGTGGGCGGAGACGGCAGGGTGGCTCTGGCTCTCCGAGATGGTGCCCGCCTCGTCCTTCTTCTCCTCCGTGGCGACGGCACCGTTCTTCTGACCGTCGCCATTCTCCTTCGGCACCTCCTCCTTCTCTTCCTTCTCCTTCTCGCGCGACTCCTCCCCGGACGCCCGTGGCGAGAAGCCCGGGAGGATGCTCCCGCGCTTCTGCGGGGTGTTGAGACGCCGCGAGTCGTCACCGCGCCCGACCAGGATGCTTCCGAACCTGCGCACGAGCGTCGCGCCCGCGGAAAGGACGATCGGCGTCCGCGGCTCCTCATCGTCCTCGTGGCGCATGCTCTCATCCACCTCTTTCGGCGCCTCCATCTTCTCGGCGAAGGTGGTCAGTTCAGGTCCGGCCGTGCGTGGTGGCTCCTCCTTGCGTGGCCCCATTGTCCCGTGCTCCGTCACCTCCTCTGTTGCACCGAGGCCGAACATCCCATGCCAGCCACGGACGCTCGGGCGTTGGCTGAGGCTGTGGCTCCGACGGTGGGCGGTGTTCGCAGGCTCGCGCGGCATGGACATTGACATTGACAACCGGGCCGGAGTCGGAGCGATCGACTTCGGCAGTGTAGGCGAAGCGGGTCCCTTAGCGGCGGGAGGTGGCGCCAACGCTGCATCGCGTGCACGAGGCTGGGGGAATGCCGAGGCTGTAGGCGAAGGAGTCGCGGGGGTGACGTCATACGACATGCCAGAGTAGTGGGAGGTCTCGGGAGCGGGAAGACGGGGAAGAGGCATGCTGTAGTCGGGCTTGCCAGAGGCGGGTGCGTCGCGCTTGCGTACTGTCGGCTGCGAGAGCTGTTTGGCAGATGTGGTTGGTGGCACGGAAGCGTCAGCCGACGCGTCTGGACGTGCGCTGGTCTCGAGCGACAGCTGCGAGCTCGCAAAGTGGCCAGGGCCGTAGACCTTCTCGCGCTCCATCTTCTCGCGGACCAAGAAGTAGATGGAGATGAGGGGGTGAAACGCATATGTTGGGTCCGGAGGTTCTCGCTGTGACTCGAGCAGGGAAGAGTTGGAGAGATGAGACTGGGATCCGGGTGGCGATTGCGCGAGAGGGGTGCCGGGAGGAGAGGAAGAAGGCGAGAAAAGCTTGCGGCGGTAAAAGTCGAAACCTGAGAACCGCTTTGACTTCTTCGAGGGGGACTGATCCACCTTTGTGGCCGTTGTGGAAAAGCTTCCATCGTGGGAGATCGCGAGCGAGGAGTTAGAGAACGACTCTCCCCAGCGTCCGTGGCCGTTTCGCCCGTTGCCCATCCGTTTCCGTTCCCACTGTTGCACCGCGCGGTAGTACCCGTCGGACTCCAGGACTTCGATGAGCCTCTGCTCGATTTCTTCCTCAGTTCCGAATTCGAAGCCCTTCATTCCCTTGATCACGTTGCGGTCGAGCTCGTCCGCCCGAAGGGGCTCACGGTGCACCAAATGAGAGTCGGGGGCCCCACGGTACCCCCGCGTCATCCAAGGATGATTCATCACCTCCGACAGCGGTGCGCGCACAGCTGGATTTGTGACGAGCATGCGCGTGAGTAGGTGCTTACACTCTGCACGGAAAGCTCAGCAAAGGCCCTAGCATATACGGAGCGTGTCACGCACCTGCGCTCAACCACACCGGATACTCCGCCAATCCCCGCTTGATCTTCGCATGCAGCGCAGGCATACTTTGATCGTCAAAAGGCACCTTCCCGCAGACAAGAACGTACAAGACGACGCCGAAACTCCAGACGTCGACCTCTGGACCGGTGTAGACTTTGGCGTTCAGGAGTTCGGGGGCAGCGAAATACAATGAGCCACAGAAAGTGGAGAGGTGGTCGATGGGGTTGAAGAGGTTGGACAAGCCAAAGTCGATGATCTTGATGTTGCCCGAGTGCGAGATAAGAATGTTCTCGATCTTGAGGTCTACGGAGTGGCGTTATCACCCCTGGCTCTGGTAGTGGAGCCCCCGGACGACCCTTGGGATCAAAGTACTCACCACGGTGGACGATGCTATTCTTGTGGCAGTAATCGAGCGCACTACCGATTTGCCTTGCAAACTTGCGGGCGACACGCTCGCGCAAACGACCGTGGCTAATGATGTAGTCGAGCATCTGGCCGCCGCTGACATACTCGAAGACCATGTAATAGTGATGTTGGTGGACGATCATCTCTCGCATGCCGCAGATGTAGGGGTGGTGGAGGAGCATCGACAACGCGGCTTCGCGGATGGTCCGAATCTCCTTGGAGGCGTCCTTAGAGGCCTGTTTCGCGGCTGCGTCGGAGGTCGGGGGCGCGGCTGAAGAGCCCGGCAATACGCGAGGAAGTATCTTGACGGCTAGCTAAACACCCAAATGTATGGTCACGACACCGCATATATGAGGCGAACGAGGGGGAGGCGAGAAATGGTGGGGCCATAAAGGCATGAGGGGGCCAACGCACCTTTTCGCCCGACACATTGTGGTGTGCGAGCTTGACCTTGCCCATACTGCCCGCGCCGAGGGTCTTGCTGAGCGTGTAGTCACCAAGAATGCGAGTCCCGCTGCGCGACTTCCCTGTCGAGGTGCCCTCGCGGCCATGGCGGCCATCCTCACGCTGATCGCGCTCGCCGTTCGCAGGAGGGGCATACGCTTGAGGTGGCATCGAGACCGGTCTTGGGCGTTGGGTGGATGACGTGCTTCGGGGTTGGGCGTACCGTTCCGTACGCTCAGTGCGGTCCATTGGGCGGACGTCCGGCTGAGTGGAAGGTGGAGGAGAGGGAGAAGTTGCGGTAGGTGTCTGCTTGCGCGTTATGGGGATGTCGTATTCGGGGCCAGCGACCATGCCTCCGTGGGTGGGAGTAGAGGCGCCGTCTTGAGGAGTAACACCGCTGAGCAAATCGTCCATAGACCCGCGCAGACGGCGGTGGAGGATAGAAGGGACGAGGAGGCGGACGACGTTGGCGTTGGTGGGGGTTGATGGCAGAGTTAACTTCGGGCGTCTACAGCCACGCTAACGCCTAACCCGACAATGTTTCGTCATCACTCCCTTGTCCTGTGTTTACTCTCGGATAGCTCGCTCGAAGGCGAACAAATGTATGCCACAATAAACAATCCAGACTAGTGATAACATGCTACATAACACAAAAACCGCCGACGCCGGAGTCCCCTGCGTACAAGCATCACGGACGAGGCTGTGAAAAGTCCGCATCCAATCATCAACAAGTTGGCGAGATGTTGGCAATGTGTATCAGGGTCGCGGGACCACCCGCAGACACCGTTCGTGATGAAGGTGCATGACTGGCTGCAGCCACAAGAGCTGCGCATCCCAGAAGGAGTACACGTTGAGGGTCGAAGAAAGTAAAGCGATGCTCATTGGTATGCGCCAAGAAGAGAGGTTTAGGATGCGTACCCACGTCAATCAACAGCACCTGTATCCATCATGAAGAGTGTATTTATGAACTTTTCTCCTTCGATGGCAGCCATTTCACAGGGTGTTGTCTGTACATGGACCATGGCGGGATTACAGCCTGTGAGGAAAGAACTAATAAGTGACACGCTCCCAGTGGAGGCGACCCGTAGGAGGGCGGGGCACAAGTCCATGCAGCATTTCAGATGGACACCGGGCTCCGCAGACGCTTGAGATATGGTGTGCCCATTTTCTATCTAGCGTCTTCGCTGCCCCACGTACACCACCAGAAAGTAATGTAGGTGGTTACTCACCAAGGACAGAAGTAAAACGAACAGTGAGAATGTTCCAAACAGCACTAGGAGAGACTGCAGCGCGAAGCCCGCAATGAAGGAGATACCCTGAGTAAAGGATCAGTACAGCACGATGATGGTGCTGAAGTACGCACCGTTGCAGCAATGAGCGCATTTCTTGAGACTTGCTCAACTACTTTCTGGCCCTCAAAATCCTTACTCGCAAGTGAGTCTCATCGAAGAACGTAAGGAGAACATGGTCGAACGCACGATCTTCCCCTCAAAATACTTCTGCAGAATATCACTCATCTTGAGTATGGGAAGTCGTGGTTCGTCCAAGTGTCAACCAGAGTGCAGGTGGGATGAGAAGCAGGCAAAGGAAAGGAGTGGGACCTGGTCTCCAGAGTCCAGAACGCGCCGGTGCCAGCTGCTGGCCGACAGTGACGGTGACGGCCAAGTGACGGCCAACGGCCCGGGGTCGCTGCGGCCCTTTGCGTTATGTAAGCAAAGGGTTCCAGCTGCCACATCCAGCATCATTGCTCTCTCCGTCTTTCACTCCAAGTGGAAGTCGTACAGTACCAAGGCATTCTTACCATGGATCGCATGTCCACCTCGCTTTCAACCAGTTACATATCGATTGGCACAACGTAGGTCATAAAAGCTCACACGCGACTTGCTCGTCGTTGACTGTTGCCACAGGCTAACGGCGATAAGTTGTATGTGCCCGTGCCAATACCACTGAGATGAATGTAGTATGCAGCCGAATAAGTACACATGCGCGAGTTAAAGCTCATCTTCCATTTGCTTTAGCTTCCCGCCGTGCGCGTAATGGTCGACATCTCCAGCTACTAATCCAGCCCGGAACTGCAAGATCGCCGGAACCCCACCTGCCCAAACGAACTCTGAATGCACCCACGCACCTCGCACATCTCATCAACGTCTCGGGGTTCGCCACGTAGTAGGCGGGTGTAAGCCGCTCGTGGTCATCATCGTTGCTTCCCTGGTCCTGTCGGCACGATCCGTCAGGTGTATCGTTCTGCATGCCCTCTCTAGTCCCACCCGCTTTCGCAGCATGACCCGGAAGTATCCTTCTCTGACCGACTTGTGGCTGACATAACTCATCACGATGTTACCATGTTGGACGGACCTTCAGAGGACCGCTCGCGATGAACGGCGGGATCCGTGCGACGCGGTAACCTCAAGTCCATTGTCCCGCATGCTTCTATATATATGCGCGTGCTGACTTCACATTATCCGAGCGATCTGCATACACAACGCAAGCACACCGCTTTTTCCGAGAGTCGGGATCATGTAGGCTGACCTCTGACCTCGGCACCAGGTAGGCTGACACTCAATCGGTGGGTCTGATGCATATTTGGTGGGCGCGAGAAACAGTCACGTCTGTGATCGCCGGAGCGACTCGTGTTCCGTGATGGCGCAGACCATTTGCGTCGCGTACAGACTTGCAGGAGACCAAACGGCATACTCCCGAGCATACCAAGGCCTTATTTGTTTTGTAGACAGCACGTCTCCCCAGATGGCTCCAAGTACATAAGTAATAGACATCCATGGAGAGTTCCCGATGTGGCGTGCAGCGGGCCCATCAAGCGAATATTCGACTGTGGCGGGCGCGATCGAGGCTGACGATCTCAAGAGGATTTTCAGCGTTGTGAAGCGCGGCGGTCTGCTACTACCTCTTGCTTCCTCCCACATCCTACCTCCACCTTGCCCGCCGGCCGTCGCACTCTTCGCCATCGTCGTCGTCCTCCTCAGGTGGCGCAGCGCTATCTCCCTAGCACAAGCGCGCAGAACGTAAGCACCGGAAGAAGCAAGTATATAGGCGCATATAGACACTCACGTCCACGATATCACCCGCCCGGACATACCGTCCAGAACGACGACCCACACCCTACCTCCCTTTCCCCCCGCTTCCAGGCACTGTTGTTGGGAGCTGTGCTTGCACCGCACGCTCCGCGAGCTAACAACTTCCACGGAGGCTTCGACTTGTGCATCGAGGACACCTTCCCGCACAGCCGGGCCCCGACGTCCACTGCCACACGACCGACCGCATCTGTCCTGCGGTTTTTAATCTGCGTTCGGACAGCGTGATCCCCATGTCCAGCTCCCAACGGGCCAGCATCTCTCCGGGCAGAACTACGGCCGCGCAGAGGGACACCGGCAGTAAGAACTCCTTTTGGTTCAAGCGCTAGACTCCTCTTCTGATCTATCACTGTCCTGTCCAAGCTCAAATCCCGCCATTCCAGCCAGACCTCACCTCCCTCCCTCCCTCTGGTGCGCATCCTCTCCCGCCGCCGCTCTTGCGCCCTACCTCATTCCCCCCAGTTCCCCGCTCGCAGCAGCCCTCCATGATCGGGCCCCCTCCGTCCTTTTACGACCCAAACCAAGCTATCGTCCCGGAGGGAACCGACTACAGGCAGTGGGTCATGGAGAACTATGGCACCGGTGGCCAGCAGCAAGGCCAACAGCCACAGCAACAGTTCTATGGGCACACGGGCATGGCTGGTAACGTCCCCTTCCAGTCCCAACTACCCCATGCCTCCCCCACGAACAATCAGTACACCTTTGTTACGCCCGACTTCCCCTCCGAACCCTTCGAACCGCACCACCGTCCCCAACGCGGCCTTCCTCGCGGCCGCCAGAGTGGCGAAGGGGTGTACTCCCATGGACATATCCCCAATAACGGCGCCGGCCCCTTCTCCCATCCGCAGCCGTCCCCGTCAGGCCAGTATCCGCTTCCTTCCCCCAGCTCCAGCGAGTACTACCTGGACAACCCAACACGACCAGGCCACGAACAGCAGTACAACTTCGTCCCTGGCTTCAATTCGACCGACCAATTCCCTCCAGGATCACAGTTCACCCCCAATTCCGACCTGACGCCACTCTCCTCTGTCTCAACCCCATCGGTGGGTGGTACCGACGACAGTCCCGCTCGCGCTTATCCCATGGCGTCTCAGCACTCCGTACCTGTTCAGCAACGGCCTCCCCCTTCAGGCTCTCGTCGTGCCCCCGCGGCAGGAGCACGGAAGAACACAGGTCGCTCGAAACGCCCTCGACGTCAACAGGAGGTCTCGCAGGATGAGGACAGCGATACGCAGAGCGACGACGACCTCGGGTACACTACCGTGAATGTGCCACCATCGCAAGGGCAGAGCTCACTTCCCGCCCGGCTGTAAGTCTTCCCCGGTCGTGTTTGCGCGCTGCAACCGGGAGCTAATTGTCTCTTCAACTTCCCACCCCCCGCGTCCGCTATGGCCCGCGCGCGTTCGTCGACCGCGTGCCCCTTCCATTCTTCTCGTCCGTTCACGCACGGTATCCCGGCGTTGGACTGCTCCGTGACATCCGCCAAACGCGGCCCTATCATACGTTTGACGCCTGTCCGGCCCACGCTCCCGTCCACGGGGTGGTGCTATCGCAGTCCTGGTGCATGCAAGCATTGCAAGAAGCTTAAGGTACGTGGTTTGTTCGGTACGCGGCCTCGGTTGGGCGTCATTGACGATGCGCGTCACCGATTGTGGCAATATTCCGAGCGAATGTCGTTCGGAGGCTGACTTTTGGTGTATGGCGATGCAGATGAGGTGCGAATTCCCAACCGACGAGAACACGTGCAAGCGCTGTAGGGCCGGTGGACATCAATGCATCGTCGAAGGCAGAAAGCCCCGGAATGCGCCCAAGTGAGTGACCGATTCTCCCCCTTAAGAGTTCCGAGCATACATGTCGGGACTCTTTCTCTTGCCCCCCAAATCCTGCGCCCCGCTATGTCTTCCCCATCACCCTCGTCCTCCTCGTCTGAAGACCTTTACGAGGATGTGTGTGCTGACTGGACGATCGTACTTCCTCGCCACAGCAAACGCGAGTACCTGCTCGCACAGATCCGCCAGAAGAACGCTATCATCGAGTCGCTCCTCAAGCAGGTCAGCCTTGTCGCCGTCTCCGATCGCACCGGACATTGCTAACGGGATCGCATCGCAGATCCACAACCCTTACCTCGCGACTCCGATGTCCATCGCGTCCTATCGCATGGCAACGTCGCCTACGGATCAGAACAACCAGAACATCCTCGCCTGGCTGGATCGGCTTCAGGCGAGCGTGCAGGCTGCGGGCACCGTCGCGCCAGGTGCGTTCAAAATGGACACCCGCGCGGATCACACGGACGAGTCCTCCGACGACGCCCCGGAGGGTGGCGCTGGAGAGGCGACGGAGCGTGGCAGCGTCGGACACCCAGAGGACGATGAGCCGCTCAAGGATGCGGATGACCGGCCCACGGCGCTCCCGAACGAGGCGGTGCCCATCGGTATGCTCGCGAACCTCGCGCTTGATAACAAGCCAAAGCGGCGGAGGAAGGCGCCGGCAAAGCCCAAGGAAGGCGAGTCAAGTGACGACGACGTGGGCGTCGCCTGCGAGTCGTTCTTCGACCCTGGGCCTGCGTTCAACCTGGGGATGCGCGCGACGATGATCGAGAGCGTCAGCCCACCCGAGATCCTGGTGCACGGCCTCGTCACGCCGGACGACGTCGAGAAGCTCTTTAAGATCTACTTTGAGCGCGTCAACGTGCACTGCGACGTTCTCGACCCGGTCCTCCACACGCCTGCGTCTACCTTCGCACGCTGTCCCTTCCTCTTCACCGTCGGTGAGCTCTCCACGTTCTATTTCTGTCCCTGCAACGTCTGACCCGGCGTCATCCTGTGATGCAGTGTGCGCCATCTCGTCTCGGTACTACCCGGAGAAGGCAGAGATTTATCCTATCGCCATGCACTTTGCCAAGCACGCGGCCGCCTCTGCGCTCCTCAACGGATGGAAGTCGGTCGAGCTCTCCCAAGCATACATCCTCATGTCCTTGTACGGAGTGCCGGCCCGTCGCTGGGAGGAGGACCGCAGTTGGTTGTACACCGGTCTCGCCATCCGCATCGCCACCGATCTCAACCTGCACGTCGTGTCCAACGTCAAGCCGCGCACGGAGAAGCAGGAGCGCGAGATGGTCAACCAGGCTCGGGTGTGGATGCTGTGCTTCAACCTCGACCGCTCGACGTCGGCGCAGTTCGGAAAACCATCGACCATCCACGAAGACTAGTGCGCTTTCTTCCCTCGTCTGCGTTCTCCCCATGGGTTTGACTGATACATCTGCGACAGCCTCATTCGCCATTCTGCCGATTGGTACAAGTCGTCGCGCATGAACTCACCTCTCAACATTGGGACGTCCGCGTATGCCGCCATGCTCCGTATCGTCTCTCGGTTCCATACGGAGATCTACAGCGATCTGGATTCTCCTACCGGTCTCAATCAAACTGCGGACTTCCGATCCATCATCTTGCAATATGACCAGGAACTCAGCGCTTACTACGAGGAGTGGATGACACGCTTCCGGAGCGATTCGGACCCATCGGGTATGTCATTGGTCCGATACCTACTTTCGTCACTCACAGACAATCGTTCTTAGACCCTATTCTCAAGTTCCGTGCGGACTTGCTGCCCTTGTCAGTGTCACTTTGAACACGCCCAGTCTATTCTTCTGATGTATATCTGCGATCTAGCCTCACTGGTTACTCCCGTCTGGTGATGTACTCGTTCGGGTTCCAACAAGCCTGGAAGCGGGGATTGCAGCCTGAAGACCGGTTGCTGCTGGAAAAGGTGAAGTTGTCGTCATCATGGGTCGGTTTGGGTGCTGACCCTCCTTCAGTGCTACGACTCCGCAACTCAGGTCATCGTGACGTTCGTGGACTCCTTAATCCCGTCTGGTTATATGCGCACGTCGCCCGACGGTCACTTCGTCTTCGCCTCCTTCGCTTCGGCGTTCCTTCTCAAGGTACATTTCCCCTCACAAGTCCCGAGTCTTACTGACGATTGGCTTCACATCAGCTTTTGCGTCCCGAATTCTCGAATTTCGTGCCCCGAGAGCGCCAACAGGACATCTTCGACCTCATCACCCGTCTGATCGACAAGCTGGGCTCCCAAGAGGTCGCTATCGATGAGCGTCACACTCCCGCGTTGCACTCCCGCTTCCTCCACTCGCTCCTCCGGAAGCACCGCCGCGAGCTGGCGGTGAGTGCACGTCTCCCGGATCAGCAGCAGCCTCCTTCACAGCCCCACTCCCAGGCTGATTCCCGCAACGCGCCGGGCGGCGGCGGTGCCTTCCAGTCCCATCCCTCCCAGGCTGGCGGCGGCGCTTCGACGCAGTACTCCTCCCTCGGGGGCGCCAATGGGAGCGCGGGTGCCCAGTACGACGCTGTCTACGAGAGCAGCAGCCCTGCGTCCTCGTACGGCATGGCGACGTCTCCGGTGTTCGAGAATGAGCCGGCGTACACTGCGACGGTCAACGGTCATGGTCCTGGCGCCGGCCAGAACGGCGGCAACATGTTCCAGTTCGGTCAACAGCAGGACGAGCACTGGGGCGCGTTGATGGCGTTGCAAAACCCGAACTACTGGAAGGACATGATGATGCCTGGGTGCGTATGAGTGCTGTTGCGTATACCTCGCTGTCTCGCTCACCTCTCCCGATTCCAGCTTCTCATGGCCGGAGACGCCTCCCTCGATGCAAGACGTCAACGGCTTCATCAACACAAACACGTACATGGCCGCACCCATCAGCGGCTGAGAAGAAATTCCCTCGAGCCCTCCGACTGTTATGGTCTGGCGCCCGCCCCCGAGGAACGTTATCTATATTTTTAATGCGTCCCTTGAAGGATTGGTTTGTAGATGCATTCGCCTGCAGTATCGTCTTGGAACCCCCTCCCGCTCCTCGTCTACTCGACTATATCCCTCCCACTTATCCCCCTCTCGACCGTGTCAATGGCCTCAATCTCGCCTCGTCATCTGTCCGCACACTCGTCCCTGTCACACCTTCCCCCATGCTGTTCACCGTTCACGACCGCAACGCCCCCTTCTCGTGGTCCATCCGCGCGCCCAGTACTGTAGCTTACACACCGTCTCCCCACTCTACTAGTTTGTGTCTGGATCCCGGCTTGGTCTCGCCCGCACCCCGTACCCCCCAGCCCCGTACCGTCGTTGTCGCCCCGTTATGCACGCAGCCCACGGTGTACTCTTGTGTACGATACGATAATGTTTGAATGTGGAAAATGAAAGCAGGAGAATCAAAAAGTGAGCAGGACCCCGGTCTCGGCGTGCTCTGCGCGGTTTGTGCATGGTGCGCTCACTTGCGATCGTCACCGTCGGTACGTCCGCGTTCGCGCTCTACCGCGAAGCTGTGTCTGGCATATTCGGACGATGTCCGCACATATGTGTCTTCAAGCCCTAGGTCACTGTCGTAGATCAGGGCGGAATCTGTGCCCTCATTCAATGTTCACCGTCTATCGCCCGGCGAGCGAGGATGTATTTGCGCGCGTTTATGTGAGGTTGACGCCGGTACCAGGTACTTCGCGATTAATTGTCCTCCCAGATCCGCATCCACATGCACTCCGCTGCCGAGCGACCGCGCCGTGCACCAGAACAAGCAACGTCGTCCCTCGCAGCGATTGCGGACCACCTCGCGAGCTCGCTATCGTCTTCCGGTGCACCTCGCCGCCAGTGCGCGCTTGCGCGCTGCGCGGTGACACGGGATCATGTTGGAAGCGCGAGTTCAGCGCAGGCCAGCGTATGGGTAGGACGTTCTTGGATAATTTGGAGTACTTGCATGGCGGACTGGAAGTTTTGTCATGGCAGCACATCTTCTGCAAAGTCATACATACAGTATGGTTGGGCGGCGGGCCGGAAGCATCCGGGCGCTCCACACACTCCCAAATGCGGCAAATCCAACCGTGGTCATCTAGACGCGCACGGCGCACCTTGTCCTTGTACCGCAACCTCTCCGCCACGCGCTGCAAAAAGTCCCATTGTCCGTCCCATTGTCGTCTAAATCAGGTGCGCCAAAGACTCATTGTGACTCCACATGTGCATAGACCCTAAAGCATGCCACCCAGACCGTCCCTCGTGACTTTTACCACAGTGTTCACTTTTGCCAACCACCCTCCGCGCATATAAAACGTCGCGACAGCGCTTCCCCCACCGGTTAGTCCTCTCCATCATGCCTCCGCATACCTACAACGCGCTAACGCAAAGCTGCTCTCCCTTCCTACTTCGCGTGTCTTCCCATCACCCCACACGCCATGGCGATCTTCCTGCTACTCAGCAGCTTCCAGCCAACGCGCACCGAGACGACCTCGTGCAAGACGGCATGGACACCACCGTCTGCATGCCAACTATCCAGTTCATCAACTCGTATCTCTCTCCCTCCCAAGAGGCTGAGAAGGAGTTCGCCGACGCGTTCAGCGAGCAGGATGTGGCAAACATCCATCAGCGTTTCAATAAACCGTTCTTGAAGTCGAAGGGCAAAGCACCAAAGGAGAAGGAACTCTATGCTGCTTGGGTGAGTACCGCGCCACACACGTATCTTCGTCCTCTCACATGTGGATAAGACCGCGGCCGACTCCAAAGTGAAGCGACTGCTCTCCGGTCATCGGTTCCATCTTTCTCCAAACAAGCCCGATGCTCACGGCAACGACAAGCCCGACGCGAGCTTCATCCCCACTGATGCCATTATCCCCCCCAAGCCGGGTCGCGCCAACTTCCGGGTGCTCAACGTGACCATCGAGTTCAAGCGAGGCGAGAAGGGGTCCGATCCCTTTGACGACAGCGACGACCACGACCACGAGAAGCTCAGCGCCGCACGCCTCGCAGTGCGCGGCCAGCTCATGGCATATGCTGCCGAGGTCTTCAAGTTCCAGTTCCGCGAGGCGCACTTCCAGCTCTTCGTCAACGGTCGCTACTTCCGCTTCCTCCGCTGGGACAAGTCCGGCGTCATCGCCACCGATGTCGAGGACTACGTGACCACTCTGGACGATACCCGAAAGCTCCTCCGGATACTGTTCTACTTCTCTCGTCTCGATCGCAAGGGTCAAGGATACGACACCACCGTTCAACCACTGGCGAAGAACAGCTCCGGATGGAGGCAGCTGGAGCTTGTCAAGAAGCGCCATCCTTTGGACGTCTACGCGTACCCTCACACTCCCGAGCCTGAGGGACCTCTTCCCCCCTGTCTCTCCGTCCCCTGGTCTAAAGTCCAGGAGTCTCCTCACTTCTCCAGCGGATTTCTGAAGGAGGACCCGTCGGAACAGGCTTCCGACAAGGCGTGCAAGACCCTTCAACAGTCGAACACGTGGAAAAGCGGCAGCGCTCGCCCCGATCCTGCCTCGGACTTCTACGACCCGACGTACGAGTACATACGCTCGAAGTTCGCTGAGTCGCTCGACGACGACGCGGTGCGGTATGTCATGTACATCGACGGGCGAGCCTTCCTCGTCGGCGACCCCGTCTTTGTCGCATTCGGGATGGTCGGGCGCGGGACCAAGGGCTTCTTTGCGCTAGACTGGCTCACCCAACGCATCGTCTTCATCAAGGACACCTGGCGGCCGTTCTACGCCGGGCTCGAGAGCGAGGGCGCCGTTCTCGAGCGTCTCAACGAGAAGAATGTGCAGTTCGTTCCAACGCACATCTGCCACGAGGACTATGTCGACCAGGAGACAGAGACGTCGAACTATGGGAGGACGGGAGAGAAGCGCGTGGATCACTCGCTTCGTTTCAAAAACACCTCAACCGGGAAGGCTGCTATGTCTGCTTCTTCGACCAAGAAGACCACTGCGAAGAAGAAGACCACTCCATCGGCTTCGACCAGCGCCATTCCTACCGCCCCTGGACCCTCCGGTACGACTCGTATCACGCGGAGCAGCACCAAGCGGACTTGCGACGACGCGGACACGAACGCGGCCCAGGCGAAGCCCGACCTTCAAGGCGCCAAGTTGCGTCACTTCAGACACCACCGCCTCGCGGTGGTCGACGTCTGTCTTCCTTCCACGGAGTTCAAGGATGGAAAGATGTGGGTGATGATAATTCTGTGCGCGCTCATAGGTGCGATTTATACTTGCTCTGAAACTCATCACTCCAAGTTCTCATTGCGTCTCTTTAATAGCGCATCAGGACGCCGCTGGCGAAAATTGCCAAGTGGTCCATCGCGACGTGAGCGTCGGCAACATTCTCATTGTGCCCCAGGTTCATGGGAATTGTATCGTATGGGAAGGACGGCTGAGCGACTGGGAGCTCTCCAAGACAACGGAGGTCAAGCGCGCTCGCCAACCCATACGCACGGTGAGCAAATGCTGTCTGCACGCTCCAACATCACACTAATCGGAGGATCATAGGGCACGTACCAGTTCCTCCCGATTGTATGCTTGAACGACCCCCTCGCCCCTGTCGGTATAGCGGAGGAGCTAGAGTCGTTCCTCTACGTCTTCCTCTACAACGGCGTGTGCCTTCTCGAGCACAACTTCCCCCACGTGCACGCGTTCATCAGCAAGTTCTTCGATGGTGCAAAACTAGCTGCCGCCGTCGATCAGCCGCAGTACCAGTCACCAGAATCCAAGGAACGAGCAATCGCCGAGGGCGCCATCGTGGAACAGAAGCGGAAGCTGCAATTCACGGCGCCTGGTCTACACACCATGCATCCGATCAACCGCCTCATCGACGAGCTACTGGTCTTGTTCAAGGCTCGCTACGAAGTGGCCAAGTACAATGAGGAGAAGCGGGTCTATGACGCTTACATGGACAACCTCGCCAAGCTTCCATCGTTGCAGGCGTCTCTCGAGGCTGCAGCGAAGGATCGCGATCACGATTCTCGTGGGACGGCCGTCTCTCAAGCTCCGCCACGCGCACAAGACGACCCGCTCGCGGACATGCTTCGGGAACGCCTCGCCGCGAAACGCCTCGCCCCACGAAAGCCCAACACCTCCCTCAATCCCTCCGCCGACCCACCGCCGAAGGAGCCGAAGCGGCCCGAAGACGACGTGTTCGCGCAGGCCGCGTCGCTCGACGACCACCAGGCGATCATCGCGATATTCGGCGACCACCTCTACCAAGATGATTGGGCGACGTGGAGCCGGCTTCCATGGCCCACCAACGACCGGCGCAAGGAGAGCGCGCTCGCGGGCTACGTGCCTCCCCGCTGTGTACCGGCGACGGCGAAGAAGGTCATGTCGGCGCTCATGCCTGCCGACCGTACGTGGCCGAGCCTGGTTTCTGGGGACGCTCCCGGGACCTCAATGGCGGCGGAATCAGCGGGGAGGGCGGCGAAGAGGCCGAGGCTTACAGGTAGTGCTCCAGCCAACAGTTGATAGGCGACTTCTTTGTGATAGATATTGCGATTTGTTTCATTCTCTCTTGGGCCGATATGCTCTTCGCGATGACTTGTATGACCCACTAGTAAGATGCGCCATAACAGCGGCCTCATACGTATCAACTGTGCTGTTCAATCACGATTCACGGCCTGTGGTCAGTGACTCGGAGGTCAGTAGATCTGGAAGACGCCCGGCCCGAACCATCGGGCGCTTCATGTTCCTCCAAATGCGGAAAACCCAACATGCCGGTATAGACGCCCACGCGGCTTTCCAGCGCACCACAACCTGCCTCTCACGCCCATCAAGGATCCCATTGTGATCCTCGCCCTCACACCAAGACAGGGTGTAGACGACTCGGGTATCTGCAACGTGTGCATCTCGCATACCACGCGTGCCTGTTATCAAAATTCATCTCCGCCAACTCTCCGAGTCTGGCCCGGCCATATAAGCCCTCTCGAGCGCGTCTTTGCCTCTCGTTAGTCCTCTCTTCCCTCATTCCACCCCAAATGACGGAGGCTCACACGTATCCTCCTCAGGAGCACCCCACCCCCTACGATCCTGATCGACCTCGCGTGCAGGATCCAGGTCGGCAGCCTGGTGTCGTCATTCAAACCGACGCAAAGACCGGCCGCGCAGACATGATGGAGGACTGCAACGACACCACCATTACGATACCCTCTCTTCAATTCCTCTCCCGTTATCTCAGCCCCGCAGACGCGGACGGTTTCAACGCTGCCTTTCCAAAGGACAAGGTCGCCGAGATCCATGCCACGTTCAAAGCCCTCATGAAGACTCCCAAAGACCCGCTTCCCAAGGAGTCGGAACTCAGCAAAACTTGGGTAAGTGGCTGGTATCTATGTGGCCTAAAGGGGTCACGACTCACCGACACCTCTCCCCAGCGCGACATCGACAAAAATATCGCGCGGTTATGCGACGAGGACCATTTCTTCCACCTCTCTGAGTCGAAGGCAGACCGAGACGACGATGGCAAGAACAAGATCGACGCGAGCTTCCTTCCGAAGAACCTCATGGAGTGGTACGAGAAGGATTCCGCCAACTTCGCCATCCAGACCATGTCGATCGAGTTCAAGCGCGGTGGTTCGAAAAATGATCCCTTCGACGATCGCGAGGACTGTGACAACGAGTCTATCGCGTTGTCGCGCAAGTTGGTCCGAGGTCAGCTCATGGCCTATTCCGCCCGCCTCTTCAATACACAGCATCGCAAGTGGCACTTCCAGCTCCTCGTCAACGGTCGCGAGTTCCGCTTTCTCCGATGGGACCACTCTGGCGTGATCGTCACTGAAGCAGAAGACTACGTTACCACCTTGGAGGACACCGAGCATCTGCTCAAGATGCTGTACGGGTTCTCGAGGCTCGACCGCAGCGGCAAGGGCTACGACGATACCGTCGAGGAACTGTCCAACACCTCCGTCGGATGGTCGCGCATGGACCAACTATCCGATCCCCACCCCGACGACGTCAAGCCGAACACGCGCGAGGCTAGCACCAAGTATCCGATCGCCGCCGAGTTCCATCCAGACATCGCAAAGGAGCGCGTCGACAAATGGTTGAGAGACAAGGTCTTCCACGCCGACCCCAGGTGCAAAGACCACAGGACGAAGATGCCGCCGGAGACCCACATGCCCGACTTGCGCTACCTCCCCACTTTCGACTACATTCGCAAGAAGTTCAAGAACTCGATCGCGGCTGGCAATCGTCGTTACATCGTCAAGATTGACGGCAGGATATTCCTCATAGGCTCTCCGGTCTTCGTCGCGTTCGGTGTGGTGGGACGTGGCACTCGCGGGTTCATAGCTCTCGAGTGGTTGACGCAGCGCTTCGTCTTCATCAAGGATACCTGGCGCCCCTTCTACGTTGGCCTGCCGAGCGAAGGCGACATGCTCAACAAGCTCAACGAAGGCTCCGTCCGCAACGTCCCCACCCTGGTTTGTTACGAGGACGTCCCCGGCCACGAGACGGAGACGTCGCATTACTCTCCGGTCACTGGCGGCAACCGGCGCACGGTTGACCTCAATATGCGTAGGCCACGCCCGGTGGTCCCCGATGACGCGCAGGCTGCATCCACACAGAAGAAACGCGGCACCGCCCCGCGCGCGGCCCGACCCCTTCCCTCCACCCCTCGCCGCCGACAGCCCGCGTCCGCCGAGACACCTACGGTGGGCCCGCCCGCCCTCCCTCCGCAACCTGCGACGACCGCTCTCTCCAATATCCACCCCGAGATGATCACTGCCGCAATGCAAGACCTCGCGATGGGCACGAAGCGAACGCGGGACGAGCGACTTGCACAGGAGAAGAGCGCGTACGCCGAAAAGCATGCCAAGAAAGCGAAAGAAGTGAAGTCCAAGTTCATCCAGGGCACAAGATTGCGCCATATGGTGCACCATCGCGTGGTCGTCGAGGAGGTCTGCAAGGATTCGATCGCATTCACCTCGGGACATCAGTGGGCGAGGACGATCCTTCAAACCCTCTACGGTAAGCTCTTGTTATGGGTCTGTTCGTACGGCGCGCTCACACGATGGGTTCTGCGCGCAGCTCACAAAGACGCGGTCGAGCATTGCGACATCATGCATCGCGACGTCAGCACCGGCAACATCCTCATCTATCCCGTGATCCTATGGGGACCAGAGAAGAAAGCGCGAGGGGTCAGAATGACGGGTTTGCTCACCGACTGGGAACTCGCCAAGGACACGAAGATCGAGCACGCGCGCCAGCTCGCACGGACGGTGAGTTCGGCACTGTGGGCTTGGCCTGATCTGTTCTCATTCGACGCGACATACAGGGGACCTGGCAATTCATCCCAGTCCGTTGCCTGCTGGACCCGCGGTCCCCGATAAAGGTTGCAGACGAACTCGAATCCTTCTTCCACGTGTTCCTCTACAACTCGGTCCGCCTCGTCCCTAGCAATCTGCTCAATGTTCAGCATTTCGTATGGTCTTACTTCGATGCACGTGACCCGCACCCAACGAAGAAGGACGAAACCAGCGTTTCAGACAAGAAGCACGCTGCCATTGTCGAGGGCAAAATCACTACGAGCGTAGTGGAAGAACTCGCATTCAAGTCTCCCGAACCTGATACTCCCCATCCTTTCAACGCACTCATTGCTGAACTCTTGAAGTACTTCAAATCCCGATATGCCGTTCGCCGTTGGACCGAGCGGGAGGCCCTGAACGTCGCGCTCAAGACTACCGACGCGAAGAAAGCCGCCAAGCCGCCGGCGCTGCCTGCGGTTCGCGTAAACCCCGAGTTTTGGGACATAGACGATGATGAGCCTTCAGCCTCCGGTAGCACCGAGAATGGGGATTCCTCCCAGTCCGGCACCATCACGTTCTCCGACGGCCCAGGCGCTCCGGGAAAGGAAGACCGCGCCCGTTCCGCTGCGCTTGACAAGCACGACACGATCATCGGCATCTTCGAGCGCGTTGTCATGCAGCGCGGGGTGAAGGAGGAGGACAAGGTGATGTGGCCCAGTTTGAACGACCTGATGGAGGAGGACGCGCTTGCGCAGTACGTACCGCCGGCTCGTCCGCGGAGATCGAAGAGGGTTAGGACGGACCTGCTCCCTCCGGTCGCTGCTTGGACGATGTCGACTGAAGACGATGAGGTTGATGACTCGCCGACGACCCGCGGTCGGAGAACCCGTGCTCCGCAGACCATTACGCTGGGGTAGTTGACTCCTGTATATATACCCTGTTTTGTAGAGTTGGATAGCCTTGTGCGCAATCTGCTCAGACGTTCCGGTATAAGACTTCATAGTAATCCGCGATCGTTCAAACGTTCACAACTCAGCTCATCGCATCCCTCCGTGTTTGGTGTTCGGTGTGGGCTTGTGCATACAGCTCTTGCCTCTCGCGGCAACAATCATACCGTCACCACATCTGAGGGAACAGGCACTACAGAGCCAGTCAAGACAAAACCCGTATGCGACACAAGCCACCAGCTCCTACCGTAAATCCTCATCTTTCCGCAGGAATTCTACCTTCCGTTCTGATGACTGTACATGTGATGACGATGACTCGGCCATATACCGCGAAGTTCACACATGTCAACTGTCGGTTCTCCCCTTCGGTCCGCACCTGAATGCACGATCGCCCGGACAAGCTCGCCTCCACTCCCACTACCATCGCTTCCAATTTCACCGTCCGTGCTTTGCATCGGGACGCGAAGCCCGCTTGACCGACTGCTTTGTGAAACGACCTCGACAAGTTCCAGAAGGCGCTGCCACAGCTTACCGAAGACGTCTTGCCTCATCATGCGATCGAAACCGCCATTGCGAAGGTAGGCTCTCATCTTGCGCAGCCACATCCTCCTGACGGCATGCCTTGAGGTGAAAATCGCCACATGAGGGATGTTCTGGGCGGCCTCGATGACGCGTGGCGTATGCAATCAATCGCATATAAGCAGTACTTGACTCAGCTTGGCGAGTGCATGAAATAGCAAGTACATAAGATAAGAAGACGTTACTCACAGAGCTGGCTCGTAGTCCAGCACATCAAAGAGATATTGTGAATTGCCCACATTTCTCTGTTGCGCAATCCATTCAAGTCGACGTTCCTTCCGGGTAGCGTTGTTGCTACCCGTGGATAACGGTTCGAACTCCAGACAGTCGCTTGGGGGAACTGCGATCGGGAGCTGGCGAGTTTGTATGCTCACCAGGGTGCGCGGGTGGCCAGTGCTTGTTGTGAACACAAGCGGTGGTTGACGCGATTTTAGGATAAGGAGCAGTCACTGCTACCGAGTGTGTTTTTGAACGCTGCAGAAAACGCGCTACCGCACTTCCACATTCCTCCCCTTCCAATCCTCCGCGAGCCGGGCCTCCACGATTTTGTCGAGTTCCTTCGCTCGCGCCACGGCGACGTCCATGACGCGCAGCACGTCGTCGGGCGCAAGCGGCGTCCCGCCCGCCTTCTGGACCACGCAGAGCTCCCGCTGCGCGTTGAGAGCGATGGTGAGCAGCCCCTCGCTCAGCGTTTCTTCGAGGTGTGATGGGTCGAGCAGCGGTGGGGTCTCCGGGTCGGGGTAGAACGCGAACGTGAAGGCGAATGGCGTGTGGGGCATAGACAGGGGGACTGGGGCGCGTTCTGATGGGGGGTGCTGGGTGTATGCGCGGCGGGTGTGAGCTTGGGGTGGGTGGCATGGCGAGAAAAGGAAAACGGGGATGGGAGGAGTGGGACGAACTTACCACCGTGACGTCCTCGCCCTCGACTTCGACCTCCGGCCTTCGAAAATGCTTCAGGGCGACGATGCCGGCGAGGCACGCGCAGTCGACCATGTTCCCCGCGTCGGCGAGGACGTGGATCGTGAGCCGGATGTGCCACACCTGCCGCCACACAGGCCACTAGTCTGAGCGAGCGCACGGGAGCACGAGGGGGAGTGGGAGAGACGCACCCGTTGCCCCGCGAGCACACATAGGCTCTCCTTGTCCACCGCGTCGCTCCGCCGGAGGACCTTGTCGAGCATACGCGTGAGGGTCACCTCCTGGTCCGACGGCCTGCACCGCACGTCGTCGCGATTAGATGTGTGCAGGTAGACGCGGCGCGCGCACGTACCTACCGTCCGGGCTCGTACTCGTTTGCTGCCATCGGGGAGAGCTCGGAGTGGATGGTGAGCATGCCTTCGAGAGGCCGTTCGGGTGGGGGGCGGACCATCTTACCATCTACCTGCGCGAGGACACTTTGGACGTGGTCGGCGCGGGTCGGCGCGCAGCGAGAGCTCTTACTTACCGTGTTTTGCCCATCGCGCACTCGACCCAACCGAGTTCTGGGCCGAAGTGGAGGATGGGCGGACGCATCTCCAACATGGCACGCCCATCAAGACGCAGAGACTGCTTGAGCGCGCCGTAGAAGAACTCCTTTTCCGGTATTGAGGGGGACGGTGGACGCGGCATTTTGTGTATGAGAGGGTAGGAGAGAAAGGCTGGTTCAGGAAAAGACGGCGGCCCGTGTGCAGCAGCGGCGGGCGATCAGGGTCTTTTAGCGCTTGGACGCTTATTCCCTCGTCCGCTTACCATCATCTACTGCAATACTTATCACCTCGATGTCTCGCAGGCCGTTCGGGAGCCGTTGGAGCGCATGACGGCCGCATGGGCCGATGACACAAAACCGATTGAGGACACCCGCAATTCTGAATATCTATTCGTGTCTGTCGCGGCAGCGCAGAGTACATGCTACCGCGCACAGCAAACGACATCGTCTGGTACCGGGACAGACGGGAAATGAAGGGGATACGCAGGCGCAGGTCAATGTAATGGAGCGACAGCGGGACGGATGAGCGTAAGGCCCGCCAGATCCGAGAATGCGTACAGGCGCTTCAGAGTATCGCAGGCAGCATTTATAGCGCCCCCTTTCACTTCTTGACCACCCACCACGAGGAACAGCAGACAACATGTGCGTGCCACTGTGTATTCAGTCTATCATATGGCTCTGACATGATACCCATAGCAAATAACTACATTCCACGTGGGAAATCGGCCATTGTCTGCGAAGATCTTGAATCGTGTCGTAACCAACATCATGGATCACGGCATTTCGATACGCATGCACTCGTCACAGTTCATTGCCACGTATCTTAAGAAAGGAAAAGACAGTGTATCTCAGTTTCCCCACTCCGCAGACTCCGTGAATCGGTTGCGCAGTCACTTTCACGGCGTTTTGGATAGTCCAACCACCGAGTCGCACGACTCACATCGTTTGAAGAGTGTTTACAGTGCATGGGTGAGTTAGCCACATGCCAGCTCATTTACTTGCTAATTTATAATTTCTCCTTGCAGAACGAAGCTGCCATCGATACGATGCCACTGTGTCCAGCCCACACTGTCAAGGGTGTAGACACCGATGCGCTGACAGCCATCCGGGCCGGCGTGCTCAACGCAGGCTTCATCCCCGTGGATTCAGAGACCCAGCCAAACACGCTCAATGTGGGATTGATTAATGCTTCCCTCACCTTCTCCCTCTACCTGGACCCCTTCGATACCTCTGATGACAAGCACGATCCAACCGCCGCCTCGCGTCGCCGGAAGCTTCTTGACCTGCTCATGTCCCATTCCCATCTCGTCTTCTCCCTCCAGCACCAAACGGCACTCTTCCAGGTACTCGTTATCGGCCGTTGTTTCCGCTTCCTACGCTGGGATAAGTCCGGGGTCATCTACACCGAAGCCACCGACTACGTTTCCACTCAGAAGGGTACCAAACATCTCCTCCGCATGCTCCATCTGTTCTCTCAGCTGGACCGTTCCTGACAGGGCCACGACACTCGGACGACTGTGCTCCCGTCGACCAGCTGCGGGTGGCGGCGGATGGGGCTCCTAAGGCAGCGCCATCCGCTCGATGTCGCTGCATACCCGCAGTGTGCGGCGCCCAAGACGCCTCTTCCTCCTTACCTCTCCGTCCCCTGGTCCCCGGAACACATATCTCCTCTCTTTGCGGAGGGTGCCTTGCAAGCGGATCCCACTGCCCCTCCGTCACCTACCGCCCCGCCAAGCGATCCTCGTGAGCATGCCAGCCTTTACGACCCAACATTCGAGTACATCCGCACGGGATTCGCTCAGTCGCTCGAGGACTTTCTGCGATACGTGCTCGACATCGACGGGAGGCTGTTCCTCGCGGGCGCCCCTGTTTTTGTCGCCAGCGGCATGATCGGGCGTGGGACCAAATGCTTCTTCGCGCTCGACTGGCTCACACAACGGATCGTCTTCATCAAGGACAGCTGGCGACTGTGTGGCGTTGGACTCGAGAGCGAGGGCGTCGTCCTCGAGCGGCTGAACGCCGCGGGCGTGAAGTTTGTCCCCACACGCATCTGCCACGAGGACTGTCTGGACCAAGAGACGGAGACGTCGAACTACTCTCCCTACACTGGCACGAAGACGGTCGACGGTCACCCGGGTCGCATCACGCGGAGTAGCACGAAGCGTCGGACCTGCGGAGACATGGCCGGGGAGGAGCGGAGCAAGCAAGGCGCAAGGCTCCGTCGTTTCCGCCACCACCGGCTCGCCGTCTTCGAGGTATGTCTGCCATCTCCGGCGTTCAAGGACGGACGGATGTGGACGATGATACTCTACGCTGCGCTTTGTGGTGAGTTCTCGGCCCATACCGTGCTCGACAAACCGTGTCTCACCCGCCGCCGCCGCCTCAGCGCATATGGACGCGTTTAAACTGTGCGGGGTCGTGCATCGCGACGTCAGCGTCGGTAACGTTCTCGTGTTTCCCTGCGTCGCAGGAAACCACCTCGAGTGGCAGGGTCGGCTGAGCGACTAGGAGCTCTGCAAGACGAACGTCCCCAAAACCCCCACTCGCCGGCACTTGCGCACGGTACGCACATATCACCGCCGCTCACATGGATGCACGCTGACAATGGCGTTCTCAGGGCACGCATCAATTCCAGCCAGTGATATACCTCAAGGAGCCCGAGACCGTTGTCGGCGTAGCCGAGGAACTGGAGTCCTTCTTCTACGTCTTCCTTTACAACTCGGTCTGCCTTCTCCGCAACAGCCTCTCTGATGTGCAAGGACAACTGTGGATTCCCCCACTACGCACGACTCACCGTGAACCCTTAAACCTGGAGTCCAACCTGACCCGCAGCTGGAGGGGCTCCGGCGTGTGACTAAAGTACTACGGACAAACACGCTTGCGTGCCACGCGGCTCTGGAAGGAACCTTCCGCGAAAAAAACCTGTGGTGGACGGGGGAAAGCACCGACCACGGATCCTTGATCGTACAACGACTGCGTCTCTACATGTAGCCGTGAGCACAACAGATGTGACACCCATTATACACGGGTCGAAAAAGCACGAAAGCATGAAAAAAACCGCCGCGGCGCCCTCGCGCTCTACCGCGCCTTCTCCCCCTCCGCCTCCTCCTCGAGCCGCGCCGCGTTCGCGGGGTCCATAACGTCGATGCCCATCCCCTCCGCGGCGATCTGCTTCACTGGGCCGGTGAACCACTTGCGCGCGGAGAGCAGCCAGAAGCCGAGGGCGTAGACGAGGATGATCCCGACGGCGACGATCGAGTAGTTGAGCGTCTGGTCCGTGACCGGGTTCGCCTGGGGGAGGATGAAGGCGACGGAGATGAAGAGGATCCAGACGCAGGCGACGATCGCGACCGGGTACGAGAACCGGCCGAGGTGGAAGGGCCCGCGCACGAAGCGGTCCCGGTACACGACGCGGAGCGCGATCGGGATGCCTGTGGGTGGGGGGCGGACGGGTCACGGAGGACGCGGGTGAGCGTGTGGGTGGGGCGGGGAGGGCGCAGGCAGGCCGGTTACGCACCGTACGAGATGTACAGCCCGAGGGTCGCGATGGACGTCGCGGCCGAGAAGGCGACGGTGCTGCCGAGACTGGGCAGGCCGAGGATGAAGCTCAGCGTGCACGCCAGCCAGACTGCGCGCGGTCTGCATCAGCGAGGAGCGGGGTGCGGGGCGCGTGCACGCGCGAGACGCACCGGTCCGGACGGGCGACTTGCGCTTCGTGTCGACCTTGTGGAAGAACTTGGCGCCCGGGATGCCGCCGTCGCGCGCGAAGGCGTACATCATCCGCGAGTTTGAGGTAATCGAGAACGTGCCGCAGAAGAACATCGCGCCGATGACGATCACCTGACCAGGGTCCAACCGTGTCAGCAACGCGCCTTTCGAGACGATCCGTGCGGAAAAGACGAACCATGAGAACAATCGCTCCCTTGCTACCAACGGTGTCAAGGAAGATTTGCGCGACAGGTTGTGTCGTTTCAGAGTTGACGGTGCCGTCGAGGTTCTGGATGGAGAAGAGAAGGCCGAGGATGAGGAACCAGCCGAGCACGGCAGAAACTCCGATGGCCATAACGATCCCAATGGGGCCCATGAGCGCAGCATTATGCGTCTCCTCGGTCATCTGGATACTTGCGAGTTAGCATGCGACTCCCACGCCACCGCGAGTTCTGGCAGTGAAGTGAGATGAAGACGCACATGTGCGCTGGCGTCGAACCCTGCATGTGCTGTGAGTCGCGCGGTGGACGAAGGACAAGGCTGGCAATTGGCTTACCAGTCAAGGTGTACTGAGCCATGAGAACACCAATGACCACAACGTAGGCATGGCTCGCACGGGTCCCCCACCCGTCGCCATCAAGCCCGGTGTTGTCGATAAACTGCGTGAAAACCCACTCCGCACTCTGGTGTTCGGGCGCGGCGGCAAGGCAGGCGATGACGACCGCGGTGGTACCGACGGCATGCCACCAAACCGAGACGTTGTTTATATACTTGAGGAGGTGCACGCCGAAGGTGTTGATGAGACCCTGCGTGACGAGCACGGCGGCATAGATGCCGATCGTCGTGTTCGCGGTGGGGACAAAGCCGGTGTCGAAGGTGGCGAGAGTCGAGATGAAGTTCGCGCAACCAAAACTGCGCGGGGGGATAGGTATCCATACGCAAGAGAGCGAGCAACGAGTGCTCACCTGATGCCGGTCGTGACCGCGACCTGACCGAGCAGGTTGAACCAGCCGGTTACCCAGGACGCAAACGCGGCGTTCTCCGACTTGGAAAGCATGGCGGCCCAGAAATACGGGCCACCGCTGGTGGGATGTGCGGAGCATACTTCTGCCATTGCAAGGCCGACCAGCGTGGTGAAGAAAGCTGGGACGCGCGGCATGCAATTGGGTCAATGCGCCGTCCGCGCCGAAGATCACAGAATGATACTCACCGACCACGATCCATCCCCAGACCATAACCGCCGGGCCTCCAGTGTTCTACACGCGCAAAAGCTGTCTTAGCCACCCCGCGTGCCCCGGACTCGAGGAAGGGCGCACCAGGCCAAAAAGGAATAGGGACGGGATGCCGGTGATGACACTGATGATCGAGAATGAGACACCAAAGTTCTGCGCCACGCCCAATCGAGTTAGCGACGACCAGCAGCGCGAGGTGCGCGGCGCACCTGCATCAACGACAAGTCTCGCCTGGAGGGAGGCCGAGGTCAGCGCGGTTTGCGCCACAGGTGGCGAGAGACGCACTTGAGTTCCTGCTTGTACCCCATGCGCGCGAGCTCCATCTCGTCGTCGGCGGCGGGGCCGGCGGTGGCATGCGCGCCATGCTTCTCTACGGAGGAGGCGTCGGTCATGGCGGGCGCGCGGGGCAGAGAGGAGAGACGGTGGTGGTCGGGCTCCAAGGGCTATCGCGGCGGGCGCGGGCCCATATACGGGCAGCGCGCGCTCTCGCGCGCTGCGCGGACGATAACGTGCGCGCGAACCGGCGGCAGAGCGCTGAAGGCCTGATTGCCGACCCGCGGGACTCGATCCTCCGAGCGGAAGATGGGATTGCCGACCAGTCGCTTCTTATCGCCCCGCCAAGCTCGAAATTGTGAACGTGAGTGAACTGCCACGTTTGCCAGTTTCTCTGAACATCCTGTAGCTCTCGTCAAACATATTGACCGTGGTGGAGAGAGCGTACAAACGATCTGTACCCACTCGGCCCACTACGATAGACCTCTATCTCCTACTCCCAGTCTCGTATCAGCCACAACGCCACAATGTCGTCCCAGGTACAAACATCTGCCCCTCTGATTAGACCGCCACGATTTTATGGGGCGCCTTTTGACTAGGGTGATCTCTTTATGCTGCGGATCAGTCACACTCAGAGGGATACCATACCAGCGGAAACAGCTCACGCGACCATTGAACGGACCCCATAGCATGAGCCTCAATTTAGATCAAACATGCGACCAGTCGTCGGTGCACCTGAACCTGGCGGCGGAGGATTCTGTCGATCCACTGACGGTCAGAAATCGCACGATTCCACGCATAAACGCACCTGGAATTAACAATTGTACTATTCGCTCCCCGTCGAGCATAAACTCCGACTCCGTCGTGAACTGCGCGTACGTGTCCTCCACGGCCAGCACCTCCTCGAATATCTTGTGCTACACCATGTGCTGCAGCAGCGGGTCCGCGTCATGGGTTCGCGCGAGGGAAGCGGCTCGTCGCCGGGTGCGTCTGGGCCGGGACACGCGACGGCGAGGTGGGCCGGGGGCATATTGAAGTCGAGCGACGATTGCGAGTTGCGCATCGCGCGAGGCTGACCGAAAGTGAAGCTGTAGCGCAGAGAGACGGACCGTCAGCGACCGTCAGGGGTACCGAGGATAATGATGTTAGGGCTGATAGCACACCGATTGAGCATGCACTCGTCCCGGGGCTGGCCAGGGGGCGTCCATGGTGGCGTCAAGCGAGGGTCCGAGAAACGAGAAGCGTGCGTTCCGAGTGTGTTGGCGCGAACAACGCCCGTGCGAGCGCCTACGGATTCCTCCTCCTCATCCACGTCCGTCGTACGGTATTTAAGCCCGAAGGAGCTAAAAGTGAGGGCCTGGATACCCTCGGACCTCGGGATGGTGAAGGGTAATAACTTATAAGAACAAACGACGCGTGTCAAGGCACGAGCCTGAAAGGACGTACAATCAAAACAACTCCAGTCTTCCAGTTCCACACGGAAACTGAGCACTGAGTTCTTGACCACCCCCATTCCACTAGGGAGAGCAGATCGTAGCAAATGGTCATGCTTAACTTGTCAACTTCGTTGTCAGTCTCACCGTGAATGGTGGCATCTAGATGAGCCTCCATGCCGCTCAAAGACAGCACATTGACACTGGAAAGGCCAAGAACCGCAAAGTGAGTAGCGCGGCTTACAAACACATGCAGGTGATCACTATCACCCACCGTCCGGAGTCTTCAAGTACCACTAAGGAGATCTCGGGACACGTTTATGCTGATGTCGTCCACGTCCACAGAACTCTTGGGCGTGGTGATGGCAGATGCGTTCCGGCCGAGGAACGCCAAACAGCATCGGAAACTTGGCCAAATGGAGTTTGAGGGGTATGCATCGAACCAGCCTCCGGACGCGGAGCGAGCCGCCGGGTGGGCAGGATCGCTCAGGCCCAGGATCGCTCGCGCCACGATTTGGGGATGTCCGGCGATAGCCCGTGGCACGTGCAAAAACACTTCAATAGGCAGCTAAGTACGAACAATTACGCGAGCGAAAAGGTTGTGGTGGGTGGGTGCGAGAAGACGATGGATGGTACGGCGGGAAACCGGATGTAGACTCTACTGTAGAGAGAGAGAGAGAGAGAGAGAGAGAGAGAGCGGTTCGGCGTCTCCCCTAAAGGGAGATACCCCGGAACCCCACTTAGACAAGCCCAGTCGCGCGCCGGCGCCCGAACTCATGCTGTGGGTGTCCCACCGTCCGACGGGTGGCCGCACGAGCACATGTAAAGAGAGAGAGACGCGATGCCTTACTATACTACTGGGATACCGATGGGTCATCGCACAACAGAAAAGTGTGCCTAGTCACGTCGGCCAGCAGTGCTACCGCGTCAGGATCTTTGATCCAGGCCGCCAAGAAGCCCATGTCGCCCTCCCAGGACGTCGATGTTGTCCACAGGTGATGGATACCCGGGTACGCACTCTGCAGCTCCTCCAAAACAGCCTCCCTTCTCTCCGCCAGACCCTCATTCGCACATCTCATTAAGAGATGGCGCTCTGTTTCCACCCGCCCCTCGGCACAGAACCTACAGACCCGACTATATGGTAAGGGATGATGTCCGGGCGCTTTTTCGTTTTATGCCATCCCTTTTCTACCATGTACGGGTGGCATGCCGCCAGCAGACGCAGAATCGTCATGCGCTGCGATCGGGGAAGACAGAGGTACGACTTGGTAGCGCACAGGGCAGAGAGTGGGGGGTTGTCCCCGTACGACGGCAGGAGCGCAAGCCTCCACAGAGTGAGGCCTTGTTGCGCTCGCCTTATTGTACAGGTGGGTTCGGAGGGCGCCGTGGATTGCGTCATCAACCGCGTCGCACCATTCCGCAGAGGGGGAGTCGCGCGCGCCGTGGGTAGAGGGAAAGAGAGAACTTGGCGCGCGGCCAGACGGGCAAAGGATAGGCGCCCAGGGCTCGGCCGGCACCTGCATAGAACCAAGAATAAGTATTCTTCCAGTAAATAAGCACTAGCTAGACGAGGATTCGAAGCTGGCGCTCCTGGACAGGGAACACGCGCGCTTGTAACGGGCACGTAGGAACACAGTTGGGGCGGAGCTTCAAAGGCTTGAGCGCGCTCCAGTGGACGTGGTCTGCCGTCGTGTCCTTTCTCTCTCACTACGCCATCTATGGTCGGTCGTTCAACGTTCAACACCAACGCGGCCGGATACAGTGGCGTGAGGACGCAATGTTGCACCAGACCCGGGCATAGCGTCGGGCTTATTCCACGCCTGATACGTTTGATACGCTCACCACGGAGACGGACATAAGGCGGTTCCCATCTGTCGACTCTCGAGCTGCAGCGGTGAGCTATGACAGTGTATGACTGGCTTCTTGCAGATGGAGATGGAGGCTGCAGTATCCTTGCAATGTATGTACGCACGCTCTCCCATCGGTTCTGCTGCACTCACGCTGTTGACAACTTTTGGACAGTTTTGGCCGCTTGCTTCCTGGTGCCTATCAGAGAATGCCACGGGACGTTCCCGGAGACATCCTCCGATGTCCCATATGGAATCAAGCGTGCCTCGCTCTCCTTGTTTCGGGTTAGTATTCATTCAAAGAAGGGATCTGCACCACTGTGGGCTGCACTGAATCGCTTACTCAATTTCCAACGACTTGCAGTGCAGTCACCCGCCGACGATATAAGTCGGCGATTGCGCCTGTCGGTCCCTCAGGCTCCTCTTCCTCTCTTCATCGGTTGCCCAGATGTCTCTCGCTCTTTTCCAAAATTGCTTCTACATTGGCAACAACTTCAACGCCATCCTTTATGGTGAGTATTTCCGTCTCCGGCTCCACCACCGCTGTATTGACTACATACTTGTCGTGGCTTAGGCGTTGTACTCGTGCTGTATTACTTCACCATTAGTGCCGTGCTCGACGAGAAACGCAAGAAGTCAAAGACGGACAAGTTCTTCTTAGCGTACAGTACAGTCCTCCTGTGTTGCAACACTATTTTCGTCGCCACCGAGGCTGTCTTCGGCGAAGAGATGTGGGTCGTGAACGCGGACTACCCCGGTGGCATGGACGCCTACCTCGGTGACTTCGCGAGTGTCTGGTACCAAACGCTCGGCACCGCTGCCACGCTATTCCAGAACTACCTCAGTGATGCTCTCCTTGTGCGCCTTTTCCTGTTGTATCGTCACGCTTGCTCATACAATCCTCTCAGTTATACCGCTGCTATGTCATCTGGCGGGACTTCCGCGTCCTCATCGTTCCCTCCATGCTCTACATAGGCTCGATCGGTAAGCTCACTGTCGCTTAACAACGAGGTGACGTGCTGACTGACGTCTGTCCGCACCCGCGCACCCGCACCCACAGTCGCCGGAATCGCAAACCTAGCTGAATCCGCGCGCCCAGGCGCGTTCTACTTCTCAGGTCTCGCGCAGCAGTTCGGGACCGCGTACACGTCCTGCATCGTCGCGCTCAACATCCTCCTCTCCCTGCTCATATGCGGGCGGATCCTGTTCTCGATGCGCCGGCTCGGCGTCACGCTCGGGGACGACATGATGCAGCAGTACGCCGGCGCGGCGGCGATCGTCGTCGAGAGCGCGGCGCTCTACACCGTGTTCGGGATTGCGTACCTGATCTCGTTCGCGATCGAGAGCGATACGAGCATCCTGTTCCTGTCGCTACATGTCATGTTCTGTGTAAGTTCATTCCACTTGGTTTTGAGGCGGGGTAGCCGGCGCTGATTTTGGCTGCAGTGCATTTCGCCGCTTTTGATCGTTCTCAGGGTCATGTCGGGGCGCGCGTGGTCAAAGGAGAGGGCGTCGGAGTTCACGTCAGTTATTGTGTTCAGCGGAGAAACAGGGGCCTCTGCATCGACGCAAATCGGTATGGGAAGCCACCCGAAACACTCGGATCTCAGTTTGAGGAAGTCAGACTCAAGCGTTTGATGTAAGGGGGTGGCGATTTCTTGTTGTGGATTCTCTCCGTGTTGTATTTCACTACCCTGTAATTAATTATCAGAAGAACATCTTGTAACTCTTTGGTTTTTTTGGAAAGAGAGCTAGCTGTCACACAGTATTGTTGACGTGTTACGATACGCGTCGACAATCGTCACGCGTGATGGTGCGCGTCCAGGCGCGCGACGAGGAACGGTCACTGTTCTCCACTTCCTCCCCCTCCTACTTTTTTTGCTCCTCGCTCCCTCACACCCGAAAATCTGGTCCAACATTCCTACACCTCTTCGTAGACCTTAAACGGAGACATCCATGTCTCACACACCATCGTCCCGCTCTACAGCGTCCTCACCTGGAGCAGCAATTCCGTCAACTCGAGCTACTTCCCCACCAAGCAGCCCGGGTTTCCTCCCCGAAGTACGCCCATGATACCTGAAAGATCATCATGGCTTCATACTTATCCTTGGTTTCTGCAGACGAAGTCTGAAGCGGATTCAGAAGTTCAGGTGGTGGAGGACCCAGCTCAGGTAAGTCTCGTATCTCTCTCCCAACCCCCACCCCCCACCCTTATGTGCTCGTGCTCTCTCTCATCCTGCGAAGGCGGGCATTAAGAGGGAGCACATGTTGGTGGTGGTACACCACCATAACGACAATCATGGTGGGGGATCGTGACGTCCAGGCGCTCTTGGCTCTCCATTCGTGCATACAACTAATCCATGCTTTCTAGGATGACTCAGAAGAGGAAGATGTGAGCGCAAGAGGCGCGCATATATGCGGCTTACGATGCTGAAACATCCCAACAGGAATCCGCCCAGCGACTGCAACAGCTGGAGAGCTTGTTGCAGCGGTCGGGAACGTACGTGAAGCTGCTGAAGGAGCAGATGGACCTCGTGCGCGTCAAACACGCGAAAAAGCCCAAACCCGCGACGAAGCCCAAGTCGAAGGCGGACACAAAGCCGAAGTCAACACGGAAGCGCGGCCGCGTCGTGTCGGACTCCGAGGATGAACGCGAGCCGAAACGCGCGAAGGCGGACGACGCGGAGGCGGCGAAGGAAGATGAGGGGAAGGAGAAGCCCCCTGCGTTCGAGCAGCCCGCACTCATCACGGGGGCGACGCTGAAAGACTACCAGCTCGAGGGCGTGGCTTGGATGGCGGGGTTGCACCAGAACGGCATCTCGGGTATCCTAGGTGAGCACATAAGACCCCTCTTGCGCATCTCGTCTCATGAGGCGTTCAGCGGACGAGATGGGCCTCGGGAAGACCATCCAGACCATCGCGTTCCACGCGTTCCTCCGCGAGCGGACAGCCGCGCCGTTCATGGTCGTATGCCCGCTCGCCGTCCTCGACAACTGGGCACGCGAGTTCAGTCGGTTCGCCCCAGATATCCCTTTCGTGGTCTACTACGGCTCGAAGGAGGAGCGCGCGGAGCTCCGGCGGAAGGAGATGGTTATGGACGCAGTCGACGTCGAGTACTACAACGAGGCGATGAAGAAGTACGGTGCCAAGCCTGCTTCGTCCTCGTCGAAGAGCAAGGGCAAGGGCAAGGCAAAGGGCAAGAGCAAAACGAAAGCCAAGCCGAAGGGGAAGGGCAAAGTCGCGGCTCGCGGTCGCGCAGCGAAGGACGACTACGATTCGGAAGACGAGAAGCCGAAGGCGCGCGGGAAGGTCACGGTCAGTGGCAAGCGAAGCATTAGATCGCGGCGACACGCACCGGAGGACGAGGCCGACTCTGATGAGTTCGAAAATTCGATGGTTGTCGATGAGGGCATCCCTCCTCCCGCAGAGCAACGCAACAAGCGTCCACTGAAGCCGCACCAGAGGACGAACTTCCCGGTGGTGATCACGACGTACCAGGTGGTGATCAACGACCGCGCAGAGCTCGCCAAGTACCACTGGGGCTTCATCGTCGTCGACGAGGGTCACCGTCTGAAGAACATCGACTGCGTGCTCATGCGCGAGATCAAGCGACTCCCGTCGGACGCGCGGATGGTTCTCACGGGCACGCCGTTGCAGAACAACCTCTCCGAGCTCTGGTCGCTCCTCAACTTCGTGCTCCCAGATATCTTCGGCGACCTCTCCACCTTCCAGGCCTGGTTCGATGAGGGCCGACTCAAGTCGCGGCTCAACTCGGAACGCGAGGCGAAGCTGATCCACTCTCTGCACGACATCCTCCGTCCGTTCCTCCTCCGACGCATGAAGGCGGACGTCGAGATGAAGCTCCCACCGAAGAAGGAGTACGTGCTCTACACGCCGCTCTCGGAGCGCCAGCGCGCGCTGTACGACATCGTCGTCCAGGGCGACAAGACTCTCCGCCTGCACCTCATCAACGAGCTCGAGCGAGAGAATGAGCTTGTGAACGGCTCCGGGCGGCTCGTCGAGGACGTCTCGGACGAGGAGGAGCCGCTGATGGACGCGGCGCGCGAAAAGGCGCGCGTCGGCCGCGGGCTGCGCGAGAAGACAGGGCGCACGTACGAGATCGACTCTGACGCGGAGGAGGACGAGGACGAGGACGCATACTTCCGGCGGCTCGCGGAGGAGCAGCTGAGGGCGCGCAAGGCGAAGAAGAGCAAGGCAAACGCGGAGCTCGGGCGCGAGTGGCAGCGGCGCGAGGCGATCAAAGAGGTCTCGAACCTGAACCTGAAGAACGTGATCATGCAGCTGCGCAAGGTCTGCCAGCATCCGTTCCTGTTCCACTGGCCGAAGGACCCGAAGACGCGGGAGTCGAAGCTCGACGAGGAGCTGGTGACGGCGAGCGGGAAGATGATGGTGCTGGAGCGGCTGCTGGATGCGCTGTTCACGAGGGGGCACAAGGTGTTGTTGTTCAGCCAGTTCACGACAATGCTGGACATCATCGAGGTAAGTCTGCTTTGTGTTCATTGGCGCGTCGCGTGCTCATCTCTGGTGCCAGGACTGGGCCAAGGAACTCAAAGGCTGGGAGGTGTGCCGAATCGACGGGAGCATGAAGATGGTGGACCGCCGAGACGACATCCAGCGGTTCCAAGACGGCGGTGACTCCCCTGACGCTCCCCGGCTGTTCCTGCTGAGCACGCGCTCGGGTGGCCTCGGTCTGAACCTCGTTGCCGCAGACACGGTCATCTTTTACGACCAAGACTGGGTACGTGTCTCATCTCCCGTAGTCCCTCACCCCTCTAACCCTTCTTCCTTCAGAACCCGCAAGCCGACCTACAGGCGCAGGACCGCGCGCACCGCATCGGGCAGACGAGGCCGGTGCTCATCTTCCGCCTCCTCTGCGCGCACACGGTCGAGACGAAGATCATGCAGCGCGCGACGGAGAAGCGGAAGCTCGAGGCGGTCGTCATCGCCAAGGGCGAGTTCGTGAACCCGACGCTCGCCGCGAGCGCGAACAAGCGCCAGGCGCTCGCAGAGCTCGCGATGGAGCTCCACCGGCTCGAGGGCGAGCAGATCGAGGTCGTGCCGGACACCGCGGCGGGCAAGGCGAGCGTCATCTCGGACGCGGACCTGGACATGCTCCTCGACCGCCGCCCGGAGGTGTTCGTCGACCGCCAGAAGGGCTGGGCGTCCGCGGCCGTGGTCGATGGCCAGTCGGCGAAGAAGGCCGCTGTAGTTGGTGGGCATGCGAAGACTGCGTTCGCCGTGTACGAGGCGCCGGCGCAGGTGGACGGGAACTTGCTCGGGATGATGGAGGCCGACGAGGACGAGGACGATTGATGTCCCCCCTCGGTCGACGTGGATGAGGTGGTATGTGTCCGGTTTCGGTGTCGATTCGGTGTCTTTACTGCTCTTGCGTTCGTAGATGCTTTCGTAGATTTTTATTGTTCTTCTATTCTGTATATATTCAGGCTGAAGGCACCCTCCGCTCTTGGAGTACTGCTCTTTGCAGTCGGCGATATGCACCAAGGGGGCTCGTATCCATCGAGGGCGCCGCCCTCCGAGAGCTGATCGTTCACGGCCTGTTCTTCAGCAAGAGGTACCCCTTGAAGAGGTCGGTGACGAACGCGCATGGTCGTCGAGCCACACAGCGAGATCGAAGACATCCTGACTGGGGTGCTCAACTCTGGAGTTCTTATGTGGCCAGGGTTGGCGGAGATGACTCGAATGTGGTATGCGAGAAGCAGGTGGTGCAAATAAACGACTCGTGTCCGCCCTGTCTTGATGTGAGGACGAGGATCACAATGGGGTCCTCGATGGGCGTAAGAGGCAGGGAAAGCCGAATAGGCACCTGTACCTCACGTTCTTTTAATCAATTGATCTGGTGTCACCCCCCTGGGGTGATACCAGATTCGGAGACTGCAAATGCCTAACTGTCTGCCACTAGTAGACCCTCTACGAATAACGGCTGATATTCCCTGCAGGGAAACGGTAGAACGCGGGCATATGCCCAAGTCCCCCGCCCCCTTCCCCGACGTTCCCGAGGGCCCTCCTCCGCGAATTCCCGCGCTGCGCCTGATGGCCGCCCCGTCGGCGCCTTCCCCCATGCCGCGCCCCGCGCCCTTGATGGCCCCGACATCTCCGGACGCTGCGCGCCACCGGGTCTCCACCGGCGCCTCCCCACTCCGCCACCCGTGCTCGCCGCCCCCAACAGCGAGCTCGCTGTTCCTGCGCCCTGCCCTGCCCTCCTCTCCGTTTCCCTCCGTTCCTTTTGGGATCCGCTTGTATTTAAAATGCGCACCTAATGGTACACAATGCAATAGCTGGAGTTGGCTGGGTGTGCCTGTACTGAGCCCTCACACCCCCCAAAATGCGTGCAATATAGGGACATACACAAGCCGTCAATTGATGGGCTAATTGCTGCAGCAGATAGTCGTAGATGATAGCTGCTGTAATATGAAATCGCACGTGGATAGCTAGAGGGGTGCATGTATGATGTCATATGTCATTTCAGAATGACATACTCTACAGTGATATGGTATGTACATTTATCGTCCCATGTACACCTAGAATCATAAATAGAGATCCTTCAGAGTGCACTGCAACAAGAAGAAAGTGGAAAGACGATGTTGTGGTGAAGATATGACATATGTTCAGAAGGGTGGACTGCATTAAAATTGCGGCCTTGATATGTTTTTGTGAAAACCTCCAATCACTGTGCATCTTCTTGCGTTACTTTTATATGTATACATAGAGCTCAGATCGTATCTTTCGTGCTTATCGGTGGAGGATTGGAGACAGGGTATGGTATGTCATTATTTTATGACATAGAGTATAGCGAGATAGCATGTGCTCCGATTGTTATTCTGAAACACGGAACAGAACGGGGTGTTCTTCCGCTCAACGATGCAGAAAGAATATTGAAGAATGGTCGAGAAGTGGTTGAGATATGCCATATGAGCTTGAAGTGTGCAAAGTGGTCTAGGTGGTTCAAGGGCGTCCTTTGTGCAACCTGCCGTTCTAGACCCATCTGACATATCTCAACCACTTCTCGATCATTCTTCAATATTCTTTCTGCATCGTTGAGCGGAAGAACACCCCGTTCTGTTCCGTGTTTCAGAATAACAATCGGAGCACATGCTATCTCGCTATACTCTATGTCATAAAATAATGACATACCATACCCTGTCTCCAATCCTCCACCGATAAGCACGAAAGATACGATCTGAGCTCTATGTATACATATAAAAGTAACGCAAGAAGATGCACAGTGATTGGAGGTTTTCACAAAAACATATCAAGGCCGCAATTTTAATGCAGTCCACCCTTCTGAACATATGTCATATCTTCACCACAACATCGTCTTTCCACTTTCTTCTTGTTGCAGTGCACTCTGAAGGATCTCTATTTATGATTCTAGGTGTACATGGGACGATAAATGTACATACCATATCACTGTAGAGTATGTCATTCTGAAATGACATATGACATCATACATGCACCCCTCTAGCTATCCACGTGCGATTTCATATTACAGCAGCTATCATCTACGACTATCTGCTGCAGCAATTAGCCCATCAATTGACGGCTTGTGTATGTCCCTATACACGCCCAATGGTCGGATGTAACTCAGGATATCCAGTAGCGGAAATATCTCACGAGATTGTTGTGACACCCCACTCGTGTCAGACTGGAACTGCCACACGCATGGTTTTGTACTTTTCTCCCGAAACATAATGAATGGACATCACCCCATCACTGTGGTGTGTCAGTGCGTGTCCAGTGATGAGCCCCAGGACATACCGTCAGAAGCCCAAGCGAAATATCTCAGTCATGATATACCAAGAGGGCACCGCAAGCACCGTGTGTATGCCTTGAATATGCGGGCGAATCTCCTGGCTCGGGCGTGATAGTGACCATGTAAAAACGGTACCAGCAGGTGTATTATTAGGAATTGTATGCAGTATCGTGCGACAATCAGAGGAAGCGTGCGAGCGATGTGTGTGGTCTGCGAATGCGGGAAAGCTACGTACTGAAAGCGACAATAGTGCGAGTGATGTAGGATAGACGGAGCATGTATGGCAAGGAATGGTGGCGTGTACAGAATGTGATTAAGGAGATGCTATAAGGGCGAGTCTGCAACACTGAAGGCATGTACCGTTGAACGTGATCGTCGGGAATCCGAGCTCTGGTGGACGAGTCAACGAGTCGGCAACTCAGGCCGACCACGTCATGGCCCGCTCGATAGTCTCTTGCCATGGGAATGGGGTCGACTCGACGATGGAGAGCGGAGAGGTCCCGGCACCTTTGGGCTTGTACTTCTCGAGATCGGATTGCAACTGCTCATTGAGATACCTGCATCGAGATCGAGATCGAATCAGTGTCCGAAAAGTAACACTATAGACTGAATCCTGACCTTTGCCATGCATTGGTTTGATCCGCCTTGTCCTTGAAGAGGTAGCAAATTTGACTCCTTTGGTAGTTCAACTGGGCATCGATGTACTTCCAGAGATGGCTAGCGTCGTAATCGCCCGCCAATGGTGCTTTCGGAGGTGCTTGAGAATCGTCGCCAATAGTCGGGGATGCAAACTGATGTTCGTTCGCATTGGATCCGGTGCCGGACGCGTCCCCCTCCTCGTTGTCGTTGTCGTCATTGCCAGTGACGGGGGTAGGCGACGACTGAGAAGGCGCATGGTTGGGGCACTTCTGCGCCTCATGCAGACCGGTGAAGAAATCGGTCATCAACTGCCTCTACAACACACCGATTTGATGTAAGCAAGGGAGAGTGGTGTTGACGAAGTGTGAAACATACCAGTACAGCTAACCTCAGCAGGTGTGCGTTGGTCATCGCGACCGAGGTGTTCTTGGGAACCAACGACAGCGCCAGTTGTGAGAGAGTCTTCGGTGTCCCGAGCTTCCAATCGTGCTTCACTCCAGGCGGCAACTTAGTGCCGAGCGATACCAAGATCTGCGCTTAGAACAATAAGTACTGGACGTCCATTAAGCCGCAAGGTACTCACCTTGTGGCGAAGGACCCCACGAGCCCGTGAATTCAAGTTAGGGACCTTCACGACCGCCAGGTCGAACAAGCCGGCGTATTCGTGAATGTCAGAAGGCAGGCTCATACTCTCGGGATGCATCCTCATGACATTCTGGAGCAGTTAAAAGGGACGATTAGCTCAAGCGGGGTGTGGAACCAGGAAGACACGTACCGCAACCCTGGCATTCGTCTCTTCGAGGTAGGTGGGAATGTTGGGGGCCAAAAAGCATACTTGAATGCGGTAGGAGAGCAAGATCTGCCATATCAGTCATTGCGACGATTGTGCTCAGCCTTGCAGCACGTGCTATGAAATGAATAATTGAGAACTCACATCAAAATCGTTCGTCATCAGGTACTTGAACAGATGGGCCTCGCGCATGTGCTTCAAAGTTCGCGTAAAATCGATCTTCAGATTGATCAGCATGTGGCCAGGACTTGGGAGCTAGGTAAAGATCGTTAACCACACCAGTTGGCAGAGAGATGAGGAAACGACTTACATCTGCGAAGCGCATTATCTCCTCCGTCTCAACCCCAGCGTTAGTGGCGGCCACCTTCGCTTCGTCTCTGTGGCGCTTTCGCTGAGCCTTAGAGTAGTTGTCATCGTTGGATCGTTGGCGTCGTAGAGGGAGATTCATGATGGGAGAGTCGAGGAACAGCGGGGTCCGCTCCAATTCGCCTCGGAGTTCATTGCGAACGGGGGTGAGGGGAGTGTCGGGGGTCGCAGCATCTTGATTTCGTCCTTGCGTGGACGGGGGCGGGTTTGCGGTGGCGCGCTCGAAGATGCTAAGCATGTGGGGAGAGCAAAGCACAGGCCGGTGCAGACGAGGGACATGATGGTGGACGAGGGAGGACATCCTCGACGGGCGCTGGAGAAGTGTATTGTTTGTCTGTGTTTGCCCACACTACCAACCGCACCAAGACGTAAGCGTTGGAGTCGAAAGGGAACACATTCCTCAAGGCTTCGAAGAACACGCAAGAAGCAATATTTGTTATGTCAAAGAACCACACATTAAACAAGGCTTCCCGGATTCTGAACGTAGTTTACATCATGATCATAGCCGTGATAAGCATCTGACGAATATTGACGCCAGAAGGACGCCTCAGCTTGAGTTTGCGTGACGGCGTCGGGAGGGCGAATGAACGAGCTACTGAACAAATTGTGAGAGCCATCGGAGGCTTGGAAGACGCTCGGTCCGGGAGGCTGCTGGTAAGGGTGCGCCACACCGGTACTCGGCAGGTGCAGCGACAAGTTGGGCCGATAGTACGTCGCCGGATGTCGATGCGGATTGGGAGATCGCAATTGCTGTGAAGGCTGACCGAGGCTCTGCGCTAACGGTGCTGAATAGCCATGCGAATTGAAGTGACCCGTGGCCAGTGTGTTGGCAGGGGACGGGTGTATGAAGTAAGTCGGATGGAGTTCTGGACTTCCTGTACCGAAGAAACCTGCTGACGACAATTGCGATGGATGGAAGCTTTGCTGTGATGGAATATGTGGTGGTTCTTGCTGCGCCTGGAAGCCCGAAGGGATCGAGACGGATTGTACGTGGCCTGAGTGCGACGAGAGACTCCCGAAATTGGCCCCATAAGCGGGCCGCATGTGCTCGTTGCGGTAGTAGCGAGTCGAGCCTGAGGGCACGGTGAGGTTTAATGGACGGATCTGGAAGCGTGAAAGATGCAGAATGGATTACGCACGGTCTGGGTGTGGTGAGCTATCCGCAAAATTGCTTCCATGAGCGGGTTGCACATGCTCACTGCGGTAGCTGGTTGAGGGAAGCATGTCGTTCGATGGTTGGCTAGGAACCTGCAGGAGTGAAGGATACGTAGCGGATCGCTCATGGCCTGGGTATGGTGAGTAATCCGCAAAATTGACCCGGCTATGGTGAGCAGTTGGTGTTCGATTGCTTTGGTAGCGAGCCGAGACGTGTGTGTTGGCGGTGTTGCGGCATTCGGGCAGTAGAGGGTCTTGTGCCATCCCCGATGCGTGCGGAGCCAAGGGGTTTGAACTCGATGCCCAGGCCGCCGCACGCGTCGTATGTGTCTTCACTGAGCTCGACTCGTTCAAGATCTCTCGTGGAGCGAGAGAAGAGATGCTTGATGAGAGGAAAGGCCGTCCGTTTGAACTATGCTGTGGGAGCCGAGCCATACCAGGGTCGAAATACGACGGAGGGTTGATTGGTGGGTGCGGATTCGACGTGGTGATTGAGACTTGAGGCGATCGACTGCTAGACACACCGTGATCACTGTATTGAAGCGAAGGAGGCTGGGTCTGCTAGAGCATGATCAGTGTACGGTGTAGTAGCGAATTTATTCGAGGCGAGCTTACAGATGTTGTAGGGTCGAGGGGTTGCTGGTTGGATTGCTCGCGTGTAGTACGACTGCCACTGCCGACCGGCTTCGGCGTCCTGAGCGCTGCTCGCTTCTTCCGAGGAGCTCGTTCGAAGGGTAATGCAGTTAGGATCGCATCATCGGCCGGCGCCGGAGCTTGTTGCTGCTCGTTCAGGGCGTTCGACTTCTTTTTCCGTGCTATGAGATTCTCGACAGCCCTTCGACGAACATTGGCCACGTCCGCTTCGGAGACACATGGAGCGTCGAGCTGTAGCCTTAACGCGGGAGGAAGCGCAGATCGGATGTGGTCGTAGTTGTGAATTGAGTGGGTATTGAGTATGTACGCGTTTGTCTCGTTGTGCTTGACGACTGTCCGTGTCCGTGTCGACTTCAATCTCTCCTGCAAGACTTGGGAATCTTCGAACTTGGTACACTCCGAGCCTGAGCAGTCATGCTGAAGATTGATGACGCAAATTATGTCCTGCAGATGACGCAAAGAGACCGTCACGCAAGGAGAAAACACACAGCATAGAGCGGGAACATACCGATGCGGGAACTACACACTTTCGGGTGGACATGAAAAGCCGTGGAAGACGAAGGCGATGGTGAAGGGTAGGAAGAAAATCGTGGAAGGTGACAAGGACGTGTGATGCGATATTCTGTCCGGAGTTCATGGGGACGAGAATCTCTTCTATCCGAGCTGGGGAGGGCTTCGGCTGCAAACAGTACGATATTTCAATGTGGAAGGGTCCCAAGTATGAGAGTGGCGTACCTGGTCGTCACCACACGCCGGCGTCGCCTTCACTAACACGTCTGCCCCCACGGCAGCAACATCCCTATTAGTAACCACAACTGCCCGAGCAATGCGGAACTTTTCTCCTGAGAACTGAGCGTATGCGGCTGGGTCCTGGTCCTTCAGGAAGCGACCAGTGCGTGTATTGCTCCATATCTTCACGCTAAGCCCAGCCGAGTCTGGTGCAAGTGTTGACGTTCCTGCACCGGGACCAACCTGTTAATAGAACAAATGCACGTAAACTCTGCACATACCAATTAACTTGTCTTCCTGTGATTCGGGCAACCCGAGGATCCGGCGATGGTCCGGATGATCAGCGATATAGCGTAGCACCGCTGATCCTGCGCGCATCCATTCGTGGCTTACGGGATCCCTCCAGAGCCCTCCAGTCACGATGTGCTTGACAATATCATTGAGCGCGAATGATCTGCATGCATCACGACTTGGAGCTTGGCGATTGCTGTAGACTGAGGCGAGGCGGAAGATGTGATTAAAACTCTCGTACCGCTCTGTGGAGAATATAATAGCAGGTCCGAAACGGCGAATGTATGCAGGAAGGTGAACAAGAAAGTGAAATTTTGGTTTGAGGAGGAGAATGCTGGGCGAGCACTGTGCTGTGAGATTGAGGAAGTCTTCAATGGTTCGCGATAAGTTGGCCTGCATCATCAATCAGAGCCGGTAAATGTCAGTCACATGACTTCCAACGCACCAGATACGCCTCGAGATCTTCTATGGTTGTGTGCCACAGAAGTACAACGAGTTTGCCAATAACATACCAGGCATCAAGCACTGATATTGGAACGAGGTCGTAGATGAGAAACGTCATAACTTGCGCGATACTCTTGAAATGCTTCCCGATAAGGCTACCCTTGTATCGAACCATATACTCAGCATTGAGACTCGGCACGTTGAGTCCTTCGACATTGACAGAAGCCAGACGAGTTTGAAACAGGTCCAGGTGATTGCTCTTGTCGAGGATGTGTATTGTCTGGCCCCAGAAATATTTCACCACTCCGAGAAGAACGGTGTGCAGAATCTCAGTCGGGGTATCGAGATGAATGTCAACACCTACGACTTCTTTTCAGACACGACCATACCAATTGCTCGTGGTGTACCACGAAATGAACCGCACCTGGCATTCCTATAAGAGGATTTATATGATTCCCAATCTCAGTGCCATGTAGCGCATTCTGAAGGGCTTCTTCGAGGTTCTTGCGCACTACGGTTTCGGGCAGAGCTAGTGTACCGGTGGAACGCTTCCGAAGGTTTTTTCCCAGCTCCACGATAGAACTGAGAATGGCCGTCGTGGTGGAATCTTTCACCCCAGTCGCCGTTACACCATCCTTCAACTTGTTTCCAGGTAGGAACGTCCCGCTGATCTGTCGTTTAACCTCTTCGAGTGTCTTCGCTGGAGTACGAGGTTCGCACTCCTGTTAATAATTAGATATGCATCTTATTGGAGTCGGAGCCGAGGAATATGGGAGTACTGACTTGAAATATCTTCGCAAAGCCTTCCATGGTCATTTTCTGGGCCGTCGTGCCACCGACAAAGCAGGTGCGACAAAAATAGTTACAATTGAGACCCGCATGACAGCATTCTTCCGCTTGCATTGGATTGTCGCCTGCAAAAAATAGTCCGTAGGGCTGCAAGAGTACTTCCTCATCGTACTTGCAGTCCCATGCTTCGACCCCAGCCTCTGCAGCCTGACTGAGATCAACGAATCGTTCAAAGGGTCAGTCATATGAGCAACGGTGATGTGCAGTCAACTCCGCGAAGAGTCAACAGTGATGAGGGCGAGTGAGCGAGCTCGAGCAAGCGTGAGACGCGGGAAGTCGAGGAGGAAATGAAGGGAACAGCTACGACGCGCCGCGTGAGGAGCGAACGCGAAGGGAGGACGGATCAGAGGATCGCGCGAGCGCGAGGAGGACGAGGAGGGAATAGACGCGGAGTGGATAGACGAGATCGCGCGCACGCGCGGCGCTGGCGAAGGCGAATGGAATCGAGGTCGTGGGCGAAAGCGTGGGCGTGAGCGTGGGCGTGAGCGTGGGCGTGAGCGTGGGCGAAGTCGAAGTCGAAGTCGAAGACGAAGGCGAAGACGAGGTGAGACGAGGTGAGCACACAGCACGCGCAGAAGGAGCGGGAGAGTGAACTGAGCATCAATAAGCAAAAACGTGAGCCTAAGTACATGCGACGCACGGGACGAGTATGTAGACAGATCAATGTACAGTCCGAGACCCGAAAATGTACGAAATCGAGACCGAGAATGAAGGGGAAGTGGATACGAGAATACGAAATGTACGAGATGTAGAACAGGAGGACATACTAATCGTGCAAGAAGAGGAGGGGAATGAAGATGAGGAAATGGACGAGGTCGGCGTACTGTAGAGGAGGTGGATCGGGTGCGTGCCGTGCCGGCCTCGGTCGTGCGTGAACTGCGGCGTGGTGTGTCCGTAGGCGTCGCGCCTGGCCTGGAATGCTGGAGCGTCGATATGGAATGCTCGCGGACTGATCGCGATGGGTGCGCACGGCGGAGAGGTCGAGGTACGTGAGGACGAGCGAGGTCGAGGTGGACGGCGACGCGCGGGCGCTAGTGTAGTCGCGGTGCACCGTACAGCGGCGGTG